TCCGTAAGTTGGCCGGTACTCATTTGTGCAATCGGGCGGGCGATGGCAGGGACCTTGCTGAGAAGGGTGTCACCGAGCGCGCCACTGCCAGACTTTTGTTGCATAAGAGCATCCTTAACGACGGAGGTGACACCAAGCTGATCGAACACGGGCTTCTTCTGAGAGAGATCGCCGAGTGTAGTCTGGACCTGTGTGACGAGGCCGTCGGCAGTCTGCTGAAGACCAAGCGCGCCAAAGAGACCAATGCTGTCGGCGCCGTCGATCATGGATGTAGCCTTGGTCAGAGCATCTTGAGAACCTTGAGCGGCGGTGAGGACCGGAGCCACAGAGTTGGCGTCGTTCGCGGAGATTCCTTTGACGGCGGTGTCGAGCTTCTCTAGAGAAGTCTGGACCATGCCGAGAGCGGTGGTAATGGTATCCTTTTGGCGGGCAACGAGAAGAGGAGCAGCGGTGATCGCCCACGCCTGGAGGGCGACGAGAAGAACCTGGAAGCCGAGCATTTTCGAAGAAGTGAAGATATTAAGATAATACTAGAAAGGACGTTTGATGAAAGACAGGATTCGGAGATCGTTGGTAGGTAGAGATGAGCTTGAATAGTGGAGAGAACGACAACGACTTCCAAACCAAACTCGGAAATGGTGTGCGGCTCTTAGTTTGATTTTATCAATATCTGGGGTAGAGTACCCAAGGCCTATTCAGCGTTTTTTTTTTCTCCCATCGCTTTCCATTTTGGGACACACTGGGGGGCGGTGAGGCTTTCCTGTGTTGAATGTGTGTGGTTTACAACTACTTTTCTCCTTCAGCCTTCCTCTTTGGGTTATGAGACGCAAAGGAGGTTCTTGGTGGTTCACCCTGACCGCATGGGGGTCCTAAAATGGTACTTGCTTGGGACGGCTTGACACGCTTGCGTCCATGTAGCGGTAGCCACAAACCGGCTCCGGGCGCCCACCAACCGCCACTGTACAAGAGGGAGGGAAGCGTTATAACTCATCCGAGTTGTGGATTGCTCCTAATGCGTGGGATGACATGTCGATCTCGAAGGATCAACCCTGGCATCATGTGGGGGGGGAGGTTGAGTGGGCTCGCTGAGCCGCCGTTGGCTCTACATCTGGCTTCCAGGGAACTATCGCGATAAGCTCATGAACGGGGTGCTTAGTGAACTGCGGGGGGAGCCAATGAACTCAAGCCTCTCGGAACTTTCCTAGCTTCTTCCCCCATGGGTCATGTCTGTTCCTTCAAGGGGAAGCACAGGCACGACGATGATCAGCCCAGGCGAGCCGTTGGACTTTGGAGCCAGTATGGTTTTAGTATCAAAGCTGAAACGCTTTGTTGCGCGGACCGGCCGTTGTTCAGTCGAAACACTCAACAAAGTTGTGTTAGTGATGCGCCAATCGCAATTCACCAAAGCGCCCAATTAGCCAGCCATTGAGTAGTCATGTCAACTAAACGCCAGTAAGCTGCCAAACTGCCAGAAAAAACCTGACCAGATGGTCCCTCGGCAAGCCTCCACGATTATGACGCTCGTGATCGTCGGCTGCGCCTGTCAAGAAATGGGAAATGGGTGTAGTGTCCCGCCAAGCTGCCGGTTGCCGGTTTGGAACTCTCAGCCCTGCCCATTCGCACTCGCTTAATTGCCTTGACAAGCTGGCAGCCCAGAAACAGGTGGTCTTGACTGGGCCGGCTCACCTGATATATGTTCAAACGGTCTGCCGGCCTTAGAAGTGGGCTTTCAACGGGTCTGCTCCGGACATCCCATCTATTACCTCATTGGGGTAGGCTCTGTATGTACGCTTGGATCGGGCAGCCTTCCCGTCTCATCAGGCAAGGGACGCCGGCATTTGTTTTACGCCCTATGAAGAGCCATATGCGGCATGGAAGATCAACCGGCACGGGTATCGAAAAAGCTTAATGTCGGCGAACGGTTTGTAGATCAGGAGGCCTTGCAGCCTGCAGGATATCACGCCAGCCTAGACGGGTACTCTCATGCTAGAATGTATGAGGAATCCTGCAGAGACGTCGCCACTCATGCAGCCTTTGTGAGGCTTGGCTTCTCCTTAGCCGTCACAGCTATGCACGCAATGTGGAGATATCGATGGTGTTTTCCCCCGGATATTCGTCTTCCACAATTGTGGTCATATTAGACGGCCTTCCCCACACGATTTGGATGACTTGTAGGGGCAAACGAACGGCTCGGATTCGGGTGGCCTACAAGGTCCAAAGCATTCGAATATTTCAGCAGAACTGACATGATCGTGACGAGTAGCCTTACTTGAACTTCCGAACGTCGCTTGGTAAGATGATGAAGGGTCGCGCTGGCAATGGGAAAATTACCCCTTGAATCAATACTCTGACCGCCGTTACAAGTCCAAAGGGTCTTCTTCTGATATGCGCTCGGAAGTATCTGCGGAAGCTAATGAAAGATACATGTTCGTCCACAGCACCGATGTGTTTAGGAGATCAGAATCTGCTCTGAGTCAGAGGTGTATCTCCAAGTGTCAAGCAACCAAATGATTGAACAATATCGATTTTTAGATGTATCATTGCCCAATAAGCCTACTTGTTACTCACAATTCCCCGTCGGGGGACGGTCACTAATAATCTCCCGTCGGGAGAGCCGTCGGGTCATTCTTTCAAAGGATTTCCTGCTCCTTGGAAAGGCTGCCTGCCCATCGGCCCGATGAGTAGCAATGGGCTCAGTTCATGAGTGTGGTCGCAAGTTCATAACCAGTCTCAGCTTCTCGTGGTGTTTTAACGCGGGAGCCGTATGGCCAGATAAGGAAATTGTATCCAAGCTGCCCATCACCCAAACTGTAACACACAGATTAACGCTGCCGCCCAGACTTCTAACCTTCTCCCCTTCCGGTGACGCGAGATTTTTGACGTTATCTGCCCAGCGAGTCGTGTCAACTGAACCAGCTGGAGCTTTCCGAGCTTGGCCTTTCCGATCTTGCACCCGTTCTGACAGGTCGGTATCGAACGGCTCTCGGACGTTCCGAAAACCAACATTGAGTCTTGCCCCACGTTCTTGGGTAATGGGTGCCCTCTTTTCTCTGGGAAGTCACTTGCCTCAACTTCGAGTCCTGCTTCTCTGAATCTTGAGAGCACTGAGACTTGACTAACGACGACGGGTCAGAGGGAACCGAAATCAACCTGATTGCAAACATTCTCATACAAGCCTGGCGAGTCAACTCACAAAAAACGGCTTTCAGATTTGAATCGTCGCATTCGTACAGCAGCTCAACAGCAACATCTGGGCCCGAAACACGGTCTCTAATAGGTGTTTCTGCCGCCACAGAGAAGCACGGAACTTGTCCCAGGAGACACTTTCCACATTATCTGACACAGCCTCCGAGTCGCGTTGTCTAGCACGTGGAGGTTGATGAGCGAGTGAACCACACAACCAATCAAGTCAGCTCTGTCGGGACCAGGACCCGCCAGCCGGGAACTGGGCAGAAATATCCCTCGACCCCGGTTCTGGGTCTTCAAACACAGAGGTTTACGTGTAAAGGAGTGACTGGATGACGGGAGTTTCTCCCCGGAAGTTCAATGGATATGTTGTTCTGCAACAAGGGGCAACTTTGTCGACTAGTTCTAACTTTGGAGCCTGCCTGGATAAGTGAGGCTCAAGAAGCGATTCATAACACAACATGACAGGAAACGGTGCAAAAGGAGTGGTCTCTGCAGAGTGGTCTCTGCAGAGTGGAGTGTTTTGCTGCCGCCTTTTAAACGGGCTACTTTTGACAGTTTGAATAATGCTGAAGATGCCACTCATCTTATTGAGCTGAGAGTCTGTATTTACCTTTTCTGTGCTTAGGAAGATTAATCGTGAAGCCGCAATTTTCAAGGGAGCACGATTAATCCATAAGCTTGGCGGACAAGTAACGGCAGCAGTCGTGATCAGTCAAAGTTCTTGTTGCGAGCTCAGGGAACAAAGGTGAATACAATCCCAAGTGAGGAAATGAGGGGACTGTCAGACAACTTAAGCTCCGACAACACGCATCGGCATGCGAACTCACTAGTGGAACTCTACTCACATGACGCCCCAAATTGGGTTGCAAGGGATTTCAAGAATTCGGGTTTTCCAGTTAGTCCTCCCGTGCGTTCAATCCTACACAAGCCTTTCTTTTGGTATGCTTTTCCAGTTAACTTTCACCCGCCGCTAGTCATTGCAGAACTTTCATCCGACTCCCCACCAATATAAGTCTCTGAAAGTTTCCAAGCCGTCAATTCATCCTCTATTCCACAGTTGTCAAGCGCCAAAAACTCCTACAAGTGCCTTTCTTTACCATCACTCGCAATCATCGTGAACTTCACTCTCTACAGCCGCCTACCTCTTAACGTCTTTGCCGACGATAACCGGCACACAATTCTTCCCGCACACTTGCATGTTACTCTCCACTACCAGTTCCACAGAGACCCATTCTGCTATCCTACTCCATTATATTCCCTCATCCAGTCCCGGGAATGCATCAATCATCGGGCGCTTGGTCTAGGGGTATGATTTTCGCTTCGCATCTACATCTGAGCATCCATCGTGAGCTTCAGTTGCGCAATCTGTGAAAGGTCGTGGGTTCAATTCCCACAGTGTCCAATTGTTTTACATAATTTGATTGTGAACGCGGAATTTTTGGTGCTGGAATGAAGTTGAGTTGGTTTTGTACTCGTTTGAATCTCATTCAGGCAAATTTCGGAGGCTCATCACGGTGCGCATTCAAAGCAAGAATTGAGGCAGACGTTGCTTACTCGATCGCCTGATTCCGTGGTGCCATTTTGGCGTCTTAAGTTCCTTGAACGTTTTGCCTGTTGTGGGGCAAGTCTGCCTTAAGCTCCAGCTGGCGTGCAAAACACCAGTTGCTTTTGCACTCAGTCACAACTTCAAGTTCCTCAGAAGTTGTAGTAAAAGTAGGGGGCCAATGGCTGTATTGATGAACTAAGATCTATGGACTCTAGGGTACTGACTCGTCATTTGGAAACCTCTTTCTCTGAATTGCCTCTGCGGCTTACTGGATATTGGGTGAGGGCATTCCTGACGTGCTCAGATCATCCACGCACGTATGGGGAATGTAGTCTTCAGAGCAGGTGCTCCGGCGTTTCTTCTTGTCTTTTGTGGGCCTCGATAGCACCATAGCCTGATATACGGCGTCAGGCTCAGGCTCTGAGAGGCAATCTACACCAGGACCAACAGTACCCGTAGCTGGCCGGCTTGCACCAAGTTCGCCGACAGCATTTCCGATAGCCTCATCGCCGACTTCGGATGGCGCTGGTGCGCGGGTTGTACGGCTACTACTTGGTGAACTCTGAAACACAGAACTAATCTTTCGCGTGATCTGCTGCATGAACCCTGGCTCTGGTTTGCGAGTGTCTTGTACCAAGGGCTCTGCGAAATGGGCAGAGCGTCGCCTGACATTCTCGGGCAATTGGCCTGGTAACTTGGTTTCGCTGGGTGAGTGTAAGTCAACTAGAGCCTCGGAGCCTCGGTGAGAGGGCTTCGTATTGACACTCGGAGGATCATTCAAAGGAAGATCTACCTCATGAGTTGTACCATGGTCAAAATCTCCATGCGGTAAGTCCTTTCTGATGGATGCGATACTGCCGAGCCTCGCGTCAATTCCCAGATGATACATATTGACTTTGTCTTTGTCTTCATGTTCGAGAGGGATTAGGGTAGCCGGGGCGCTCAGCCATTCACTCGTGCAGTGCCGCTGTGGCAGGCTGGGGAATGAAGTGATTGAGGAAGCTTCGTTATCGACGCTGGTTTCCTTGACGTTCTCCTTTTGACGATTCAATTCGTCTACATGCTGAGAACCGAGCGAGAAGCCGTGAAAATCAGGGACATCCGATACAGCATCGGAGTCAGAATCCCGATTGAGTCCCTCAATAATTCTAGACACATTGAACATAGAAGAGTTGGTCTGGGACACGGCAGACGTTGGCAATTCGAAGGCATCCGAAACCGGTTCTCGGGTCTGGTTAGATTGTTCTGCCAGCGTATCAGCGAGCCACTGGATATCAGTGATGCTGTCGCGTGAGACAATCGTAGTGATTGGTGCCGGTCTAGCTACACTTCTCGACCGTACTTGACCATCAGTGGCGCTTCTGGTAAAGAAGGAGGTCTCAGGCTCGCTGATGGTGGTCGCTGTATCAGCTGCACGAGCATGTTGTAGCTCAATAGCAGTCTTGAGGAAGCTCGGCTTCCTGGCCAATTTTGTTTGGACCACAGTGTTATTTGCTTGCTGGGGTTTGATAACATCCTCCATGGTTTTGTTGTGCTTGCACATTTCTTTGAAAACGATCTCCACAACGTCTTGTACTTGATCATCGGTAAGTACGTACTGGCATGTGGCTTTGTTGCATAGTGTTGCTCCATCGGGGTCGTTTGAGGCGATACCCGGCGTTCTTCGTTGACTAGTAAGACGAACCCGTACCTTTCCCATGATTTGTTGCATCAAGGTATTGGGCTTTCCCCAAATACTGTGACCAGACCGTCTTGGGGTGTCAGAGAGATGCTCGGAACGGGATGAGTGCCGGCTATAACGGACATTGATGGAGCTGTGGCTGCCAGAATTGTTGCGTCGGCCTCGTATGGGCGTCGTCGTAGGGCCATGGTAAATGTTGGAGGTCAAGTCCGGGCCTGATCTGTGGGTTGTTCTCCTTGATGATGAGTTCTGGGAGTCGCTGGCAAGACACTTGTTTCCTACGGCAATATTGATTAGCAATAAGACGATAAGGTGCCTTAGCAAATCATGCCTTGACCTAAGATACCTGACAGATTCCCCTTGGCGACTGCCTCTGCAGCGGCGGGTGGCAGACAGTGGTTATGGGCCTGAGTTCTTGTCTGGTCCATGCTCATGCATCTTGATGGCCGCCGGAAAACTGGACTGGCTTGAGGAGCCCACGTCATGGTTTCGATGTCTCCATTACTGAGCAAGCTGCAATCTAGGGTAGTGGGCGGGCCCGGGGGCACGATGGATGGACGTCGGCCGAAATTGGGGTCTCTCTGCGTGGTGGTCGGATAGATGACGGTGCCATTGTGGCATGAGGGAACAAATACGCCTGGTAGCTGAGTCACAGTTGGAGGTCTATTGACGGACAGGCTGTGTTCTCGAGTCGACGGTGCAGTGCGGAACTCTTCATCATCGAATTCTGAAGGGTCGTTCATGTTGGAATCGTCGAAGGCTAGCAAGAAAATGGAGCAAAGTTATACGACAAGTGTGAAATGGTACGAAGGGTCAACAAAAGGAATAGACAAGTGGATGCCTCGAGAGGGAAAGAAAAGAATGCCCCTGGTTGTCATCGATTTGCAGTCAGATGTTGTTTGCTAGGATTATTGTTGTGGATGAAGCTGCAGAGAGGTCAAGATAGGTTGAAGGTGGACGCGAAAGGAGACGACATTGACGCAAGAAAGCCAAGTTACGGTGCTCGGCACAAAAGAGGAAGGAGACTCTCTTCGCTGCTCCCGCCTCCAGAGATCATTTTCTGACGCCAGTCTGGAAGGAGCGTGGACAGTGGCCGCTCGGAGGGCAGCCCAGGACGCCATGGCATCTCATTCTCAAAGAGCTCGGTTGGACATCGGTAAGATATATAATCTCATATACGACTGGCTGAAATGGGGACTGTGTAAGTGGGCTGAACATCGTGGTATTCCAAGAATGAGTTCACCACCGGTGTGGCTACATCTCTTGGCGACTACCATGGTGCTCATGCTGGGATCGTTGCGAACTCGAATTCGTAGCCCGTCGAAGAGGCTGATGGGATGACAGTTGACATTTGACAATTGACCACTCCACCACTCATCGAGTTTGACCTGACCAACCGACCTAGGAAGGCGCCTGCTGTGCTGGTGATCGAGATGGATTTTGAGGGACTTGTATACCTACTCAGTGAGTTGTTGGTGAGTAAACCACAGAAGCGATGAGATGAGATGAACTGGAGTGAGATGACATAAGCAGGGAGACTTGGGGTCACGGTGCCAGCGCACAGTGTCGACACGTGAGCACGTCCCCGAGAGGAAAATAATCTGGACCAATTGAAATCCCTGCGCAACACAAAGCAAAGGGTTTTCGAGGGGATCGGCAAAATCCTCTAGCAAAGGAGCTTACTTTTTTTTTTTTTTTTTTTTTTTTTTTTCAAAAGTCGTTAAGCTCCCGCTGCCATTCATTCTTTTTAACGGGCACCGACGCTCAATCAGTGTCCAAAGTCTGCTCCTTGACGGCTCCCTCTCCCTGCCGTGCGGTACTATCTAATGATGCCCCCGAGTGCTGCTCTGACTGCTTCTGATCCTGCTGGGCCTTCCGACACCAGCAGCGCCTACACGAGGTTGCACATCTCTCCTTTCGACCAGGACCTCTTGAAAGTCGTTATCCCAGCCGCAATCTTGCCAAACGCCCGGAACATCTCTTTCCACACCATCGAAACCTTCCCCGACAAGCGCTACGGCTTCGTCGACGTGCCCGAAGCGGACGCTGAGAAGATCAAGAAAAGGCTGAACGGCGCCGTGCTGAAGGGCTCCAAGATGCGCATCGATAAGGCCCGCCCCGCCGAGGACTACATGCCCGTGGCCGAGAGCGAAGAGACTGGCAAAAAGCGAAAGAAGTCGTCCAAGGAAAAGGAGGAGAGGAAGAGACAGAAGCGCGACGAGAATGTCCTTGAGGGCGTTGAGCTCCGCGATCGCAAGGTCAAGCGGGGTTGGACCGTCCCCGAGGAAGCCAAGATAAGGGAGAAGAAGAGCAAAAAGGAAAAGGGAGAGAAGAAGGAAAAGAAGGACAAGACAAAGAAGCGCGAGGAGCGTTCAAAGTACACGGACAGAGAGGAGTGTCTTCTCAAGACAAAGCTGCCCTCCAAGCAGCTCCCAGCGGCTGTCGACCCCGAGGACGAGGGCGATCGCAAGAAACGCAGGAAGAAGGCCAAGGAGGTTGTTATCCACGAGTTCGAGAAGACGACAAAGTTCCCTACCTTCCTCAAGGCCGCTAAGCCTGCGCCGACCGAGAACCTTACAACCGAATTCGTTGAAGGCAAAGGATGGGTCGACACCCAAGGGAACGTGATCGAATCGGCCAAGACTAGGAGAACAGCCACGGCACCTGTCCCCGAATCCAAGGCCCCGAAGCCAGCAAAGAAGGCCAAGGCTCCCACGCCGCCGCCTGTGGAGGACGATACTACGAGCAGTAGCGGCACCTCGTCTGACGAGGATACTTCTTCAGACGAGAGCTCAGATGAGGAGGCAGAGCCGGCTAAGGTCACGGAAAAGGCCAAGACTACGCAAGGTGTCAAGGCGGCACCAGTGACGCCTGCAAAGCAAACGCCAAAGGCCGCAAATGATGAAGACACTAGCAGCGAATCATCATCATCGTCCGACGAGGATAGCTCCGACTCGGACGAGGAGGTGGTGGTCGAAACTACAAAGACTTCTGTCCCTGCCAACTTCGACAGTCCGCTATCCGCAATCAAGGCCGCTGATGCATCGCGACCCAGATCCGCCGCTTCCAATGCCAGTCTGACTATCAAGATACCACCATCCACTCCGGCCCAAGTTCATCCCTTGGAAGCTCTCTACAAGCGCCCGAAGCAGGACGGCAATGAGGTTACCGAGCCCGCCAAAGAAGCTGAACCTTTCAGTTTCTTCGGTGGCGGCGGTGATGATATTGAAGAAGACGAGGACGTCGCAGCATCCAGCCAAATGCCCATGACCCCATTCACCGCACAAGACGTCGAGTGGCGCAACGTTAGAAGCGCTGCACCCACGCCCGACACAGCGCACCCCAACCACACGAAGCCGTTCTGGGCTATCGGTCACGAGGGCGAAGAGGAGGAGGACGACGACGAGGAGACCCGCGAGGAGATTGAGGCGACGTTGAACGCGGAGCGAAACGCCGACCCCGAGGGCAGCAGCGGACCCGGAGGCGACTTTCAAAAGTGGTTCTGGGAGAACCGGAGAGACCTCAACCAGTCGTGGATGAAGCGCAGGAAATCGGCGGCCAAGGAGAGGCGGCACCGCGACAACAAGTCGCGCGCCTCCAAGGCTGTGTAGAGCATAAATAGGGACGGCAAATGCATAGCAAAGCATCTATAGAATCACAATGTCTTGAAATTCACATGCCTTGACCACTATCAACACCCGACTGAGACCTAAGCGTGGATAGGCTAATTTAGACAAACAAGACAATAACTCTCTCTTTCACCATTGATAATTCGACCTTTCGCTGCACACATAGCACGGAATCTGATCATAATCTGTTATCGTTCGGCTCCTCTCCCCCTCCCCTGGTTCGCAGTTGGGGTAAGATAGGTAAGATAAGACAACCCCGGCTTCCCCCGCCTCCCGTTGGGAGAGATTCAGGGATTCAAGGATTGGCAGGGAAGGGATATCAAAAACTCCGTCGAAGTACATGTAAATAGCTTGGCGCCCGGAAAAGGTCCGTAAGTTTACCAAGCCGTTTGGATCTCTTGGCCTCTTGGTTAACTCTCTTTCCAGCGAGGCACAGGGGCGCTTTATATCGACCAAAGTTCAAGATCCGGCCTTCGGACAATTCGCCGGCAAGGGGAACACCAACATCGGGCTTGGCCCCGCCCTGCTCCTCCCCCTTATCATCCCGCATCTCAAGTTCTTGACCATCACTAACCCCGCCTCCTATCAACATCCTTCCCAGGTCGTCAGCCCGTCGGCAAAGATGCGATGCGGCTTCACGGCGTGTTCGATGGAACATCATAGCCACCATCCCTGTCTTGTCTCGCTCTCCCCCCTCCAGCATCGAGTATCATTACCCGACGCGACGGTAATCCTCTCGCCTCCAACCTCTTCGGCGTTAGAGATATCTTTCTCTTCATTGGTGTCTTCTCTGTCGTTAGTCAGAAGTTGAGTCTGCTACGATGAGATGCTGAAGATGCAATTGGGCAAATACAAACTGCTTTCAGGGACCCACGCTACCCATCGTCCGATGCAGAATCACAGGGCCATCATGCATCAAATCACCTTGTCACTTTCCGTGTTGGTTGCTGTACTGCGGTAGTTTCCACCAGGATTAGCCACGCGGTCGGCTATTTTGCGCTCAATGGAAGCGATCGACCCTCTAGATCTCTTCTCTCCCTACCTCGTTCTACCTACGTCTTTGCCTCTCCGCGGGAATCCTTATCTCGATTCTGCGACTGGAGAGACTCAGGGAGGGGGTTACGTTGCACTTCGGCAGTCGATATTGACAGCCGATATCCGTATCTGCTGCACACACACGCAATAGTACCGTCGTATCGGTGCTCATATAACATTCGTTCCTCCAGCCAGGCCGACAAGCTATGGCCATCTCTTAGGTTGTAGCAGGCAAGTCAATGTGAAAGAAGCCTTGATCGCCTCGTTGAGATCCCGTCGTGAACTCTAACCTTTCTCTCCTGCCCCTCCAACCTCGAGGTTCTCCCCTTGATGAGCCATCGCGAACATGTCTTCTACCCAAGATATTGAGGCGCCCGCCGTGGATGAAAAGAAGATCGCCATCGTCTCGGACCAGGACCAATCCGACACCACCAGCGAGCGAAATGGCGAGACCGACCTCGGTGAGATTTACATTTTCTGTCGCCTCGGACAGGCTAGATCTCAGGCCGAAAGAGCTCTTATGCTAACGATATCAATAAGTCGCCGTGGAAGGCCAGTACACAAAGGAGGAATACCACAAGCTCAAGAGAAAAGTCGACAAGTACCTCCTCCCCCTCATGTGGATATGCTACGGCATCCAGCAAACCGACAAGACGGCGCTCGGCACCCAGGCCATCTTTGGTCTCCGTCAAGACACAGGACTCAAGGGCCAGGAATACAGCTGGCTCACAACAATCTTCTGTACGTCCCATCACACATCGCCCACCCTCCATCTCCACAAGCAACACGGTTCTAATAGACTCCCCTTCACAATCCAGACATCACATACATGTGCTTCGAATTCCCAAGCAACATCGTCCTCCAGCGCTACAAAATGGGCCGCACCCTCTCCGTCTACATGATCTGCTGGGGCATCATCGTCCTCTGCATCGGCTTCGCCCAGAACTTCACCCACCTCATTGTCCTCCGCGCGCTGCAGGGCGCCTTCGAGTGCTGCATCTCGCCCGGCTTCATGTTGTTGGTCGGTACGTGGTACAAGACGCGCGAGCACGCTTCGAGATCCCTCGTCTTTCAGAGCGCGAATGCCGGGTTTGGAGTGATTGCCTCGCTCATCATGTATGCCATCGGTGCGTCGACGCAGCATAAGGAGGGGGCGCAACCATGGCGGTATATTTCGTTTGTGAGTTGCTCGAGGCCTGGTGCACCTCTCAATGACGTTTGGGGATCGCATTGCTAACATGCACTTTAGTTCTTGGGTAGCTTGACGACTGCTATTGGCTGTCTTTGTCTGTTCCTCCTCGGTACGCCGTCGGAAGTGAGGTGGTTGACGCAAGCTGAGAAGGACATGGTAGGAAGACCAATACCGTATCTTTCAACAGTCCCAATACTGATTGACTCCAGGCGAGCGCGCGCATTATCTCCAATAACACTGGCCACGACCGCACCGCAATCAAGGGATGGAAATGGAAGCAGGTCGGTGAATGCTGCCGCGACCCCATCTTCTGGTTCGCCGGTATCAATGCCTTCCTGAGCTCCGTTCCCAACGGCGGACTCACCACATTTGGAAGCATCATCATGACTTCCTTTGGCTTCAGTATGTCTTTCACCAGACCCCCCTTTTCAACCCTCCTCCTTGATACCGAGAGCCGCGCTGACAGGGCGTCTTTCTCTTCCAGACAACCTCCAAACCATCCTCATCGACATCCCCCGCTCCGTAATGTCCGTCATAATCTTTATCGGCGTCGGCCTCCTCACCAGCAAAAAGGCCAACCTTCGCCTCTGGATCATGGCAACCTCCGTCCTGCCCCCCTTCGCGGGCTTCCTCGGCATGTCCCTCCTCCCCAACGACCCAGCCATCAAGTGGACCAAATGGGGCTGCTACTTCATCACCGTCCCCTTCGTCCTCGGCCTCTTCCTCGCCTGGACCCTGATCCCGAGCAACATTGCCGGCCGCACCAAGCGCACCATGACCTCCAGCTTCACCTTTGTCGGATACTGCGTGGGGAACATGGTCGGCAGCCAGATCTTCAAGGCGCAGGATGCGCCAAAGTATACCCCTGGAACGATTGGGTGCGCTATTTGCTTCGGGATTCAGTTTGCGTTGATCTTGACGTGGCGGTTTGTGTTGGTGAGGAGAAATAAGCAGAGAGATGCCGCGATGGCTGTTGATGGTTTGACTGCGGAGGAGAGGGCGAAGAGGGGAAAGGAGCTTGGGGAGCAGGATTACACTGATTTTGAGAACCCTTACGTGAGTACACTCGGTCTGGATCGTTGTAGTCTGTTTGCTAACATCGAACCCGCAGTTCCGTTACACACTCTAGAACATCTTTGGATGGAATACAACCCAATTTCATTCAGGTCATAGAGATAATAATGAGATCACATTGAGGAAAGAAAGTAGAGCAGCGGTAACGAAGGGTATAGTACGAATCCCACCACAGAATACCAACGAAGACATGATAGACGTTCACCAATATTACATCCTTGCGCGATTGCCCCTCGGGTGATGTCTAGCAGACGCATCCACACCTGCCACACTCACGAACCCACAGCTGGCCCACAATCGTAGACATCGACATACCCAGCATCCAGCTGATCATGACAGCACCAGACCCATCGCTTCACAACACCCTACTCCCCACGAGGAACTCCCTCCGAGTTCTCATCATGATACAAATCAGGACACTTCGCCCCCTTCTTCTGGAAGATCCACCGCTTAATCCACCAAGGCAATACGGTCTTGACCTGGTACGCAGCGTGCTTCCGCTCCGGCACGCCAAAGACGTAATCAAGCTCCTCGAGCGACTTTTGCTTCGTCTCCGGCACGAACAGGAAGATGAGCGCGAGGGCGACGAGGTTCAGGCCCGCGTAGAAGCAAAACACACCGGTGGACGTCATGGCGATCAGCATGCGCGGCAAAGTAAGGGAGAGCACGGACGCCCAGAAGTTGTTGGTTGCCACGGCCCAGGACATGCCGATTTCGCGATGGGAGAGGGGGAAGACTTCGGCGGAGTACATGAAGGGGACGGGACCCTCGCCTAGTTTGGGCGTGTTAGTTGATGTGGAACGTCTCGGTGATATTGAGGCTTGAAGTTACATACCTGGGGAATAGAACGCGGCGAACAGGTAGACAAACGTCGCTACTGCGGCGATTCGGGCGGTGCTGTCGTTAATTAGGTAGCAGAGTCCAGCAGCTGCACGACCATATTAGCACTGATACGCAACTACTTGTCAGCATGAAGACACGACGTACTGAGCAGAGTCCAAAACATGTTGGGAAATGTGAACAGCAGGAGAGTTCTCCGACCAAACGTATCAATCGTCCATACAGCAGGCCAAGCGAAAGTGAAGTTGATCAGACCAAAGCCAAAACTGGCCCAGAGTGCGGTGTAATCGCTAATACCACTCTGCTTGAAGATGGTCGCGCTGTAGAACGAGATAATGTTGACTAAACCAGCAAGTTAGTCTTCTGTGCCCCGCAAATCATGCCCATCTTTGAGTGGTACCTACTTCCACACATCTGCTGCGCAATCATGACAATACCAGAAGCCCACGTCGCGCGCCTGATCCGAGCAATCGTGAACAGCTCCACGAAGCGCGTAAACATGTTACTCGTCACCTTGAGCCCAGACTCCTTGATCATGGTCTCCTCGTACTCCAGAAGCGAGTGGATGTAGTACAGATCTCTCGCAGCCTGAAGCTCCGTATTACGCAAGCGCTTCAGCGATCCCCACGCCTTGAGATGCCTTCCTTTCTTGAGATACCATCTTGGAGACTCGGGGCAAAAGTACGTTCCGATGACGAGCGGGACGGCCGGGATGAAGGCGGAGCCGAATTGGAGGCGCCAAGCAATGTCGCCCGTCTTACCGACGATGAGGTTGGCGCATGTGCCAAGGAAGATACCTTGCGAATGATTAGCATTTTTTGTAACGGTAGTACGCCAAGCAAACACCAAGAGATCGGCGAGTTTCAAGATTTCTTGGTGTTTCTTGGGAGGGACGGTGATTGAGGCTCACCGAACGCAGTCCAGACCTGCCAAGACATTACCAAGCCGCCACGGATAAGAGTGGGGGAGTTCTCGGCGGAGAAGACGGGGACCGTAACTTCTTTCAAGCCCATGCCGATGCCAAGCAACATTCTGAGCACAGCCAGTTAGTATCACGATGTCGCGGTGGCGTTGAATCCTGAATATCTATCTTCCTTACCTGCAAGCTGCGAGCTGTCCCCATGTCTGCGACACAGCCATGCCAAAGGGCGCTAGCAACGAAAAGATGGCAGCGATGAAGATGACACCTCGTCGGCCAAGGAGATCATTGAGAGGATCCGAGATCCAGCCAGCGCTGTTCGTCATCAATCAGCACATCTCTCACTCGCCCTGCCCTGGGCGGTTTAATACTCACAATAGGCAAATCGTGATGTAAGGCATAGAATTCACAAGGCCAATGATCCAGCTATTCTTCGCGCAGTCGCCCTCGTTGGCGACCGGCCCGCAGGATGAACCCGCCGTGTCAGGAATGCCGAGCGCAGTGGGAAACGACAAATTGGCGCCATTGGACCCGGTCTGGTGCAGCGCCGTTAGGAAAACTAAGCTCCCGGGAGATCGCGCGGAATTTGCGGGGAACCCGAGCGGGAAAATGTGGATAATAAGAGGGGGAAATACGAAAGACATGGCATGGTGAGGGGGGCGCGAAGGATTCAAACCATGCTTGGCTTACCTGATCCCACCCTTGAATAGCCGCCGCGATAGAATTGAGAATGATGGTGTAATACAGAGCCCAGGGGTGCTTCCAACGGTGCGTCACCTCCTGGCGCAGCGCGTCCCTCTCGGCTTCGTCGAGTTCCTCGATGGATTCGAAGAGTGCTGGGTTCTGCGCGACGAGGGCGCCCTTTTTCAGCAGCGGGAGGATGTCTTCGGGCAGTTCGTGCTTTTTGTGGTATGCTGTTACCTGCTCGAGGAGTGTTGCTTTAGGGATGTCTTTGAGAGGGTTCTTGATCTCGCCCTCGAGATTCTGGGTGAGTTCCGCGATGGACTTTTTGCGTTCGTCGTGGTGCTCGACGCCGTCTTTGTGGATCCTGGGGCTTGTGTAAGTTGCGTCCCGGAAGAACTTCACGTGGGAATGGTGGGTACGTTGAGATTGGGCTGGGTGCTACGTACGGTGTTTCCGTCTCGATCCTCTTCTCTGGTTCCGCCATGACGAGCGTGATTTGCGACGAAGAATTCCTGTGCAAGGCTGTAATGAAGCTGTGCTCTTGAAAAAATGGCTGCCGTGAGTGACGCAGTTGCACTGTGCCGTTCGATAGCCTCAAGCCGTCCGAAGGGAGGGGGGTTCAGATTAAATATCCAGAATTACCCGTCCAACGTCTGAGGGGCCGTCCCTGTCATCTGAATCACCCTGTCTCATCAAGAACATGTACTCCAAGGTAGCGGGCGTCGGCTGAGCACGTAGCCGGGGTGTTGGTTGGGTTGGTGGGAGCAAGGAGACGGCTGGAGGGCATACTTTCGAGAGGGAGGGTGATGGACGGGCATGGTCGTATGAGTTGTACATCGTTGCAACATCTCATATTGCATCCTGGCCACCGAGGCAGACCAGTGAAGCAGAGTCATTGAAACAAAGCTTGGCTGGCCAGGCCATCAAAGAGACCGGCGACGCCTCTAATCTTAGGGAAGTGAGATGCGAGCGCCCCGAATCGGCCTAATGCTGCTATAGCTCCCTTCGATTCTATGCGGGGTCGCAACAGGCGTGACAGGCTATTTCATGCAGCTTATGCCGTAAAAAGCTGCAATGGCCTGTCCGTCTGGCCATTGAGGAGGTAGTTCACCTTGCTCTTGCTGGTCGCGTGGCACATGGTGGGAGGATGTCTCTTCCTCCTGTAGCGGGAAAAGCTTAGAGAAGCTTGGTCTGCGACAAAGTACCGGAACGTCAATTGAGCAAAAATGTTTGGGAAGCTCTCTTCAGCCAATAATGTGTCGATCCTTGTGTTCTACGAGGGATGGTGGGAGTGGGATGACGATTGCTACCACGTTGGGACTTTGAGCAAACGTATGTGGCGCACCCTCCGCAAAGACGCCTTGTAAGACCGGGGTCGAATCTGGGGACGCCCCGGGATCTGACCACACGCACGAAAGTCCCTTGTGTGGTATTACTGTCAGATAGCCTTGGATGAATGAGACAAGCCAGGCAAACACTCCCTAAGGTTGCCAAGGCTGAACTCGGTATGTTGGGTGATGGACGGCGATCTCTGCCTGAACAGCACCAGCAAGCTTCATCCTTTTGGTTCTTATAATGAGGCTTGCACGGCAGGATCTGGCAGCCTGTATCACCCCACATGCCGATAGCTCATGGCACACAGCGATGTGAAGTCCTTTGCAGATTGTTAAGAAAAGAACTTTGAATAAGTAGCCATCTTGAATTCAATGTCACCTACAATAGCTACCTTATTGAAGAAAAATAGGCAAGTTTGAGAGTGGAAGATCCTGGATAATCCAAAGCTTATCGATATAGACTTGCCAGGAACCATTACCAAGACGGCAGCTAGATTCTAGGCACAATTGATCGACATATGCAATTCGCCGATTTGCAAGTCTTCATCTTATTCTGTGTGATCGGATGAAACATTCTGTAGCAATACTCTATTACCGCCTTTTTAGACTTTCGGTCTCGGTAAAGATCAGTCTAGCTTTCGTGTCGTCTTTACAACCTTTCAAAGTTCGCGGCCGGGAAGCTAAGTCAACTTAGAACTAATTATCGTATCAATACGACAAGCACAACTGCTATGCTCTCATCGACCCAAGGAACATTCCGTATATCTTGATAGCTGCCTATAATTATGTACCCCGAAACTAGCGATACCGAAAGTCTGCTCTACCTAAAGGATGGTCTGAATAGCCTCCTGTCTGACGTCCATATTCATGCACATTTACAAGTAATTTGAGATTAACGAGAACGATATCGCCGACCTACGAGTCAATCAATGTTTCCATGCCGCATCACGACGCTTTTAAGGGCGATGAACCTGCTTCTTCACGGAGTCTTGAACGGGCAGATGAAGGCGTGAATTCCGATACTCATACACGCATTGCAAGGGTCTGAGAAAGCCAAAGTACTCCCAAACCAATAACAACGCGTACCTCGGAGTTGCGCCAAGCACCAAACAATCTCGATGCATCAAAGCTTGAGCTCCAAACATCTCATCTGCTCTGTTCCACGGCAACACCCGCATAACGATGTTGACTTGGAATTCGACAAAAAGAAGAGAAGTAATGCTACTACTTGACATCACCCCACTAATAACCCGCCAAATTGCTCATCCTCGGAACCAAATGCCGCGGGAATCCGTGATGCGTATCAAGAGCACCCATAGTGGAGAATAAACGGATGGACGGATATCGAGACGAACATAGCAAAGGAGGGGCCTGCAGCGCTTGGCTCCACTCCGAACCTTCCGGGCAGCTCCCGGATCCCGAGGTTCCCGCCCAGTGCAATGGCGTGCACGAATTTGCTGAATAAGCACAGGATGTCTGACACTTTTGAGTTTTGCGATAGACAACTGCACATCTCCTCCAAAACTATCCATCGATATTCAAGAAGTTGTGTATGAGATGGCTGCTTCAGCGCTTGCTTTCAAGCAGGCAGTCTCACCGCAGCGGATTTGTCTGTTACTCGGCTTGTTGATATGCTCCACTGTCGCCGGCGCGGATCTCCGGTGTCCCGATTACGTCATCCAACACGGTAAGTCAGTCGCATGCGATGCCGGCATCTTACTGCTGGGGTTGGTGTTTACGACAGCCGAGCTTACTAGAGGTCTGATATGACATGTAGCACCTCTCATATGGCTTCACTCTGGGGACTCATACATGCCCAGCGACCTCTTGACGCACATCCGGCACACTTCCCCGGCACTAGAGGGGAAACCCATCCCAGGTATCCCAAATCTCGACCTGGACAACTTGGAAACACTCAACAAGTTTGGAGACGAAGTAGCTCTCACGTCAAACGATGATCCATTAAGTTACCCGGAATGGATCCATGGTGCGACTCCCGACGCTGATGGCAGAATCAACAACGCCACACCATGCGTAGTGGTTCTCGTCGAGAAGGGAGAGCGGGACCTGGATGCGTTTTACTTCTACTTCTACTCGTTTAACGAGGGCATGAACATCAGTCAAGTTCTGGAACCATTCAATCGTATGGTCAAGGGCGAGAAGGCCCAGTCAGGGATGCACTTTGGTGATCATGTCGGAGATTGGGAGCACAATATGATTCGGTTCCGAGATGGGAAGCCGACTGGAATCTACTACAGTCAGCATGTTGATGGCGCCTCTTTCGACTGGGATGATTCAGCCCTCACAAAGACCGATGGAAGGGTTCGTGACCCTTGTGTTTTGGCCAATGGCGCCAGCATTCGCTAACTTTGCCTAGCCTATCGTCTACAGCGCACGCGGATCTCATGCCAACTATCCAACCAGGGGGTGAGTTCCTTATTTTCTTTATGGAACCCAAGGACTAGACTGACTCAAGTAATTAGCAATCAAATACATAACTCCGTCTTGGTCGACTACTGTGACGAAGGAAGAAGATGGGACCCCATTCTCTCAGCATACTTCTACCATTTCGATAAAGAGTCCTTCACTGTCACTAGATTAGACCCACCAGCCAAGTCATCCCCAATCCCACCACCATCCTCGAATTTGACATCTTTCTTCTACTACTCCGGTCGATGGGGAGACATAGCATACCCAGCTTCTGATCCCCGCCAGGAAATCGTCCCAAGGTTCGGACTCAAGAGAATCGAGTCTGGCCCGACTGGCCCACGACACAAGCATCTTGTCCGAAAAGGCTTGAAGCCAGACCAGAGGCGAAAGATGGGATGGATGGAGTGGGGCGTCGGAATTTACATGTCCTTATACCCGTGTTGTTTGAGAGGATGGAGGAGGTGGGTTTTCATGGGACTAATCATTGCAGTATTTTCGGGAGCTGTCATTGGGGCTGTCATGGCTGTGAAGAGGTATAGAAACAGGAAGTATACGAGGTTACGGGCGGAGGATATACCATTAGATGACTGGGCTCTGGAAGACGAGGCACTGTTGTCTTCGTCTGACGAGGAAGATGTGGATAAACCGCGAAAGCTTGCTAAGCAACATCAAGACATATAGGCCGGTCCGACATTTACCGAGAAGAATTTGAAACATTAAGGGAAACTCTCACTTCAATTCAGGATGAATGGCATTGTAGCTCTTGTGAAGAATATCATATTGGGTCGTAGAAACTGGGTATGCTAGCTGCCGCTGTTGCCCGCCGCCCGCGTATCCAATGGGCTACAGCCCTACACAATTGGAAGTGTGACTGCTGTTGGTTCCAACTAGGCAAGATATTTGTATCCGCACCATAAGATATTAAGTTCGAACTGTCTGGTCCTGTGGGCGATGGAGGGTCAGTTAGATGAAAGTCATGTTGCTTCATGTCGTGTTGTTGGTAGGCTGAACGCACGCCCCTGGGACCTAATCGGATCTTCGGTCAACTGAGACGTTCAACACCAACCGAGGGAATTTCGGATTTGCCTGCAAGAAGGCCTTCAATCTTCTTGCTGCGCTCGTCGTGATCCAAACCTGCCAAACCACACGTTCTGCACGTCTGTATTCCTGCGTCCTTATCTTTAGTATGAATAAACCGAAAGATATATGTATTTTCATCAGGTGCCGGAGCCAAACACATCATGTCTCGCGTTTTCCGATGCCATAAAAGAGGCGTTCTCCCTTCTTTGTCACTCAAACATGGTTCTGCACCTGCGTTCAGCAACACGGCGACCATTTCTGGGCTCGCAAACTGCGCTGCAAAGGACAGCGCTGTACGACCATCGACATCTTTCAGGTTTACTGCTGCTCCACGCTTGATCAAAGATTTCACAAGCCTGAGTGCGTTATCGCCCGTAGCGTATGTCAAGACAGTCCTTCCTCAGTTGTCTCGAATATTGATTTCCGCTTCGTGATTTAGCAAGAAGAATGCGGCCTTGTTACCGGGATAGTCTGCACTGCAGTATTTCCGAGAATCGAGGTGGCTGACATCTGCTGCTATCATGAGAGGGGTTCGGCCAAGGCTGTCCACAGAGTTGACGTTGACTCTGTTTGTTCGAAATAAGACTTTCATCTTCTCAACTGATTCGAACCCCTTTAACTCTGCGCTGTACGATAATGGACTTCGACCTTGGTCATCAAGGTCGTCAGGTTCGAGGTGCAGTTCAAACAAGAGATAGGACAGGACTGTCGTATCACTCCGATTGCCTGCTGCCCGAGACATGGCAGACCTGTTTTTATGGTCGGGCTTCGAGACGTTGATTCGATAAGTCTCGAGAAGAAGTCTCATCATGTCAACGCAAACTGCACCAGACACACCGTAGCCGGTGTTTGAATCGAGATCCGCAAGCTTGCAGAACAAAGTTCGCCCATCTTGCGGATGTGGTGAGCAAAATCCGGTTCAAAGCGGTCATCGTGCAGTAGAGACTTGAACCTTTCCACGCTGCCGGAACTAAAGACTGTCTCTAGTAGAATATGTTGATCTTCATCAGTGAAGTCGGAAAAGGTGCGTTGGTCTGCAAGTAGAAGCTGGAATAAATCTTCGTGATTGGCTGCATAGTGCACCGGTTTCCAGTTCGGCATAATGCCGCAGGGAGCGGCAAAGCTAGTCCTGGGATCTTGAAGTAAAGCAGCCACTGCAGCTTTGTGTTCCCGTTGAATCGCAACAACCAAAGGTGTATATTTGTCTTGCCGCCGATTCAGGGCGATTTCCGCGTATTCAGAGTCGATACATTTGCTGAGAAGAAGACGAATGATGTCTGCGTGCCCAAAGCTAGCTGCCCACCAAAGTGTTGTTCTGCCACTTGCGCAAACCTTATAGCCACTGCGAGGGTCTTCTAGTAGTAGCTTGGAGACTGCCAACTTGAGACCGAATTATGTAGCAAAGGTTAAGGGGCTCAAGTCGTCAAGACTTTCGTGCTGTTCAAAAGCCATTCTATACCTTCTGGCCCAGTAGCGGTCTTCTCTATTCATGTGCCTCGTACGGCGCAGCCGCCACATCCACCTCCTCTGCATCATGACGTTGCTTGCTATAGTCTTACACAGAGATACCATGTTATCTCCAAAAGAATCAATGCCGCAGAAATGCTCCTCCTCGCATTCCTCAATGTGACGGGTCCAGTGATTGAGGGCATACTCTTTGAAGGCGGACATGTGCTCATCTAGATGATGACCGTAAGAGTTCAGATCCTCCAAGAGTAGATACCAAACGCAAGCTTTGGCCATGATGAAATGCGACTCCTTCGGCTTAATTGAGTGTAGCCTTTGTGTCCAGGCCTGTAAGCTAAGAACTCTCTTGCAGTTTCATGAAGCAGGTAGACGTTCCCGTCTACAATAGTCACAAATAAGCCGCAAATTTCTCTCAGGTATGACGGGAATTTCTTGATGGGCTCTTGACACGTTTGAGAAGTATACTGGTGATGGCTTTCAACGCAGAGCGCCCCTGATATCTCGGACAGACTCAGAGGCCTGTAGGCCCCAAGAATGATGTGAAAAGCCTTCCGAGCTCTTTCCTTGTTTGCACTTTGTTCAAGGATCTTTTCATATAGCCCGTCTAGCTTCTCTGGTACGCTGTTGAAGATAATCTCGACATTCTCTTGTGTAGGGGACTCCAAGCGACTTTCGATGAAATCGATCGCGAGTTTGACCCATAAATATGTTCGGTGTTGCCAAGTCAATAAGCTTTCCTCAAGCAAATTGACCTCTTTTGCTTCAAGAAGTTGGATCTGGGCGATACCCTGTAGCCTATGACGGATAACGATGCCAATCTCGCCGGAAATCCGTTCTGTATTAGACTCATCATCGCCTCTTAGATGAATAGTCGGTAAAGAAGTCTTAAGTGGCTGGAGGCTGCGCTGTATTCTGGTGTACAGTCTAGACGTGATGATGAATTTAAGACGACTGTGATCCGGGGGGTTCTTGTAAAATTTGGCCAGGGTCGATGTTACTTGGCGGCAGTCGTCTCCATTACATTCGTCGGGAGCATCGAACAGACAGGTGACTTCGGTTTCGACTTTCATTGCGGCTTCAAGCAAGACGTCGAAAAGTCTCGAGAACGAGTTGAGCAAGTGATTACCATCCGCCTCAAACTTGGCCACGGTGCTTTCTTCCATCAACTCGCTATTCTGTTCCAAGATCTGTCGCAGTACTGCGCACATAGCAGTTGAAGCACTTCTCTGGTCGTCAAAGCCGTCTTTGAAAAAGAAGTAGCTTGTTGTTCGATCTGGCGTGCTTGGACAGACATCATCTACCAAGTACCTTGCAAGCACCGACTTCCCAGCGCCAGGATCAGCCGAAACCCACAACATCCTGGACTCTGATGCGACTATCCAATCGCGAAAATATTCATGCTCGGTGAACCATTCGCAGGTCCCTGGAGCCCTCTCGGGATTGATGTCTTTGCGATCACGATAGAGGCAGGTGTAAAGCCTGTTCAGAAGCTTCGTCCTTCGTCTGAGTAGGTCATTCGAGACGGGTTTTGGAAGGTTAAACGTAACGATAGCTGGTTCAGTCTTTTGAGAGGGCAACTCGACAAAGGTGAGGATTTTGTCATGAGTGATAAGTTCCGCGATGGCTCGGCACTGAGCATCCAGCCTTTCTATTTCTTCAATCAAGGCCTTCCACGTGTCGCCCCTGAACATGTCCCTGATGAATCGGGTCGGACGGCTGCGTTGGAGATAACAGAGTGCTCGTGCCTGGAACTCAATGATCTTGGTGTAAAGATTGACTAGGTTGCGTTATAGATCCAGCTCAAGCCTTCTGGCCGACTCTGCTGGAAGACTCTCTACGTGGGCTTGAGGGCGGTAAACCTGCTCCATCGCGAAGTATCGACAGATGAGAGAAGATGTCAGTTCAAGACCTCGGAGGATATGTTCTCTCTGCTCTATGGGGCGGACGAGGAACTGTTCGGAGGTTACTCGTGCTATGTCAAGAACGAGCTTTCAGTGTATGAGGTGGCACAACGAACTGTAAGGATGACCAGTCCACCGGCACAAGCAAGAGCGGCGTGAGGGTCGGCCCCGGCGGCACTGCTTATGAGGTCCTTTGCAGCGATGATGTGTTTCGATACATTGTTGAACAAGGGCTCAATAGGCAACTCGCGACTTCCAAGGGAAACGGTCAGCCGCTCTTGGCTCAGTTCTTCCACCTTCGCATTCAAATCCTCGGCGACTTGTTCATGTTTGAGATGACTTGGACCTTCGGCTCCAGGCCCACTTTCAGACCCAGATAGCTCCGAGGCCAGGATCTCAGCATACTGCTGGGCGAGCTCCCGCTTTTCTGAATCGGGATCATCCTGCATAGCCTGCATCGTCTTCTCCCAAAGATTTGTCAGGGTCGAGCTGGTGTTTTCAGCTGCTGTCGATACCGACTTCGGTGGGGAAGCGTTGCTTATGCTGTCAACACTCTCCTCGACACCCGTCGGCACTGGAGATGGCTCGGGCGGACACTGGAAAGAGGCCTCGCTTGGATTGGCCAGAGAGGGATTCGAGGATTTCATTGGGGACAATCCGGGGTCCGCTAACATATCATCATCCTTAAGTCTCCCCTTACGTCTCAGCCTCTCGAGCCAAGCCATTTTCCTCATCTTGTCAGATTCTAGCGGCTGCGCCGACATCGTCGAAAAGAAGGGACCGGAGCAAATCTGGTGGACGTTAGGAAATTGACATCACGGCAAACTTGACGTACAAGGTCTGAGATTTTATGAGATGGACTGGGAAAAGATGAGAAAGTCGATGAGAAATCTGGATGAAGGGGGAGGGGGGGGGGTCCACAAGACTGCACATCTGCATGAATCAGGCAGCCAACGGGCGAGGCGCAGATAGGCAACCAACAGCCATTCATGTTCATGCAGCGAGCCAACTGGCTGCCTCAACATGCAACGCAACCGCCGGCGTTAACTTGGCATGGCAAGTTGGTGAGAGTTATAAGTTGCAGGCCTCTATCTCTGCATGTCATTGGCTAGATGTGGCGCAGTATGTATGCGTATTACGCAGGTCGTCTCATTCTGGGCCAACATAAGCGGATCAGGAAGTGGAATGTCGATCTCAATTACACGTACACACACATAAGGCCGCGGAAAGACGAAAGAGGCACAAGTGTCTGAAAGTCATGCCTGAATGCCTTGCCTCAAACTTATTGAACCATATTCCTACATCAAAACCTCGAATAAACCGAAACCGTTTCCATCTCCGCGCGGAAGGGGTATCTTCACAAATCAATCGCAGTTCCATGTTTCATCCAGACTCCCGTGTCAAAAATTACATGTTCTTTCCCCAGTAGGAACGCCCAAAACACAGAAGACTGGCTCATCAAATATATTTCATGATGGGTATTCTGCCGTAAGGTTGCATCCGGAACTCGCACCGATCCTAGCAGCTCGATCCCTGGTTGCTCGCTGGGAAGTTGGCAGGAGCCGCAGAGACGACGGCCGTCATGGAGCTGGTGCGGGAGTTTCCGGCCGCCGCAAGGTCGACGTTCCGCAAAGCTGTGTCATTGGACTCCTGGATTTCCTGACGAGAGGTGCCGCTGGCTGAGAGGTAGACGCTGCTGGTGTCGCGGGGCATAGCCGGGGCGAAAGGGTCGAATACGGCGGGCGGCTGGGTGACCTGGTCGACAACAGTTCCATCGGAACTCTTCTCGGACTCTTCAGTCGAGCTACCTGCGTGGGCTTGCTCGTTCGCAAGGGCGGCAGCAATCTGACGGCGATGAGCGATCTCTGCAGCGTCGGCAGGCAGGTGTAGATGACCCTCGTGAGAGAGCTTGGGGAAGGTAGTCGAGCGAATTCGCTTCTCATCGTCAATGAGAGCATTGGTCTTCTTGCGGAAAGAGCGCATCCGAAGGCTCATAACGACAGTGAAGATAGTGACGATGAGGCTCACCATGACCCAGACAACGACGAAGTAAGGGATGCTCATCTGGGAAGCTACCATAGTCATACTGACAGTAATGGAGACAACCGTCTGAGTAACGAAGAAGAGAGTAAGGACGACGGACCCTACATAGATCTTGTCATCAAGACTGATGCGCTGGTACCAAGTGGTGCCTGTCTCAAAATCCTTCTTTCGCCTGTCCTGGCGGCATTGGAGGAGCTGAAGATTGAGGAGCTGAGAGCTCTGGCAACGGCGGTACAAGACTTTGAAAGGTTTCTGTCGATGCTTGGAAGGAATGGCCTTGCTCGATTGAGCATCTTTCTCGGACTTCTCGACTAGGGTAGGAATGTTGGCCGAGTTGCGACCGGTCAGGTTGCGTCCAGTCTCGTGAACAGACAGGCCTTGAGGGTGAGACGCGAGCAAGCGGCCGTTGGGATGGTTGACCTGGAACTCGTCCAGAGACTCGGTGACACTGATCTCAACCGCTGGATTGTAGTCATCTCTAGGATGAGGTTGGAATCGGCTAGAATTTCCAGTGAAGCTTCGGACAATGGGCACCATAGTCGAGGTGCGGGGAGTTGCGTTCTGGAAGGGCCAGCGAGGAGATTTGGCTTTGCCGCTGAGAGGGTGTTGAGGCAAGATCATACTCTTGCCTCGGACAGTGGGCGGAGTGTAATTGAGGTCGATTACTCTGTCAGACTCCTCAGAAGACATGGGAGAAGGAGGAATAGGCGTCGAGGGATTCATCGCAGGGTGAGGCGCACTGTCCGGCTCGTCGGAAAGGTCTGAGATATCATCGCTAGTGAAAGTCTTGATGATTCTCGGCTTGTTCGGCAGCTTGAAGGAGGTGAATTCCTCCACCGAAGGGTACGCCGCTCCACGACTGGCGACCGCAGTCGTGGCAGAGCTGAATGAGGCCTGCGGCGGCAGCGACATTCTTGCTCGTGGATGTGAGTGCTTTGTGACGATTGTTCCAAGTGAGGGTATTCGGAAAAAAGAGAGTGACGGAAAATGAATGACAAAGAGGATGTTGTGGGAAGGAATGAATAGCCTGGAAGTTTGACAAACGAAAGAAAAAGCCGTGTGACGATGGGGGAAAGAGAGTGCTGGATTTGCGAGAAGGAAAATATCATTCCATGTTGTTCTATGTGGAAAGGTTGACGCGGCTCAAAAGTTGAAGACGCGCCCGTCTCCAGGCACCCACAACACCACGGGTCCGCGGTGAGCAAGTTTTTCTCCCAGAGGGAAGGAAAGACCGGGCGACTTCCACGAATGAAGAAGGTGAAGTTATCGTCAGGAAAAGGAGCAGACAAGAAAGAGATGCCCATGGTTAAATCCTGCACCACATTGACGCAAGGTCAGACCACCACAGGAATGCTGAGTTGCCATCAGCAATCATCCTCCATTCCAGCATCCTAGTTACAGTAACCCAATTCGATGTTTATTTTCATGTCTCAGATAGGATTTCCGGATTTGGTCAACCTCGAATCGATCCGTTCGAACTTTATGATGCACATCATCTCCCAGACACGTGGTTAGGCAAGAAAGTGGGCAAAACATAGGCAACTACGGGGTAATCAATAATCTGGGGAAATGACCTCGGGCCGTACCAAAACATCCGGCAATCGATGAGTCAAGTTCTTCGGAACTTGCGTGGTCTGACTTCTGCAGTCCATTCGGTCTCGACGTCGTCTAAGGCTTGTAAGTCGTTGCCAAAAATGCTCCTTCCCAAGCGGGACCCTATTAACAGGCCGAACGCGCCTGCCCATTGTTGAAATAATACAGCAGATATCTACTGATGACTATCAGCCCATGGAATATTTGGGTTTCTGGTACTTGTGGCTTTGCCTGAATATCATGGTAATCTCTAGGCTCCAAAGGTGATATCGGAGGCCAATTTTTCCGTATCTCTTGAGTATTCGCCGCAACATAGGATGAAAAGAGGAAAGTTTTGTGCCAATTGTGTAGTCGTTCTTCTAGAAAATTCTATATTTCACTCACCCTGTCAACGATCACCTCTCCAAACACGATCTTACTCTGGTGTTCCAGACAACTTAGATAATTCCTCCTTTGTGTTGTTAGCCCAGCGACCTTTAGACTCACGGATGACAGCAAGGCTTGGGTGCGTACCAGAACCAGAAGCCTCCGGGGCTTCTTGAATATTTGCCTGCTGATTAGTTTCATTCGTGATGGAATCCGGTTTGGGAGGCTGCTCGCCCTCATAACGCACACCATTCACGAAACATCCCTCTGAATCAGCCACCCCAACAGTGGTGGCATTGAAAGCGTCTCCCATTCTAGCAACCTCCAAGTCGTGCTTGAGCCCTCTCTTAGAGCACTGGATCAGAATGACAGCCACTAGGGCCCAGAGGACTACAATGCCGCTGATAGCGATCCAAGTGAACATAAAGGGGAGATTCAGAGGAGGTTGGACATGGTCTTTGAGGGCATATATTCCGACCGAAAAAAACAGACTCGCTGAAAAGCCGGCAAGGATGCCGACTGCTTTGTGCATGGAAAAAGCCTTGGCCCTAGCACGGTAGAAGGGATGCTCCTCGTTGTCACCATGAGTTCGCAACTGGTAGAGGTACAAGGCAGACTCGACCTTCTCCCAGAATGTCTTGATTGGCGGCAGTTCTTCATCCTCGGGTAGTTGGCTAACTTGGTCAGTTACCTGGTCAGTACCCGCGCCCTCGTGGACATGGAAGTGCTGTGAATTCTGGCGATGGGGATGTTCCGGAAGCTGTTGCCCATTCTCGGCGTCCACCATCTGGATCGGCAAGTCATCCTGGATGGCGCCACTGCAATGAGGGTCTTCGGCGGTAATATCGGTCTTCTGAGCGTTTGTGCTATCGGGATTTGGGGTATTCTGATTGGTCGAAGAGTCATCCTTTTCTTTGTTGTACTTCTCGACAAGGCGCAGCGGTCGAGGCCCTTTGGTCGACACTGGTTGCTCATTTTGGTGAGAACTGGCCCATTCAGGCTTCTTCGGGGCGTTCTTAGCTTGCACCGATCTGAGTTGACCCTTCAGGGCGGTGGTAGCAATGTTGCTTTCGAAATATGACTGGGCCATCGTGATGCGGTTCGGAATACTGAGAATATGTTAGTTGTCTGATTGGTTTGTAGGGTGATATGAGTTGAGCGGCCAAGGTTTCGAAGTTGGCAGCTTCGAGCTTGTTAAATGCTGCATTCTCATTGCGAGTCTTTGTGTTGAACAAAGTCTTGTCCTAACTGAATGTTGTTTGTCACGAAATGACTCGGCAACACTGCCTTTTGTTGGAGATAGGCATGTCACATTGGGCAGTCGACACAAAGTCGATGATTTTGTGCAAGGAAAAAGGTTGTGAGGATGAACAGCAAAAATTGAGGGAACAGTCATCCAAGGTAGACGTCGGTTTGTTACAGCAAAAGCTGTTTCAGCACGGTCAAAGACTTCAACAGTGGTGGGAGGTGACGTAGAGGGTATGAGCATGGGCAACTAGCTGGTCGACTTTCGGTTATCGATATTGACCTACCCTTATATGGGAGCCGTCCTTTGCATGTCCAGATGTTAGCGGATTTTCTGGAACATGCAGGCTAGATCATTCCGATTGCTGTGGTAACCAGAAGATGCTCGATAACCATGGGAGGCAAGGCTGGCCGAAACTCCATGTCAATCAAGCGCGACATCTCAAAGACACCCTAGTCTCATGCTAAAGCCCCTTTCGATGTTCTGCATAGGATAAAACTTCTGATAGCTGTCACAGTTCAAGTCAACATCTGCCAAACGAACGGGCTCGGTTTAGATCCGGGGCTTTGAATAATACAACCTAAGGTAACAGTTACTTGGCCTCAAACTTTCGAGTTTCGAAGCTGGCTTGCGCGGAATAGAATTACCCGCCGGTCTTTCAAGGCCGCTGATCTGGAACACTCGCCACTTTACAATTCTCATGAGTAGAGCCTTACGAGATAGGGAGTTAAATCAAGTTGCATTTTGCTATTTTCGCTCCTGTGGCAGGCTCAGCAAACACTGGAGGAAGGAGGAGGAAGCTGTGCAGCAGCCCCTACTTTGAGCGCAAGACTTGACAAGGGTCTGCTTAACTTACGATGACAGGGTATTGACCGGCATGCTCTAAGGTATGCACTCTCTCATCAATCATCTCTTCAGAATTAGCGTTCGAAGACACGAGACGGACTCGAGCAAGTGAAGAATAGTTTCAAAGCACCCACGTGCGGTGGAGACCACAGAAGGCTTTGACCGAAGACCCAAATAAAACCACATTTGTACTCAGCACTCTGCACCTGCTTAATTCAATCTCCAAGCGTAGGTTTGTTGGAGGGCCTACATTCGCATCTCGCAATGCCTCTCTGCTATCTTCTCAACTAACAATTCTTGGCTCATTGGCGAGAAAATATGATGTACAAATTGACCGTCGGGTTCTATCCAATCAGAGGCAAGATGGCCGAGCGGTCTAAGGCGCTAGCTTCAGGTGCTAGTCAAGTAATTGGCGTGGGTTCGAGTCCCACTCTTGTCATGTTTTTGCCAAAATATCAACAGATATGGTCTTGATATTACTTTTTTGTGGAAATTGGTTGTGAATAATGCCGATGGGTAAGGTTTGATGTACTTAGACAGGTACCGAAGCCCAAGGTGGATTGGAGAAGTTGGGGAATCGCATGATGCGTGAGCATTTGATCTACCCCATTGACATACAACCTCCGAGGTACAACTCCCAGCGAACTCTCTGTTGTCACCAATTTCATCATGTTTAAAGTTGGCAGTGAAATGATTTGGCGGAGAAATAGACTAAATTAAGGCAAGGCCTTTGTAAGAATGCTTCTGACTATTGAACGCCGAGCCCCTTCTCATCGAGTCATCGTTGAGTATCTTCTCAATTCTTGCATCAACGCAATTATGGAAATAGACTGCCTTTATTCATCCTTTGAACCTTTTTAAACTCCAAACTCCTCTCAAATTCAAGAAAACTAGTAGGAAAAGCCGGCAGCTTCCGTAAAGGGCGCGTACAGAGCGCAGGGGTAATCTGCCGCAAGCGTCGCCGACACCGTTACACCACTCGACGATCCAGAGCCCAAGAGTCCCAGCTCGAAGCCAAGAGCGCTTCCAATCTTGGGCCATCCAACTCCACCGCTGGGGTTCTTGGCGAAACCGCCCCAGACGCCCTGCATGTAGGAGCTGAGCTTCGTCTGTTGCGCAGTAGCGGAACCCCACTTGCTATAGGCGGGGTATGTGCCAAAGACGGAGGGGATCTCGCTGGTGTGGTAGGAGCCCGGATTGGCGAAGATGCTGGTAGAGGCGAATACCGGATCGTAGCGGTAGCGGTAGGCGGTGTAGCCATTGAGGGCGAGGTAGCTTGCCAGGGTGGATGTCGTGCAAGTAAAGATAGCGTCGGTGATAATCCTGTCGGCAACGACAAAGGGATCGTTGAGAGCCTTTGCGGCGTAGGAGGTCGTGATGGCGGCCTTTGTGATAGCGGAGGTGATACCGATTTGGGAGAGTGCCGAGCTCAAGGCTGAGGCTCCGTCATTCATGCCCTCCACAGCGAGGAAGACGCGGGCCTCGTTGAGGGTGGTACCCATGATGACGGGGATCTTGGGCCACTTCTTGGAAGAGATGCTGTTGCGGACGTCGTTGATGGAGGTACCATCGCCGTTGACGGGAGGGAAAACCAGGGACTGGGCTTCAATGTAGGCCTTGATATCTGTGGCTGAGACCTGTCGAAGGCACTTGATGTCGGCGCAGTTGAAGTTCTTCAGGACCTTGGAGTAACTGTCGGAGCCGGAACCCACAAGGAGGGACTGCTGTGACTCCATGATGGCAGCCGAGAATGGAAGAGGGCTGGGCGGGTTTGCGAGGAGCTGCTTCACGGATTCACCACCGGCAGACTCTCCAAAGATGGTGACGCGTGAGGGGTCGCCGCCGAACTGAGCGATGTTGCCCTGCACCCATTGAAGAGCGAAACGCTGGTCAAGGTATCCAGAGTTCTGGGATCCAGTGGCAATCTCCGGAGAGTTGGAGAAGCCAAAGACTAAGGTAGCTGGTTAGCACGGCTAATGACTAGTCATGAGTAAAGAGCCCTTACTGTTGGTGCGGTAGTTGATCGTGACCACTACAACATCTTGAGAGACAGCAAGCGAGCTACCGTCATAGATGGGCAGACTGGCAGTGCCAAACTGAAGGTTACCGGGAAACAGCCAAAACATAACAGCCTTCTTGCTGGTAGAGGTTGTACCCGTAGGAGTGAAGACGTTGAGGTACAAACAGTCCTCACTCTCATCTGTAAGAGACCCAGCTGGGTTTCCGAAATAGGCCTTCTGCAACGTCTGGGCGTTGCCCTTCTCTGCGAACTGTTGTATACATGCTGGCTTGAAAGCTTGAGCCGACAGTGGAGACGACCATGCATCTGCGGCCTGAGGAGGAGAAAACCGTTCTGGGGGAGACTTGGCGAATGGGATTCCCATGTAGGCATTGGCGGTTCCGGTTGCTGATGCGGGTTGGGCCGTGGTGCCAATTACGACACCGGAGGCGATCGTAACTGTTGGGCCGGCATTGGCAGGCGCGGCAAGGGCTTGGAGAAAGAATGTGGATGAGAGAAGAAACGTGGTCAACGAAGAGATGCCCATCTTGAATAGAAGAAACGGTTCGTATAAACCTTGGATACTAGAGAAGGATTGAAATGGAGTCGATGCTCTTGGTCAATGGGAATGTTTGCCATGGTCTTCTCGTCTGGTTTTATGTCTGGTTCTACTCATTCATACTACTATCCACCTCTTCGGGATCTTCATTGTGACCGCGGGGCTACCGATGGACGATATCTCTAACGCCACCAAGAGACTATCGACCCTTTGTGCGGCGAGGCGACGACTAACACATCTCGCGTGGCCTATGAAGCTAAAATGCTCGAGCGCTTTGACTAGACCTAACGCCATCGCAGGCGGTGCTGATTACTAGAGACTGGCTAGATCACAGCGGCCCGTTTCCGGACGACGTCGCCCGCATTTGGCATGGTAACTGTGCCTGTCTCAGGCCATAAGTGAGTCGAGCCAGCACCGATGTAATAAGGGACCATTTCCCGTCCTTTCTCACGGTCTGTGGAAAGGCCGTGCTTGGAAAGGCCTGGATGCCTGGGTAGCGACGCTAAAGAACCCAGGTTTTCGGGAACCAAAGAGAGGGCTTACCGAGACATTCTGAGGTCGCCGTTAGTCCCAGTCATTCAGGACAAAAAACATCCGTCCTTGCGAATTACCCGTGGTGCTCAAGGAGCTATGGCCATTGGCCAAGATGAAAAGGGGATTCGCCGTGGCGAAAGCTCTTGGAGCTGTGCCTCTTCTAGAACGCGCATCAAGCCTCGTCCAGTTCAGGCGTTTTTCTCGCCAGGTCTACGGGGCTGTTGAAGTCTGCAGAATTGCGCCTTTGACCTCGACCCCACAATCGCCGGATTCGATGCTGACAAGAAGTTGAAGAGATGGCCATTGGAGAATATGCCCAGATAGTAAGCTGGAGGGTCTCAGGATGGAGAGAATCTGTTGCCAAGAGCCCATAGATTCAGTCTCGTCTCTTGACCGGATGGATGGGATACTAGTTGATGACTAAAACCGCGCCAGTGCCCCTGAAGCGCCGGTGTGCGCAAAAACAAGCTTCCAGGAAGATCTTCAGTAAGCTTGAACTTGTCTTGGGTCGCGCTTCATAATTCGGTGATAGACTACCATTACTCTGGTCATCAATGCTGATCAAATAGCCGGTTCTCCTAGCATTGCAGGCGTTGACCAATAGTGCTGGCAAGATGCAGAAAAGCTGGTTGAAGCTGACAGGAATGCCTCGTCTGAGTCATCTCGTAAGAGAGCTTGGGGACAAGCGTCAATATCAGCAGGCAACGAGGAGGGGAAACTCAAAAACGAACAGGCAGCAGCCTCGTCAATCCAAGCTACATATATTTGAGGTCGTACAGCCTCGGAGCAAGCAGTCAGTCGCCCAGCTTGGTCGTGATCCCACCCTGAACCATTGCGTCAAAATCCATTCAAGCCTTCTGCGCAACATCCGACAGATTTGCACTGTACAACCCCGCACCGCCGAGGAATCTACCAAAACAATGAGCGACGACAACGCAAAGTGGGAGCCCTCGAAGCCAGCCTCGTCGAGTTGGGACGAGGCGCGCATCATCCCCGCGGATGGGTGGGAGCGCATGAAGAAGGGGTTCACGCCACAGGACATGGACGACCGCTGGGCCATTCTCCACCTCGAGAAGGACGGCGAGGAGAGCATCGTCTTTGCCCGGAGTTGGACTGGATACACCCTGGGCAAGATCACGGTCGAGCCTGCAGGAGATGATGGCAAGAGCCGTCGGATAACCAAGTTTACATGGGAAACAGACAAGGAGCGATGGAATGTCGAGGACCCGGAGACGGAGGCGAGGGCCTTGGTTGTGAGGTTCTCAAAGGGTGTTTTCCAGGTCGACTTGGCGGATGAGCCTGACTCGGAGTAGGAAAACGAGCCAAAGAGAACATGAACCGACTGATTAGCCGTCATACTTGGTTGAATTCCGCGAATCAAAGATTCTTGATCAACTCATAAATAACATTTTCAAAGACACTCTAGACTTGATAGAGTGTGATATTCATTCGCAAGAGGAACTCATAGGTTCCCAGTCCCTCTGTTGTGTAACGAGCTCCTCCCCATCGCCCGCCTCAACGAAATGGCTTCCAAAGCCCGCGCGTTGTGGATCCTACGACAACGCGGGTGTGGGACAAGGTAGCTTCATATGTGTCCTTTTGCTTCCACCGGGCAACAATCCCGGTGTTTCCCGAACGCCAACATCCGCATCTGTAGTGTAGTGGTTATCATCCTTGCCTTCCATTCAAATACCTGGTTAGCAAGGGACCCGGTTTCGATTACCGGCGGATGCATCACGCGGCTGATTATCCTTTTGCTTTTTTTCTGCATCTTCGATTCTGTTGTCGAGCTTGCTATGGATTCTGCCAGGTCGCCCTCAGGGATGTCATAGCTTGTATATAAGCATAACTGATTACATGCATCCGCCTGAAACCTTTTGATGCATACCACCATGTATAAGATTTTCGGGTTCGAAGGGATCTGAAGCAGGCCGATGTTAGAGATACAGGTTTTTGTAAGTACACTTCAAAATTAAATCTTTAGACGTGCGGAATGTTTTTCAGTTATTCTTTTTTTGAGATTAGGCTTACAACCTAGGGTTAATGTTTTGTGAATAGACCTATCCCAATGTAAATGATATCCGAGCAATCCCAAATTGCTCAAAAAGAACGAGCCAAGTTGAGTACCCAAGGTAAGTTGAATATTGTATCTGACTGCGGGGCTTTGACGAAAAACCTTGCGGTAGGTAGCCGAGTGTGTACGACCTTGCAGGTGATAGAAGCAGGCTGGGACAGAATCGAGCTTCCAGGTCGTGATCTTTGCCGTTTCGAATCTGCCTTTGCCCGTCGGTCGGCTCAAATGGTCATGGATGCATACACGGGCACACCAATACAACGAAATGCGGCCGAATCAAACGATATACCAGATTATATCCGTGATTTACTGCCCATATGTGACATTGGTCGTCGGATCTGATGCCTCATTACCCGTGCCGGGCGGGTATTTGAGTTGCATGCGGCACGGGTAGACCGACCTTCCCGAAGAAGTGAGGGTCACAGTGCATATGAGCCGTCATTCTCGCCATGCATGAGATGAGCGAGAGGGGGCAAGAGAGAATTCCATGTTGTCACCATACGTGTTGAAATAGCTGGCTGCTTATGTGAATTGACGTTACAGTGTCGTCCCCTTTTTGGCACATCAACCAGCTCGATATCCTACTAGGTGGCCAATGAGAATCAACTTTTCCCCCAAAGGCTTGTTCTGATGACCTTTTCCGAAGCCAAGAAAGTCATCGCCAATCCAAGAACGTCCTTATGCAAGCCATGCGTCTTGATTTGGGCCCTGAACCTGCCCACTCTTTACATTTTCGCCTTGGCCTACGGACTTGGCAAGATTGAAGTAAGAATAGTACTTCGATAGCTAGCTAGAACCCAAGTAACAACGGCAAGAGACACAGGTACCTGCCGGATTCACAGGAAGTTGCGTCACTGTTAGCTCTACGATTCAACTTGAATGGAGCAGCCACTGGCATAGACAGTATTAGTACTGTCATGAACGCCAATTGAGCATCGATCTATGACTTGAACAGTCTTAAAACTTTTTACCTGAACGCAAGCCGCACATAGTCATAGATTCTCCGCGAAAGTCCTCTTCAGCACGTATGTGCAAAACGATAACCCTCTAGCGAGGCCTGAGGCGACTATGCAAGGTTTCTCACAAGACAACAACGGAGAAGAGTTCACCCACAGGTGGCAGGTGCCACAAAACCGTAAGCAGGCTATAAGGGCACACCAAGAAATGACTCGACAACTTGGAGCATACATCATGCGCGACTCCGAATATTAGATGCAAGTCAGCGCAAGTGTCGTAACCGGAGCCAAGAAAGGAAGCTTCTCGAGGTATGGAATGCAAGTCAGCGCCGATATTGGAACTTCCGTGACTCTGTCCAGATTGGAAACGGAAACTTTGGGATATTCGGTCTAGACTCAAGATTGAGCTTCAAGGAGGTTTGGAGTGGCATTAATCGTGAGGAGGTAGTGTCTAAGAAAACCTGGTGAACATAAGATCTTGTGAGGTATATTAACCTCTCCGTGCCACGCCCATTCCCCTCGACTACCCCATCATCCACAGCCACCATCTGCTCTTACAGTTTCAGGCATAGTTTCTAGCCTCATTGATATTTCCCACTATCTCCAACAACGAAGCCAAAATGCAGTCCATCCTCACCATCGCCACCCTGATTAGCGTCGCCTTCGCCGGCGTGATCCCCCGAGACGAAGACAACGGGCCCGTCAACATCCCTGTCGACAGCATCGACAACCCTAAGGGAGACACGGTCCAAGCAATCACGCACTTGTACATATGTTCCGACGCCAACTTCTCCGGCCGTTGCCAGAACTTGGAGTCGAACACCGGCCAGTGCTGTAAGTTGAACCCCTTCCGAAGTGTGATCACGGCAGGGAATGGGAATTATTGCTGAAGCCAAGCTCCATCCAGACGACTTGGGTAACGGCTTCAACGATGTTGTTTCATCGCTTGGCCCCGATGCTGGAACTTCTTGCACTATCTGGGAGTGAGTCTTTCCTAACATTGCACATGCCTTCTATCTATTTTGAACGACTGATGTCACTACCGCACACAGACACGCTGGATGCACGGGAGCCTCCATCGTCAACATTGTCAACCCTGGCATCTACAACCTTGCCGATTCCAACTGGAACTTCAACGACAAGAGTACGTACCTGTGCATGCTTCTTAACTTTCACTCAAGACTAGAGAAACACTTTCAGACAGATTGCTGACTACTGCCTTTGCTGCTAGTGAGCTCCTACCGGTGCTTCTAGGTCTGGGTTGCGCGCCTTATCCAACACCGACGATCCATAGCTGCCGCCCTTTCCAGGCGGAAGAAAGATAGCTCCAAGCTTTCTCGGGTGTCGAGTTGCAGCATAATATGATTCGACGACGCATTGCAGCTACTGCAGTATTATTTTCCCACGGTAGAGAGTTTGAAGGGCATATAGGGATAAGGGACGAGAAGTAGGCCCGAAGTTGGTTTTGATAGTTATACGAAGTCATCTAGATCAGTGTCTGCCAAATCGTTCACAAATCTCGACTGTGTGATAGCTGTAACAAACTTGCAGACAACCCCATTTCGCATCTCAGTAATAGGAACGCAAGCGGCAAGCTCAAAGCTTTACACCACCTCAGTCAAAGTTAGGCATTAGTCCGAAGCTATAGCTTCAGGCCCCCATCATAGGCATGAACCCGGTCATTGATTTGCCCTTTTTGTAGTCATAGAACGACTGCTCACACACCATGACTTGCAAATCGTTCTCCTCCATGTACTCCTTCAAATCTTTGAAAAGAGCATCATCGACCTGCCCAATCTTGATCATAGTCGTTCCGCTGCTCTCTTCTTCCTTGTCCTCGTGAAACGGTTCTATCACGTTGCAGACCACATCGAGGCCAACGAGTTTGCCCTTGCTATCTTTAGCATGGACAAGCATAACGCGATCGAGTGATTTGAACGGCAGAAAGATTCTATGGATCTCAGAGATGAAGAGAACTCCATGATCCAAAAAGTGAACGGTACCTATAGCTGTCAGCGTCACATCACTAACTACTAACCTTAGAGAACGTGAGGAGGGGTTCATTGACCGTACCGTCAATATCGGATTTGATGTTCGAACCCATTGGCGGTGAAAGAACACAACCCACACCAGCAAAGTTCGCGTCAGGGTCCTCTGTCGTGTCAATCACTGACTTGTCAAAGGCTTTCAGCTGCTCCTTGAACACTTTCTTGAGAACATCGACATATGTGCCCTTCTCGTCCTTTGCGAGAATGCCGCTAAGCTCCTTGTCTGCCTTCTTTTCAGGCCAGATGAACGATATAATCTGTGGATACTCCCTCTTGATAGAAGATGCGCCTGTCGCCCCAGTCGGGATGACGACGACTTCGTATGCTGCTTTCTTTGAAGGTGGCTTGGCTGCGTTTGCCAGAAGGACGACTTGCTCTGTGGCCCGGTGAGAAAAACACACCTCCGTCATAGCATAGCTAGATTTACCTAACGATATGTCTGAATGGAATGAGGAAGATTGCATCCCAAAACCCACCCTTGCTCTTGCCAAAATAGTCCCTGGGTCCAACTAGACGCACCGACCCGTCACCGGGCGCCCCACTGCCAGACATGACCTCGATGCTGCCATCACAGGCGAATGGCGACGAGAACGGGACTCGCGGCGTGATCAGGTGGCAATGACCATATCCCCTCCCATGTAGATCAGTAATGCTGACGCCTTGGTAATACTGGTTCGTCCATTCTCGGTCCTCCATCATGCTGTCTTTGTTTTTAGTCTTCCGCTGCTTCTGGATGCCGTCTAGCTCCGCCGCATCGTCCGGGTCCCGCTTACGCTTCCCGGCCCCTCCTGTTGCTTTCACGCCGCGACCACGACCGCGACCGCGGGATGAACTTCCTCGCGGCGGCATGATATCACGTTTCCAGTGTTGAGATATAATTAAAAGGGGCACAGCTGAGCAGAAGGCGAGACAAAATTGAGAGCTTCGAGGGTTGAAGAGCTATGCAACAGACGCAACTTATGCTGTCAAGAAGCCTCAATGATCGACGCGTCTGCGGGCCTCCACTTCTACAAGGGGGACGCGTCGCAAGCTCGAGAGCTTGGAACGGCATGATGTCACGCATCACAAAGCCCATCCCTTTTCGTCGAACTCACTCAATAAAGTAGTTCAGTGAGTATCCCAATCTAATAAAATGATCCACGCTTATCAGTATTATTTCCTTGCATTGATGGAACATGGTTCTTCCCACAGATGTGGGTGTGAAACGCCATATATGGCTGACGGAGGCTGGAAGTGAAAAGGTTGCCAGGTGCATCTAGCCCCTAAGTCATCTGTAACAGCTGTCCATAGTTCCCACGGCTCTAACAGCAGGATCTGGTGAGAATAGCATTTGTGCAACGGGCAGGTGACAGGGTGTGCAAATCACGACTGGGCAGAATCTCATATCCCATTCGGAGTACCTACGCATTCAAGCATTTTGTAATAGAGATCCAAATCTTAACCTTCTGAGCGCCTACAACTTCTCTATCCGGTGTAGTAACCCGGTCGCTGGTCATAATCACCCCACATGATCGCTGAGCTTGACCGTAGCATGTCAATCTTCAGACCCAAAGTGCAATTCACCCTCATGTCGCCTTTGAACGCACTGAAGGGGTTATCTGGTAATCGAACAGCTCGGCTCTCTATTTAAGTTTGAGCGTCTGAGGTGATCTAATATTCATCTGGATATGTACCTTGCTCACCTTTCTGATGGGGAAATTTGCTGGCTCTGGGCTGGAGGGATCAGCATCCCTCCGGGCGTCCCTCCGGCCGCTGCCCGGGGTTCCGTTAAGGCACGACCCAACACCAACCGAACTCCAATCAATCCCCCAAAGTCCCCTGCAAACCTTCCAAGTCGGGTATGTGGAGCAAGACTTTAGCACACCTCGAATTGGAGTTGCCTTAACTTGCGCAGGGTAGAAGATTCAGGCTGATGTCGACCTTTGCGGAACAGCAGTTGAGTTGAAATCAGTGGATAGTGATTGTCCTGTTCGTACGGTACTTTAGGCACTTGACAAGACCATTGCACAACTTACGCTGATCTATCTGACGTTCAAAGCCACTCAATCTTGTACAGACCATCGTCATCGGCAGCTGGTGAAAGTTTCGCTTCCTAGGGTATGCAAACGTCAACCGTTATCGTATTTGATCAACAGGCAGAGAAGACCACGAATATAATATCCACCAAGGTCTTGATTGTTCTCGCAGAGACTTCGTGGCTGAAAGTATACCCCGGAAATGTGGCCAAATATTGATAACCCGGATCGCCGCTCTGGGGGGTCCTTAAACCCCCCATCAGCCTCCTTCCCACATCATCAATGAACGCGTAATCGCAAAATTCCAATCCATTTCATCCTTGTGCGGGACCAATAACCACGATGCGTCTACCTAGTCTTCTCGTCATCACGATGCTCCTCGGCCTAGGCGCCACCGCCGCTCTCCCGATCGAAGATGTCACAGACATGACAGACTTTGAAGACATCGTAGACGACGCAATGACAAAGCCGCCTCCTCATAAAGTAGAAAAGCCATGGATGATGTGGGGTGTAAGAAGAATCACTCACAAGAAATGACAAGATCGTAGGGAGGACTGACGACGCTTTAGATGTGCGTCATAGCGTCGAACCAATGTATCATCCATGGGCCTCATGGTGAACGCAGATACCAGTGCAAGAACTTTGTTCGTATACACCCTTCTGTCCTGATTTCTTCTCCGCGATTGAAACGTAGAGGGAGACGGCTAATGGTTTTACTGCTGTGATAGTGTACGAGGGATGGGGGTACGTGTCGTGGACAATACACGACAACACCGCGCATTAAGACTAGGTCCCATTGCAACTGAGTGGTCTTGAGTTCGATGATGGCGGTGGGCAAAGCCCATGTCGTCAAGTCTCGTCATTTCAGCATTGGATTGGATCAAGGCACGAATCGAAGTCTTCATGTACCTTGACCCTTTCGAGACGCGAGACGTACAACTTTCACTTGACTTTTTGGAGATCTTGGGTGCTAGGAAATGATTTCTTTACGTTCGTGTATCCTAGGAGAAGAACATCGCGAATTTCAAACCTCCAAACCCAACTACAACTTGACGTTCGGAATCTCAAATGTCTGGACCATCTTGGTCTCGAAGTAACTCCAGAACTTGGTGCCGCTGATAGTGGTATCAGTTGCCTGCACGTAGCGATCGCCACTTCCAATCTGCGTCCTCCACCGCGTGACAGTAGCACCGTTCGTGGACGCCTGCGAGAACCCGCTCAGGTCAAAGTTAAGGTACTGCGCAGCGCCCCAGTTGACAGCAACGATAATCAGCTTGGAGTTGGCAGCATCGTACGCCGCGACGACGTTATCCGATCCGCCATCCAAGATGCGCATACCCTCGCGAATGTGGCGCGCAAACTGCGCAAAGACAAAGTACTTTTGGTTCGCCGAGCCCAGCGTACCAGCCTCATTGTCGGCATCAATGACACCCCAGCCGCCGCCGTCAAGAACCTGCCAGTACACCCATCCCGTGGGCCGAAGCCACCTGAAGTCGAGAATCATGTTGCTCACAAGCCTCTCGCCTGTCGCGTCGCTCTCGCCGTACTCACTGTTCCAGAGACGGAGGCCGCGCGCCGAGGCGAGCGAGTAGACCTTGTCGCGGGCGCCGCTGGCGTACTGGTACCCGTGGACGTTGATCCGCGCGACGTTCTTGAGGGCGGCGTCGCCGAGGTTCTGGAGCGTGGTGACGGCTTGGTCGTAGTATGACTCGTCCGAGGCGGCGATGGACATGCTCGTGAGGCCGCGGTTGTTGAGCTCGGTGCGGAGGTAGTTGATGATTGTCGCCTGCGTCGCGACGTCAATGTGGCAGCCTTCCTGCGTGCCGTCGGCCTTCCACCAGTTTGCGGTGGGCTCGTTGAAGGGCTCGACGGTCTCGAAGGTGATGCCCCAGTTATCCTTCGCGTACTTTGCAATGTTGGCCATGTAGACAGCGTGCTGCTGGAGGTTCCACGACTGGATGTTCTCGCTGCCGTCGGCGGAACCGGAGGGGTTGTGGTTCTTGGTGGCCCACCACATGGGTGAGTTGGAGAAGAGCTCGAAGCGGTTCGCGCCGCGGCTCTTTGCCTTTTGCATCATGGTACGCTGGTTCACGTCAACGTCCCACTTCCAGGCTGAAGAGGCCGGGTCGGTGTTGGTGTAGTCGACCCAGTGACCGTCAATCTGCCGGGAAGCCATCATCTTGGTCGAGACCACCATGCTCTCGCCGTTGATGCTGTTCGTGCTACAGGCGCCGGCATTGTGACGAACAATATTGAAGCCGAGACCGGGGAGGCTTGCGCCGCCGAAGGTGGTGGTCTTGGTGGTGAAGAAGATGTCGGCGAGGTCATCGCGGGTGCCGAAGCGCTTTGCCCACCAGGCAAGAGAGGTTCCCCATCCCTCCCAGGTGCCGCGGTTTGACTTGGCGTCAATGGTGGTCGTTGTGTCTGCGACGGCGGGGGCGACGGAGGCCAGGCTCACGGCCACGGCGGCGAGAGTCTTGAAGTGCATGGCTAGAGAGATCTGAGAAGCCGGGGCCTGCAGGGACAAGGACTTCAGATACAACCCAGGATAGAGATTCGTCTGCTTCTTATGCTCTCACGATCCTACGCAGCCAAATTGACCTCCTGCTCGTAAGTGAGATGACGGGAGCAGGGGCGCTGACTCGAATGGTGGACCTCGTATGTTAGAGTGCCATCACAAACGGGGATACGCGGGCCGTAGGATAGCTTCAGTCTCTTGAGGAAGGAAGCTAGAATGGCCCTACCTAACGGTTTTATTCAGTGGTAACTTAGCCGGACCATTGGTCGTCCGTCGAAACGGCGGTTGGGACGCTTCTGGGAAACGGAGCTCGTTCGGTTGGGTCCGGCACGGATGTGGCGTCGATGGTCGTTAAGGATCACGTAGAGTCTCGAGCTCAAGCTGTGCCCCGCAGTCTGAGCGAGGATGCGAGGGGTTCATTCCATGTTTAGAGTTAGATTATCAGCGACAACGTGGTGCCGGGATCCGACGGACAGTAGTGACAAATTGTCCGTGAATAGAAGGTCGATACGAGCTCGATTATGATCGCCAAGCTGTATTCTACTACGGGATCGCTAGTCAAGAGTAAGATAGAACGACGAAGGGGTAGAAAGAAAACGGATCTGATTCATGGCGGGCGTGACTGAGCATACTGTACCAGAATGCGCAAAGCGATAACAGGTATGGATACGATACCAAACGTGTCCCCTGAATATTCTGAGTCACGACATCAGTCCAAGCCAAATGCGTGGTCCGTCGTATCCCGTTTGCCAATTCATATTCCAACACATCATCATCATCCCGCAAAAGCCGCCAATGCCTAGCTCCAATCCTCCCCGCATATGCGACCCAATGCGCGTGCCTGGAAAACCCCAAGCTCGGTAGAATGGTATGCTGTGCGGCTAGTCTAGACTGTCTAGTCTGGAGAACGCGGGGAAATGTGCCATGCTGGATGGTAACATGCATCGAGAGGTGTCAGCGGCGCAACCCGCTGCCGCGTCTGCATTGGCGGAAGATCATGCAAGCGGCATTTGGTACCTGGTCCGCCCGGCTCCGCGATCCGCGGACATGTCATGAGACTTATGTCAAATTTAGTCGCAATTTGGGGTACAATTGGTCATGGATTAGCATTCGGGGCTAAAGCGGGACAACCTGCATGTGAAATACAAATTAGCTGGGTTTTAAGCAAACGTTTGAACGGAGTATTGACATACAGTCCGACGGCAAGTTTGGTAGTAAAACAGATAACGGAACTGCAAGTATGCTTGACTACAAGCAATTGGATGAGCTCACAGCAAGCTTAGTCATGGCTAAGGCACATCTGCTTTCGCGTTAGAAACGAACAAAGCTTGTTCGAACAATCAACTCCAACTTACCTTTGCAACTTGGCGACTGAGTAATCATACGATGCCGCGCAGGAAAGTGGATCAAAAGAGCTCTTGTTCCCGGGCAAGAGATCAGTGAAAACCCAAGATTCTTAGTGTCGAGCCTTTCTCTTTCTAGTGGGCGTCTGAGGGTTATTCAAGCTCGATGCCCGCATGCCCGCTTTGGAGTTCCGCGCAGTTGACTTCTGGAAGATAGCCTCTGAGCTAGCGGGAGATTTATTCAGACCAGGTGTTCCCAACCGTCCAACAGTTGTAGGCGTCGAATCGATCGGGGTTCCGAGAATGAATGGCAGTCCGGATCCAGAAGGCGCAATAGGTTTGTTACAGGCCGCCGAGGGAGTTGGCATGCCGTCTCGTATTCTGGCTTCAAGCTCGACCTTTCTGGCAATCTTTACCTTGGCCTTGAGAGCGTAGATTTCCCCCTCCAATGTGGCAATGTGCGTGAACAAACGCTGATTCTCGGCATCGAACGCGTCTCGTTCGCCCTCGGCTTTCTCGACAGTGGCAAGAAGCTCGGGAATCTTATCGGCCGGATAGGGCATCACTCTCGGCGGATGACCAGATTCAAATGCCTCGGCATCGTCAATAGCTCGCACAAGTCGAGCATTAGCGACAGCAACGCATTCGTCGAGGATTATCGGGGTCGCGTTCTCCTCGCGCGTCAAGTCTTTGAATAGGGCCGACGTCTCCTTCATCTCGATTCCCTTCTCGTTGTGGGCAACAATAAGATCGCGAAGCTGCTGATACGCCTCTTTGTGAGATATGAGTTTCGGTCCTTTGGCGATGGCCTGGCGGCGCTCGGAGGCCGGCTTAGTAGGAGTCGAGGGAGCTGAGGAGGCACTCGATGAACCTGTGAGGTCCACCTCGGGGGTCTTGGCTCGGCGGGCACTGGAGAGATCGAGGGGAATCGGAGTATCGTTGACTGGTGTACCTCCATCGTCCGTCATCGTGTCTGTGGTGCCTGTGGTGCCGCCGATAATCGCTTCCGAAGGAGTGGCGGTCGACATTTTCTCGGTAGTTGCCCGCGGGCTGGGTTTCTTCGCCTTGACTCTGGGAGTTGTCTCGAGATTCTCGGAATCTTCAGGTTCTTCCGTCTGGCCTTTGTCGGGAGAAGCTGGACACGAGTCGTCTGCTTCGTAGTTCGCCTCCTGAATGATACGGTCTTTGGGCGAAGAGGAGTATAAAGATGCAAGAGGAAGTCTGTTGCGACCGGAACGAAGGCTGCCACGAGTAGGAAATGAGGTATTGGATATTTGGGAGCCAAGATTGAGGGATGCGCGAAGTTTTCGGGTGGTCAAAGGTGAATCTGGCTGAGGATTGGCGATGTTTTTGCCGGCGGCAGAAGAGGCAGAGGCGGCAGGAGCGGCCGGGGACCCACCACCTCCCATACTTCTGGTTCTAGCCATCGTGGTGACAACTTCACCCTCAAATTTCTTCGAAAGAAGCAACAGTCAGCTCAAGCGCTCGATGATTTGAGCCAAAGAAACAGCTCTAAGAAGGTTCAGAGCCGCAGCGAACGAAATTCACGATCGGACCGCCCAATCTGTCGACTCCCCTTCAGCAGTTTGCTCATTCGCAATGGCGGCTGTCGTACATCCCGATTGGTAAGAGACGTGTCTTGAATGGCATGAAGATGGGAAACAGCAAAAAGATGTCGAAAAAGCAGAAGCTTCGACACGTTCCAATTGGATGTTTCGAGACCTCTGAGCGGGAGGAATACTCCCCGGCTGGGGCCTTCGAGACGGGGCAGTACAACATGAGCCTCGTTATCAATCAGCGAGAATGCAGACGCAGGCGAAAGCCATGAGAAGTGAAAAGGGCAAAGACTGCCTCATACCCTTGCTCACTAGACATCTCGAAAGACTCCTGACCGGAATCCATTCCTCCAACAAACGCACCACACTCAAAGAAGCCAAGTACGTCCCCTTTCCCATTATACGCTCACCAAGGGCATAATCACTGACATAATTCCAGTGCTATCCTAGATCACGCCGACTTTGATGCGAAGTACTAGACTACAGGCTAACAGCATGGCGGCTGCCATTGGATCTGCCTGATGGCTGCCAGCGGTGACGAGCTCCGGTCTGATCTGGATAAGTGGATTGCCAACAGCACGATGTTAACGGCCATCACCTTTTGGAATAATTCTGCGGCGGTCTCATATTCTACCACAGAATGTGAATCTATGGCAGAAATTCAGGTCACAGACCGATTCTAGAATATAGCTAGCTTAGGTAGGTGAGATGACTTTTGTTCGCGATAATATCACAGGAATATGAATGCTAACTCTTCATTCAGGTCGAAAAATTGACGCTACAACGCTGAATAGCATGTCGCTTTCTTCAAGCCAGGCATCTCAGATTTTGGTTGTGCTCAGCCGTCACTCCTCCTCCTCGCCATCCCAGTCACGGCCAGGCACCAATAACTTGGTCTCAATACATTTTCGTTGCAACCGCAAGGAACATCTCCAAAAAGTAAGTCCATAGCTTTTGTATTCTGCGGCCCTAGCTAATCTGTATGCAGGTATCAGCAGAGACCACAACGCCCACCAAGGCCTCTGAGGCCAATTACAAGCTCAGACTATCTGACGACCGTCATCGATCAAGACATAGAGTCAATGATGCAGATACTCAGGCTGGCAGACGTATACCATAAAGGAGTCCCAGATTCTTTACCATCGCAGTCAACATTGAGCCGACAGGGCATCCAATTACGGCGCTCATGCAAAACTCTTTACACAGGAGAAGCCAGTTTTTCGCCGAAACTAGTCGATCTGTTGTATTTTCTTTGGACTTCCCCCTTCACCTCTTTATTATTATTTAATAGCACGGCGGAAGATAGTCTCTAGGATACGCCTTACGGTTACGATGAGGTATTGACATGGCCCTACAGCTCGAAGGACCGCAGCGGGACTATGGGGGCTGCTCGTGACGACGACGAACTCATCAGGCATATCCGGCGCCGCATATACTGTTTCTCCCTAATTCAAATTCTTTTCACCTCAATTTCAAGACAACATCTGAACTAGCTCATCTGAGTTACGAAGGCTGATGAATCCCCGGGTCCGGGAGCCTGGGCACCGAGAATGCAGGGACAGTTCAGAGTCTCGCCTGCCGACTTTTGGGAGGCCTTGATGACACTGTGATGTCCGCGCTTAACCCAAACATCCACCAAGAGGCCGTCCTCTATAGGCCTAACCGCGGTCATTGGCAGCCAATCTCGCCAACAATGGTGTCTCAAAGAACTCCCTCCCGAGATCATTTATAAGATGTTTCCATCGCCTTCACTGCGGGAATAGTTTACTACGACCAAGTCGGATGTAGAGCTTGCGAAAGTGATACAGCGAGACTAGCGTATATTGGTTTTGTCAATGTTCCCGGGCTCTTATCTCGATGCTAAGGCAATACTCTAGGCTCATCTGTTCATCGACGGATTGCCCTGACGCATAGATGATGCCTAATGAAGGGGAGCGGGGTTGTGCCGCAGTATAAAAGACCGTCATACCCGACGGCATGCTGGCTTTACCCAACCTTTTCCCTTTGTCCAGAGTCTAACGTTACTCCAGTATTTGTTCTTTGTGATTATCAGAACCTCGGCTCTTACTCCATACCTTTTCTCCAATCTAGCATCACTGCAGGTTGTCGACCTGAAGGAAGACTGGGTCCACTCTATTTCCTTAGACACCAAACGCCAGTCGAAAGGCGCCTTCTATGATGGCTCGCCTAGCGTAAATTATCTGGTAAAGCTAGAGGATTTTGCAGACTCCACGGGCCCTGCCAGCCCCATCCACCTTAGCTTCATTTTGAGGAGCAAACGCCAATGGCCCCCATCACAATTGCCTTTTACTGCAGATCTCTTCCTACAGAGTTCTTCTATGGGCCTGGTAGTCCGAATCTGGGCCAATGGAAGGTCTGTTCCCAAACACAACACCACTTTCTTTGGTTACAGGCACACGAAATACCTCTCCATTGAAGTAGGCGGTCGCAAGAGGGGAGACCTTGTAGCGACGGGAACCCAGACCGAAGAGATACAGTCTTCTGCATTTGAAGTGGGTTTCTGGCTTATCTTCACTGCATTCGGCAGAGGATCACAGTCCATCGCCTATACTGCGGCCGATTGTTTCATCATTCAGGGCACCTTGATGTGATCACCCCATACGCAGCGCATTTGGCCAAGCTGCAAGACATGTGGAGAGCATACAAAGTAAAGCCAATTTCAACGGCTAATACCTCGTTGTTATTGAAGGTTGAAGGCTTCTGATCGTTAACCAAATGTGGTATCCGCTAGCCACGACTCCAAGGCCAACGCATGCGTCCGCTTGAAGAGTAGGCTGATAGGATTTTCGGCAGAGGAATTTAAAGAAGCCCGAGAATCAATCTCAGTTGGATCTTTCGTCGCTCTGCTTTAAAAACGAGGAGTCTTTGCTCGAAAGCTATTGCCTAGTCCCAAGGAAATACATGAAAAGGATTTTCCCGCTTACGGTATCCCGCCCGACAAGAGCTTTCTATCGCCCATCAAATGCATCTGTGAGAGATACGTTTTTACCAACGGCAAAGATGCCGACGAAGATGAAGGATCTTCTGCTGGGCCTTACACCAATGTCAGATAAAGCTGGCAGTAATCTAACTGAAGCTTTCTCTTGCTCAACATCCTCGGCCGAATCATTCGAGCTTGGCACCAGAAGGGAGACAGATGGATGACGTCAAGTACGATTTCCGAGACCTAGAGCCAGCAATTATGGAGATATTTCTACAACTCCGCGAAGAATCGATGGAGGCATCATGCATTAGCCAGCAGGGTCCCTGTGCAGACTCCCTCACAGGCTCAACATGACGATGACGCCTAAGGACATGTATCAGGAGAGCACAGATTAATGACATGATAGCCGGAACCTTCACTCAGACAGCATAAAGACAGCAGAAAGACGGCTAGGATGAGTGGTCGTAGTTCACGCATCGCCGTCATGGAGTACTTCAAGAGAAACGGAAGACGGAGTCCAATAGCAACTAGATCGCTCCTTCCCTTTCATCTAGCTTTCCGAGGAACACGTTCTGCTCGTTCAGCATCAAATTTACAAACCAACAACTTACTCAATATTTCTCTCCACCACCACATCTCTCCCCAGATTCCTCATCTGCGGGCAATCTGAATTCTTCCTTCCTCACAGACAACCAGATACTCCCATCGAGGTAAATAAGCTCAACCATACGGGCAATTCTGTGCTTTCGAATTTCGTTTCTGTCTTGGCTAACAACAGTGTTAGAATGGCACCTTCCCTTGAACAGAGAGTCATCGAGGCACTCGAGAAGTGCTCCACTGACGCAGACACCCCCTTCGACGATGTCTTACGTGTCGCGCTGGAAGTCACACAGAAGATGCTTGAGCAAGTCGATCCACCCGAGATCGTTACGCCTGTCGCCTCAGCTGCATCATCGGTCCCTCTCATTGCTCAGATCGCTCCTCCGGCCTCTGCTCTAGCTCCCAATTCAACTCCTGCTCAAGCTATCGCTTCTCCCGCCGCTCCTGGTAACACCAATACACCTGCCGCACGTGGAGTTCTTCGCGCCGCGCTTCCTCTGGCGATGGCTTCTGCCCGCAAACGAGCCGCTCGCGAAATCGTCTCGCCAACCCCGACTGTTGGTGATGAGACTGATAACAAGAACGAGTTTGTGTGCGAGTTTGCTGGCTGCAGACGCTCTTATGAGCACAAGGGCTCTCGCACCCGCGTATGTTCCTCGTCTTTAGAGATTAACGGGACCTTTGCTGACTTTGTTTGATAAAGCATTACAAGGTCAACCATGGCGGCCAACGTCCTCGATCAAAGTAAGAGACTCATTGGACTATGAATCAAATGACGGCCTATGGTCTTGAAATTTCAGCATTTGTTTCCGAAGAGGCCTCTTCGCATGAGACCTTGAGTGGCATGTACGCTTTGGGACGTCATTCGAGTGCGAGAACCGACTTCAACTGCGCAGGCATGCGTCAAGTTCTTCTCATATTCATCATTCAAAGGCCGCAAAGCTACTCAATAAATCCTGGTTTTGATACATGACCTCCCTCGATGTTCTCCTCTCATTGAAAGACCATATTACTGTAATATTTGTTCATAATAGACCAAAAAAAGCTCCCCACCCCGAGCCGTATACCCCAAGCAGAACCTGATGTCAGCCGGCGTCATGATATTGGGAAAGATCATTTGTCTTTGGTGGCCGCCAACGGATCAATGGTCTGCGTCTTGGGGAATGCATTGCAAGTTGTGACGCTCTTCATCTGGGTAGACTTTCAACCGGCACTATACAAATGCGTGCACTCTTAAGAACAAGAGTCTCGAGATCTTGGGCGACAAGGCGACGATGCACCTAAGGAAACTCCGGCCAGGCCATGGCCATCTTCAAAGGCCTCTGAAGGATAAGCAGTAGCTCGCGAGAGGGCAAATGAAACAAATCTTGCCTGTGGACTGCGCTGTCAAGGCCTGCTTCAAAGGGTAGCTTACGGGCCTCCTAGCCTTGAGACATTCTCTTGTGGAGGGGGGTTCTCGAGTTCATCGTATTCGGTGAGAGACGCAATAAGCTGTTACACTGCCTTTGCTCGGATCGACAACTAGGAACGCTACCACGCTAGATACGAAAAGATATTTGGGACCCTAATCAGAAAGAGGGTACGAAAAACAGCGAGGGCTGAAGTTGCCTGGCGGCAGACCCTTTCATCTATGCAAAACCAAAGGAGAAGAAGAAGGTTGGCAACTGCCCTTCTTGGACTGTTGAGAAGTTCCAGTACATCACTCACTTTTCTCCCCTACAATCCCATTTTTCTTTCATGCATAATTAAAACGAAGATATCACTCGCCATACGCTATATCGTCTGGGCACACAACTTGGCACACACACGGGTCACTACTTTTAGGAACAAGGGGTTGCTTCCCGGGACCAACAGCTCAAAATGTCTGACCTCGGAATGAGTCAGAGGAGATTTTTGGCAGAATACACAGTTCATTGCTTTCATTACAAGGGGTCAAGGAATTATTGCCCGCCTACAAGGCTTGATTTACCTAGCGCCGAGGCCCAGGACATAGCCGGCGAGACTATTCGCCACCAACACAAGATTATGGGGTGGAAGAAGACTCAAGGATATCATCTTGTGTCGCTCGCAACGGATAATGTTCTGTTCAAAGTGCCCCCTTGAGATCTAACTGCGTCCAAACTGGCCAGACTTATCGATGGCTTCACATGCATGGAATTTTTATGGATATTGGCACCATTTTGGACATGCGGAATTGTGTGATGTCGATGAAGAAGAGACCAAATACTTCGCCAGGTCTTTTTTCATCGCAACGATCAATACATACAAGACCAACACGTAGGACGCCTTATAGGAAGCATGTCGTCATTGTGGACAAACCAGTTGGACACGACATAACGTTGCAGCTCCCCGTGCTCGGTGTAAATAGCACCGTGTATATCGGCGACGATAACTCTTACGCTCGAAGCTTCGACTAACAGCTAAACTTGTCAGAGGCGCCAGCAAAAGACGACCCTGTTAACGGGATCTGCATACCACTGAGTCTTTCGCTGTGGAGGAACCCACTGGCAAGGCAGCTCACAACACCGTTCCACAAAGAGTGTGGAATGGGAAAGGATATACCGCCCGCTTTGCATTCTTAAAGGTCATTACAAACCAGAAGAAAATCAACAACGACGACACTACCGCAAATTATCACCATTCGACGATCGTGGTATTGACTTCGACGCTCGACCAGACGCATGCCGTGCTTGCGGACATATCATACCCGAAGCCGCCCACGGAGACAAGCCCGAGCACACCAATGATGCTGAACCCGACGACGAAGATGACTCGCAAGCCGAGGATGGTCCCCATCCTTCGCCCATAGCAAAATCGCAACCGAGCGAGGGCGGGCTCGTCCTAACCAGATGTGGTCGCGGGCAAAGTGTCCACTTGGTCTCGCCCGCCGGAGTCTCACCTGTTCAAGGTACACGTCGTTGCCAGTCAGCCAAGACCTCGCCGAAGAACCCATCGAAGTACACTATTGAACGCCAGAAGGGGTTGAAGAAGTTGATGACAAGGCTAAAGGAAGAAGAACCATGACCGGAGACAACGTCATTTGAAAATTACTATTAATCAACAACGGCCACAGAATTAAATTGTCAACCATAGCGGAGATGAAGCGGAGCCTGAGGACGAGAACAAGAGAGTGAGTGCGTGAACGACTGCGAAGACTTCTACGAGACTAGTGACGACCATGAGCCGACGACTCGTGAGGGGAATCAGAGGAGCAAGATGATGTATTTCGACTTTCCTCATGAGGAGGACTTCTTCGGCCTTCCTCCAGAATTCGACCTCCAACTGAAAAGTGTCACGTAACAAGGATAGGGACCGCAATCCACAAAGTGCCTGTCACGTGCTGTATCACGTGTATCTCACTTACATCCTGCATATAGACCTTTCTCTTTTGTCTATTTCTACTTTGATAGGTTAGGCCACTTTACCACACTCCGTATGCCCATTGCTGTGTGCCATAACTCGTGACAAAAAGCAACTCTTAATTGCAAAATCTTCAAACACAGATTAGCAAGGCAGAACAGCAAGGGGATCCCCCAAGAGATAGGGAGTGCGAGGCTGCCGCAGTCCCCAGATCTGGTACGTATTCACGACATGAACGCAACATCAACCTGAATATACGAGGAACATCAGCCCCTTTCCTCGGGGCAAAGGCTGCAATTGAAATTTTCACCTCGAGACTACACCTTCCATCCTCTTTCCCCTTTCTCCAGCCACCCACCTGTCTTTTGTAATTTTCCTTCCTCCATCGCACCTCTCCCGCATTTCCTCCCAAGTCAACTCGTTCACTCCTATCCCTTCACCAGCACCTTAGCTGAATATCCTCTTCACCGATTCATCAAGTTAGTCTCACACCTGCATTGCATAGGTAGATAACTCTGCTACCGTATAATACGGCTAACTGACGGATTGATTATCTAGAATGAAGCATGAAGTGCTAGACCCCGTCGATGAGGGTGACAATGCGAACACCAATCTCGCTGCCGCCGACATCGCCAATACCAACAATAAAGCGAACGCTCCTGCTCCCACTTCATGGGCTTGGCTAGCCAGAGTGTCAACACCTCTCCCGACGCTGTACATGGACAGCCTACTACTACCACAATCCAAGATGCTGCATCAGCTAGCGGCGAGCATCGACAGACCCATGGCGACGGACATTCCGCATCAGCCACTGGCGCCAAGAAGCCAGCTGTAGCTGTAGCTGTAGCTGCAGCTCCATTCGGCGGCCGGCTCCGAGTGCGGGACCCTTTTTCTGGCCGACTCGTTCGGGTACCCCAATACTTGCCGAGCCCCCGGACCCAGAGCTGGTACGTCTGTGAGGTTCCAGGATGCGGCCGTCGGTTCCAGCTCAAGATCTCGCGCACTCGCGTAAGTCACCTCATTACACATCGTTGATCGATATCCTTACCTAATACTGACCTCACTAAAGCATTGCAAGACTTATCGCCCCGTCACGAACTGAGTTCCGGTGCGGTGCGTCTATGCAAATTGAGCACGCTTGATAGTCAGAGGGTGAACTTGGGAGTCAGTCGTCTGGAAAACAATAAACCCGGCTTGGAAGGTGGACACAAGAGCCGGTTACATTGCTCGAGATGCAGGATGCTGCTGGAAAGAGCTCTGTCCAATAAGGAAATATCATTATGGGGGCTGCCCAGCAAGGACATCTCATGTCGGCAGCCCCCCAGCAAAGGCATCTCATATGGTGGTGGTGGTGGTGGTGGTGAAGGTGATGCTGGCGATGGTCGGGCAATAGTTCCACCCTTAGGAATGTCCCTATCTTGAATCCTGAGTCCTTTGATAATACCCCGAACTTTGAATTCTGCTTCACAGCGACAACGCGTTCCTTCATCATTAAACATGAGCTGAGAAAAAACTCCACCGCTTGGATAGGTTCCCTTCCTTCATGTTATCGAACTTTGTTACAGCTTTGTATGCCATCTGTCTGGGCAAGAAGTTTCAGGATATCCCATATGGTGGACTGTCTTCCTTCCTGACAAGTTCATATCCTTTAGAATCATTGGTCTGACAAAGTTTCATTGACCCCTTTCTGGGCCATCTGGGTCAAGCGCCTTCTTATGCCTTCACCAAATCACATGGTCACCGACTGTGGCTGGACATCTGGAGCGGCCTGTACCTGTCCATCTCAACTTTCCCCTCTACCTGGCCTGCACCTGCCTTGGTTGCTGACTTCCTTCCCTTCCATATCCTCCAGTAATCTTAGACTCCAACATCATAGCAGTCCAGGTAAAATTCCTTCCCTTTCTCTACTTGTAATCTTCTAATCTTTAACTTTTTTTTTTTTGTGAATAGATGAAGCCGTTGCTGATCTTACACTTCTAGGTTATGCGTTTCCTTCCTTTCATCGCCCTCCATCATCGCCTTACAGCATTATTACCTTTTCACTTCTTATCACCCGACTTCATCATTTTCATCGGGAGCTTTGACATCCTTTGCGCCATCCTCGTCTGGGGTCCTTCCGCCCACTGGCCATAGCATTTTTGTCCACCCATCATAACGATTCCTTTTGTTATGAACTTGGCGCTTTCTAAGCTTTTGTTAATCTCTCTGCTTTGCTCCAATTCACATGAATAAGCTGCCTCTTCGTAAAGCTCACACACATCAGGCACTTCCAAACACCGCCATTGCTTTTCTCCAAGCCACGCATAGCCAGCAAAATCACCCTTCGGTAAGTTTCCTCAGTCTATTGTTTCGTCCGACTTATCAACAGCAGAAGGATTCCGCCTGAAAATATCGAACTCAGCAATTTTCGCCTTGCTCTCTCGAGTAGTGGCAGGGTGGCTTTCCTCGGGACCCGAAAACGTCGCTTATATTAGCGGGATGTCTTGCTACTGCTGCTTTCAGACCAATACGGTAACGATGCTACTTACTGGAAAGCCTGGCGTCTGGCCTCCCAGTCTTATCTTACTCTACTGGAACACAAAGAAGCAGCTGGCAGGTGATTATGGTTGGTCAATCTCTAATCCCTTTGCTGCTTTCAACCCTTCTTTCCACTCCCTCATCTTGCACAGAATCTTGTGAAAGAGCACCCCTTTTTCTCTCCATATTCTACACAACGAGACCGCTTTTGCTCTGGTATGTCCCAGAACACTTTGAGTGGTGATCAGCACCTTTCAACTTCGCACGACCCGACCAGAAGTGCTTCAAGACTGCTCTAGGTACCCTAGATCAGATGCTGCCGCCCAGGTACACCAGTATCAAATACCTTCTCGCCAATACACTACCCAGGATCCCTTCAATCACAACTTGTGTTGTGGGGTCCTATCCCGGCTGGGTCATCTGTTCAAACTATGTCTCTTGCGGAACTCCTCAAGAACATTATTTATATTTCCCCCTCCATCATTGCCACTTCATTGCTCGTGTCACCATGCAAAGTAGCAATGATCGAGGGGGGAAAGGCTCCCTACGACGAGACTGGAGGTGCTGAGAACTAAGCAATTGAGATGTAGGCGCAGCTGCAAGTAGCTGGATAATGTAACGGATCTTCCTTCCACGATAAGGAGTACAGAGGACCTCAGCCCGCTAATAGTTCGGAGGGAGACGATAGATGTAGCTTCTTATTGCTGTCTCAACAATTACGCGAAGGCAATGGTGGGATTTGAGCATCGGCACAGCAGGCTGATGTTCTTGACATCGAGTATCAACAATAGCACGATGGCTTTTGATGATCACTAGAACCTCGCTTGATTCGCCAAGATCACCAACACTTCTGATTTGGCTGCCGCAGCTACTCCTGCCAGGCCCAGCCCAGTGCTGATGTCTCTGGACAAAGAGATTGGTCAGACAAAGACTCAACTCGACATCAAGGAGCTCCCTTGAGCGGGTGCCTATGCGTCAAATCTGTCAGGGACAGCGAGGGAGCAGACAAGGCAATTTGGAAAAGCTGGTAATGCGACGGACCAGATGGTAAGCGCCTTGAATATCACCAACTCGTTTACGAGTAACGAGGAGATCAACTAATACGTTAGATCACTAGGAAGTGGCTACGACCTTGCATCTATCTTTGGGAGGTACCAGCAATCGCTTTGCGACGGCAATCATGATCTGCCCAGAGCCCCTCGAACGCTTGAGCGTTGACTCGCTCTCGCGGCCCTCATAGAGCAGAGGACCCTGAATCTCGCCCACCACGCGCTCGTCATGCGGTTGATGACACCGTTAATGGGGTATTTCTGGTATTAAACTCGTTTACCCCGCCAAATATGGCTCCTCTTCTTGTCGAGGCCGTTGATTTGAATGGAGGGACTCAATCCCAAAAACCATCGCTCACGATTACGACAGCTTTAGTCATCAACATGAGGATTGTTCAAAGACAGATGCCAACTTTGCGGTCGAGGACACCGCGCACCCTTTGCAGGCCATGAGCCAAGCCAGATCTCTTGGAAACTAGAAAGCATGAGGGCTGCTCGGTTTTCAAAGTAGTTGAAACAAGCTGTCCAGAAGACGACCATTATGTTGTGTTCCTTTTCCCTTTCTTCCTATTTTAGATCATCCGAGTTTGGTTGAAGGACAACTCGCAACTTTCAAAGAAATTACGACATTGTTCTGGTTTGGTTTTGCTGGTGCTCAAAGCTGTCAACGTTCAACCATTTCGCCCTGCGCTCAGTCAAGTAGTGATAAATCTCTGGCGGTTTGACAGTAGATCACTCTCAACTTTGCTCTCCAGTCTTCATTTTTCCATTTCAAGCAACATTGTTAATTTTTTTCATTTTACATAGCCTTCTCAACAAGCAGCCATTCACAAAGTACGTGTTCATAATTTCACGAGTATTCGCGAGTATTGAACAATCAAATTGTCCCTGGCAGACTCACTCAACTCCAACTTCTTAGCCACACATAAGTTGATCGTCGTCTCCATTATTCAAGAGCTTCTCTTTGGGAACATTGTGAATCCAAGCTCCTATTCTTCAAACCTTTTCCTGATCCATCATCATTATGTCTTTCTCTTTTCGCCACTACCTCGCCGCTGGCATCCGTGGCATGCGCGTCGCCACCGGCACGTCATACGAGGATATTTTCGATCAACTCTTCCAAGCTCTCAACGTACTCCGTCGCGAAGCCGCCCAAAGTGGTGACATTCGGCTTTACTCTGAAGAGTATTTTCCAGACGACATCTATGACCCGCCAAGTCCCGAGTATATCAACCTCACAGGTGTCCCCAGACATGTCTCTTCCACTCCTAGCCCAGCTCAGCCAGGACACCAGGTCAATATCCCCATTCGCCTCAGTGAAACTCCCCAGCCCACTGCATTTGTTCAGCCCATCATTTATCCCACCGATCCCAACGCCCCAATTCCAGCTGTTCATAACCCCCCACCAGAGCCAGTCTACAACCCGCATACTGAAATGCCGAGGAGGAAGGGTGACGAGGGAGACAAGCTCTGGCCTTGCGAGTATGACGGCTGCGATGCCTCGTACACTCGCCGTAAAACGTTCCTTGATGTAAGTCTACTTGTTCCTCTCTTCCGTTCTTGAGCTGAAGTGCTAACCTGAGTTGACAATAGCACATGGTGGCTAAGCATGGGTACCCAGCACCGCCCAAGAGACCCTCCCGGCCCAGAAATCCGGCCAACGCTACGGCTTCTAGTAGCACGCAAGCGCAGGCTGGCCCTTCCGGATCCGCTCCTCGAAATGAAGGAGAGGATGTCAACATGGAGGATTAGTTTCTTCAACTCCAAGTTTTGTACAATTTAAATAAGCTAATTCGCTTTTCCATCATTTGGGCGGGATATTTGTTTCAATTCGAGGAGCAATCTTGGAATATCACAGCAAAATAGCATCCGGTGGCATTCTTTCCAGACCTTGTGTTCAGACCCAGTTCGGCTTATAACCTCATGCATCTATATTTGTGCCTGCGTTTCCATGAATTCCATCATAATCTTTTTTGCCTTGCTCTGGTGATCGGATCGCCCCTAAATAATCAATTTCCCCATCGAAGCCGGGCCCGTAAAGTTAGCCTCCGACCGGAAGGCCTCAAAAGTGGTTCGCAACTCTCTGCTCCGCCATTTCGAGAAAGTCGGCGCCCCGGATCACAAGATCTCGATCAACCCCTGCAATCATGGCTCGACCGCCGAGTGGGCAAACAAGACTCTGTTCAACGCGGATATGCGAATGTTTTGCCGCTATCTCCAGTCGGAATAACCAATTTAGATTAATGTCTTCATGTTCCTTTAGCCTCCGATTTGTTTTCTCAAGTTGATCAACTCCTGATCTAGGCTGCTTTCCACCTGATCCAGGTATTCATGTGTAACATTGCTGGTCTGGGAACGACAGTTTACGCGTTATATTCCCAGAAAACCAGCCGCGAACTGCTGATTAGAAGTTCTTGGGAAGCTTTCCAGGCTCCTCCGAGGATGGAAGAATATTCAAGAAATCGATTCACTTCCAGCAGTCCTCTGGCAAAAGAATACATGTAGGCACAAAAGTTGAGACTGCCTCGTGAAAGGCAGCTCAGATCGACACCAACTGCCATTTCCTACTGCTCTTACTGCCCTTGTTGCTCTGTCTGTGGAACAAGGTCTGTCAGAGCTAGGGTCATAAAGGTACTCTTCGAACGCATTTCTTTCTTCCGAGGTTCGGTTCACTCCACAAAGATATTGTCTTCACTCTCTCTCTATCGAGGCGTCAACAAAGACGGAATTCTTCACTTATGGACTTTGAGCTTAAAAGACTAAGGTTAACCAAGAATTACGAGAATCAATGCTCACAATCATCTTCATCAAATCATTAAGAATTACTCCAGAATCAATCAATTATGACTTTTGCTATCGAGAACGCTTTCGCCCTTGCGATCTTGGGTGAGCACAATCCAGAAACCTCAACTACCAAGGATCTCATCTTAAGAACAGACTTGGCATTTTGGAGGGTCAGCAGCCGTCTCCTTGAGGGAAACACGAGCCTTCCCAGCGCTGAAGCCGACATTTTTGAGGGAACTTTTACTCTTCCTATGCTCGGTAAACGCGCCATCTCGGACCTCGACTGGAGCACTCTGGTAGCGACAGTCTTGGAAGTCTATCTCAGCATCCGCGAACGCCTAATCCGTGGCGAATGCGTTCTTCCCTCTCCTCAAAGCACGATGAGAGCCAGTAGACTCGATCCATCTGTTACCGTTCTATTTGGTACCGGACCGACATTCCCTGCTGCCGAGTCGGACGTCGGCGAGTTTCCAGATAACATCCTCGACGGTGAGTATGAAGAGTATGATGAAGACGATCGCGAGATGGGATCAGCTGACTCCGGTTCCACAAAGAAGGGGAAAAGGGTGCGATGGGAGTGTGACTCTTCTCCTTCCACCAGAATGACGAAGAAAGCAAGAAAGGAGTAAGGTAAAGGGTTGTAGTTTCGCGATAATTCAGCAGAATTGGACATTACGATTTCTCTTATCTACTTACTTACTCTATTTGATTCAGACCGATCTTCTTCAAGATGTTGTTATCTAGTTTACACGTATATTAGCACACATCGAGGGTACTAAAGTTCAAGCATTCTTTCTCCCTACCACCGCTTCCCAACTTTCAGATCGAGAGGCGGTCAAAAGTTCATATATCGCTATAACCCCCACTTATCGGCTCCATCCTTTCTATTCATCATCAGCATCCCCGAGCTTCTGATTTTCCACTCCTGTCCTGCCAGAAGTTTCTGGCAAGGCCACTGCACCTACCAGATGCCAGTATACGATTGATTCCTGATGCATCTTTCTTGCACTCATTCCTGCTGAGAGACCTAATCTCGTTAACTACGTTAAAGAAGGTAACTTTTGATTCCGATAATGAACGAAGAAAGCCGCTGGGTATACCCATAAGTTCTGTCCATGCTAGAACGTCGACCCCGGGCCCTCCTATGGAGCTGCACCCTCGTCAGGATATCTGTGCTCGTACATCTAGAAACACTCGACAAGGTCAGCCGTTAGAGACAGACAACTGCGGTGAGGAGCCCTGAGCGCCCAAGGTCTGGTGTCGTTCACGTTCTTCCTCGATAATAGTGCGATCCGGCAGTGGAATCAATCCGTGCCCAAGGCATATTGGCCCATCAGAGATGATAGCATGGATGTCATCGCCAAATGTGGGGAGAACCTTGGCTGGTTCGTTGATGAATACATCAATCGCCAAAACCCCGCTGTAAGTTGTTTCATGGCCCTGCTTTTACTGCATTAAACCATAGCTACCATCCTTTTCTTCTGGTCTGGCCTTCAGATTATGCGTGCGGCACACGATTCCCACAGAGGCTACGATGCTGGTTCAAGATGTGAAATTTATATCAGCATCGGGTACAACTACTTCCATCGGATCGGATCTGGCAAGGTCAATCACTTCTACCACTGGAACCTCTGTGAGGCAAAGGAGAAGTTATATTGGACCGAAAAGAACTCGAAAAGCCTTGGAAAGCTTGCAGAGGGCTGCACGCGGAAGAACAGATAGTCGATCGCATAGGGGTCTGTGTCTTCCCTAATACGCCATCATCCTCCTCGTATCATTTGTTACTTTGTGGTAGGCACAGAGCAGGTTCTCGTCTCCTTCTATTAGTCAGAACTAAGAGGTGGTGGGCTGCATCGGACCAGCCACACAATGGCTGAGTTAATCATCTGAAATTTGCGAACAACCACAAATCTTTAGGTTTATTCCACAACATCAACTTCACCTGTGGCTCGCTCCTTCCTTCTTTTTCGATGGTCGAGCGGTGTAAGCCTGCTCCCGTCTACTTATAGAAACCCTACTTCACGGGCCCGGCAGTCAACTTACCTGTTCCAAATCCACCCATCTACCTGCTGGCTGCCGTTTCTGTTTACACAACAGAACAAATCGAACGCGTATGTTGCCCCATCCCCATTTCTTTTAATCTAATTGTATCTTCCATCTAAGCTAACAGATCATTCCAGAACAATGTCTTTCCAGCTCGAGACCAATCTCGCACGTGCGATTCACATGCAGCAAGTCGCTACCGGCGCAACCCACCACAGTATTCGTGATACCACCGTGGCCGCACTGCGACTTATCCAGCAGCGATTCGAGCGTGGTGACTATGATCTCCCCAGAGCAACCAGAACCTTCGAGCGACAGCTCACACTGGCAATCCTCATGGAACGAGACACCAGGAACTTCGGCCTCAATGCGCTGATTACACGTACGACGACAGCTTGGGGTCGCATCTCGAGTCGCCTCGCACGGGGCATTACCCCTTTTCCTGAGCCTTACCACATCATCGCCGAAGACGGAGATGAAGATATCACAGTTGAAGAGCGTCTTCGCAGAATGGGACTCGATCCCGACAGCTTTGACCTTACCGGCATCCGCTCTGGCGCCCCGCACAGCTCTAACAACAGCAACAACGTTGCCCCAGGCCAGGCTCAGACTGACATGAGTTCTGCCATCGGTGCAGGAGAAATCATCCCCAGTCAAGCTTCTGTTCTTGCTCCCGCTGTTGCTGCTTCTACTACCGCAATCGTCCAGACTGGCAAAGCTGCTGTGACTGGGAAGCCCCGGGACCGAAAGCGCGGCAAGGATATGTACGGGTGTGACGTCTGCAATCAGACGAAGAGGTACACCTCTGCGTGCACTCTCTACAGAGTAAGTTCATCCAAGCCGCAACCTCAATCTACTTTAGAAGAGAAACTGACATGAACGGAACAGCACAAGAAGAGTAAGCACGGCATTCCCACACCAGGGGATGTCCGCAAGGAGAGGAAGCTGGCTGTAGAGGCGGCTCTTGCAGCCCAGGATGATGCCGAACAGGCTGATGGTGCGGGAGAGGATGAAGACGCAGAGGCGGTTGGAGAGATTGATGAGACTATGAACGGGGATACCGGAGACGAGGGGGACTCGGAGTGATTCCATGCATACAATTCTGAAGAGAACCATGACGAGATATGATCTATCAATACAATGGCTTCAGTGTACACTGAATGACAACTACTCGATGCTTCTTGATCTCGCTTTGATTAATGACCCTTCTTTGATGGGACAGAGTCGTTCACACAGCGTCTTTTCACTGAGCGGGCGGGTTCATATGTCATAGACTCCTTCCTCGACCTATCCACCAAGTCACTCGAGGGCGGTGCCTTTTAGACAACACCAGCCGGTCAAGGCAGATATTAAGGACACGACCCCTTTCTTTTCACAAAACGTTCAGCTAACAAAAAAAACGCAGAAACAATCTCTCTCATCAAGGGATTTCTGACTCTCAAAGCTAAACCAATATACCGGGTCAACAAAGCAAGAACAATGGACGACAAAGGCCCATTCCCTTGGCCAGACCCTCACGCGCAAGTGTCCTTCTCTGGCAGCGAGAGCGAGCGTACAATGGCAGCTTCGAGAGCACCCTCCGAGATGGGCGCATCTTCGACTCTGCCCATGGATATCGACATCCAACAATCTCAAATCCGGCGCCGAACCATCTCCTGCCGTCACTTCTACTTCCCCACGCCACAAGAGGAGCACGAAGCAGAGCACCACAAGCAACCTCAAGACACCGCCAAGGAAGTCGCGACCTATATCGTCAAGAACATCGCTCCCGAGAAGCGAGCCGACGCCGTCAAGACGGTCGCCCGAGCCCTCGCTCTCCGCCGTCTCAAGGAGCAAGCCCAGCTACAGATCCAGCGCGAGAAGGAGAAGCAGGCCGAGGAAAATGACCAGATGACGATCTCCAAGTCAGCCTTCAAGCTCCACATGGCACGAATCAAAGCGGCGCAGGAAATTTCCGCAAGCTGGATGAAGGATACGGAGGACTCGCTGGAGGCGGAGTCGATTCAGGCCCGTATCATTGATATGGCCTTGGAGGAGATGCACGACACGGCGATGGCACTTGAGAAGGGCAAAGGCCCGGCTTTGTAGTACAGAGGAGGAACGACCATGGAGTACCTCGGATACGAGCGAGCGAGCAGGCGAAATAGTATGGATTGCCAGCACCTCGTAATTGGCAGCTTTCTCCTGCATTATTCTTCAACTTGCCGACTCGTTGGGCGGTATAATCAAGCTGCTTCCATGAGACACAAACTTCCCATTCATGGCTTGCTTGCCACGATGAGGCTTCACCTGTTCAGATTTGAAGCCTGTAAGCCGTAGCTTACATCTGGGTGCCATCGAGTGACCGCTCATAGTTACACGTCTCACCGCCGGAGTGGAGATGTCAAAATGTCATGTTCGTGAGACCTCGCGATTCAAACCTTTTGTTTCGGGCAGTTACAGATGGGCTCGGAAATTCAAAACCAGAACGAGCTTACCTGCTATGGTGGGCATATTCCACCGGAAGGACCGATAGAGAGACCTGGTCCTTCCTCAGATACCTCAGATGCCTCAGATATCTCACATTTGAAGGTCACATGACTCACTGCCAACTCACCTTCGCCATCCTTCACCTTTCACCTCACTCAGCCATCTCACCGTCTCACTAAATAATCATCAAATACCATAGGCCATTGCGCTTATTTGACTGGTCTTGCCGTCTTGTCAAAGGTTTTTTGCCGCGGTGGCTTCACCAAAGACATTTCAGTCTTCACCTTTCCATCCTTTCACTTCTCATCAGCAGCTTCGCCTTACCCCTTCGACAATCAACACAACTACGGCTTTCCGCGCTTCTTCTCAGATCACTTGACGGGATACGTACCAATATTTCATGGTTCCTCTGCGATCACTACCAAATCCCTCTCTTTCTGGCACCAAGTCTCTCTGACAGCCTTGCTTTTTCACTATCCTTTTAGGGACACAAATTTTACACTACCCAGGTAACCTCATCGCACCGCGAGATTCACTCTCCAGCAGAGCTTTACTCCAACACGAATAACTTGGCCTTCTCACCGCAGTGGTATACCAGCGATCGGCCCGAGATGGCGAAACTACCAGCCATTCCGATTCTCTCCTCCCCCGAGGGCGAAGCCGCGGTCGTTCCGTCGTCTCACAAATTGAGCGTGAGATATGCGGCTGAGAACTCTCCTTCCGTTGAGAGAAAAAAGAGAAAGAGGTCGAAGAAAAGAAATCAGACCCCAGAGTCCCCGAAGCCTTCTAAGAAATCGAAACTCAAGATTCACCCATCGGGCGGCAAATACCGAAAGCAGGACAGCCCGAAGCTAATGACTCCATCGCCGCTCGCCTCCTTTCCTCAACCTCACAATCCAAATCACCCGTTCATGAAGACCTCGACGATCCAACTTGAGCGTCACGCTGTTGAGCCAGAAGTTGAGGAACCCTCGAAGTCTCCCATACAGAACAAAGAAGACGGAGAGCCGGTTGCGACTATCGAGGCCGATGACATTATCGAGACTGGTGTCACCATCGATACTGGTAGCACCGACTCGGATGACATGCCTATGGCTAGCAGGTCGTACAAAAGAAACCCATTCGCCGGCCAGACCTACGAAGTTCCCGAGCAGCTCATCGAAGACAGAGCCAGTCCCGACCTTGGCACACAGCCTGCCCAGAAACTCAAATCTTCCACCTATGTGCCTGGCAAAGAGACACTCGCGGATGATGATAACTGCTACATCTCCAAGGCCGCCTTCAACCTCCTCACAGCTCGCCATATGACCTTGCAGCATATGGTCAAGACGTTCATCGAATCAGTGAACGATCTGGAGACCACAAGCAAGGGCGATAGGGACATCCGTGACGGAATCCTGGCAGAGGCCAAGTCTCTTCAGATGGGCATCAAAGCAGTTTCCAATGCTGCATACGAGCTTCCGTTTGCCAACCGAACTGGCGCCACCGCCAGAGCAGCTGCAGACAAGCCCCTTGCTGCCATCGAGAAGTTCAATGTGAAGAAGAGAATCCATGCTGAAGCCAAGGCTGCCGCCGCGGAGCAGCAGGCTGTGGAGAAGGAGGCAGAGATAGCGGACAATGACGGCTCTGATGTTGAAGACGGCCCGGAGGATGGGAAGGAAGACGACGGTTTCGAGCTGGAGACAGCTGAAACTCATGGAGAAGCGATGGATGAGTCGCAGTAAATGGGTTAGCTATCGCAAAACTTTGGAATTCCGGGCACATCATTCCGCGGGCGACTTCGGGCGGCACATGGCATACAAGGGCATTGGCGATGGCGTGGCTTTGGAGCGCCTGGTTTCGAAAAAGTGATCAAGCGAGGCGAGCTGTGGTATGCAGGATATGAAATCCATGATGTGTATTCTAGCCAGAGATAAGACTCTTGAGCTTACGAAACGGCTGCTTCCAAACTGCCACTGACGGTACTCATCCGACAAGCAATCTAGGGGAAAGGCACTTTCGAGTAATAATCCCAACTCAATCTCCCAAGGGGTACTCAACGCAGGATTTTCATGGCGATCACACCGAAGAACTAAGATCCAAATATCCGTAACAGGATTTTACTTCAACTGCTATTAACCATGACCACAGAATCTTCTATCGCCCTCTTCAGCTTATCCCTCGGAAACCCCGGTCCTTTCATAAGACACACCGCACACCTCGACAAATTAGCAATCAGCAGGGTGATATTCAACTGCACCGTAAAAGCCTTCTTCGATCTCCTTTGCAACGTCTGCGGGAAACAATCCACAAAACTCCAACTGTCCGACGCCAAACCTCGTTTCTTCCCCGTGTCCGACGCCAACTTTAACGGCCTACTCAACTTCAGCTCCAACGTCTCCTTATCTACCACCCGAGCACCAAGCGCAATAAGCTGCCTCTCAACACCAGCAACACTGAGGAACCGCGTCTGCTGGGCATCCGCTAGCGCCGTCTTCTCAAAGAGGTCGAAGTTCTCCGGTGACAGGTCCTCGGAGCTGAACTCGTCTCCGTACCAGCGTCCGCCCATGGGTAATTCTGCAGCTTGCTGGAGCTCGTGCTGGCCTGGTCCGACGAGCCACCGCATTTTTGTGATTATGTCGTTCCTGTCGCGGTATCTGAGTGTCGAGCTGAAGATGCGAGGTTCTTCTCCGTGGGGAAGAGGTGAGTCGAGGGATTTGCTGAGGACGAGGTAGCCTAGAGTGAAGCAGGTGTGTGTGAGGCGGAAGCTAAAGGAGTCTGGACTCAGGATGGCTTTCGAGCCGCAGTGGAAGGTTCCGAGGGATGGGGGTAGTGAGGTTGGGCGGCAGGCTAGGGATGTTAGATGGGATAGGATTTGGTCGTCTGGTGTCAGAGTCGGAGGATCTGGTGCTGGGGTGTTTGCCTGCGGAGGCGACGCCACGTGGGATGTGTCATCTCTAGCAAAGAGATCCTCCTCTTCAATGCCCTGAACAGTATCGTCCTGGGGGTGGGAAAGTGCTACAGGAGCCTTCTTTGCTTCTCTGAGTTTCCTCTTCCTCCTCTTCGGAAGCTCATCCTCCAACGCCACAGCATCGTCAGCCAAAGCCAGCACGTGCGCCACCATCTCCTGGATACGCGTCAAGACCCCTACTTCCTGCTTCAGCGCCTCGATGTCCAGCATCCAGTCGACAAGCTCAACGACCGCGGAGCTCATCTTGGCGACGGTGGTTTCTAGATGCTGCAGGCGGGTTGCCTGGATCTCTTCCGCAGCTTGCTTGCGTTTGCGAAAGACTTTTTGAGCCTCGCGATTGCGCTCTCGGCGGGTCTAAGTTGGGCATTATGTGAGCTAGACGGCACGTGTGACACAATTACATCCGAATAATGGGTATTTGCATCTTACCTGAAGTGCCTGGTCGGGAGAAGGCGACCGCGAAACATGATCGCTCGATCGCTCGCTTGGCAGTGCTTCGGGAGACATGGGTATGGCGCCAATGTTGGACTGAACGAAAGTTATGATTTGATGTTGGTAATAAATTGAGATGATGTAATTAGGACCGCCTTATCGATGTGTGAAAGTCTTACATGAGAGGAATGAATCTGATAGCACGAACTTGAGGTTTTTGGAGTGAGTGCTCTGGTGAGATGATAACAAAGTGGTCCCCGGAAGTCTCTCCGACTCCTTCGGCAGCGGCTTTATGACATAAAAGTTCCCGACGCCTGTCAGATTTTAGTGTAGCCGTAAGCCACCATAGTGTCTCGGAAGTCGCACTAATTTGGTCCAACCACCTTATCCCGGCGCTAGGACTCTGGGAGTTCGATGAGACAACTGCATGGAAATAGCTATGTGAGCCTCGACGGCTGCATATGCAGATCCCTCAAGATCATCATTCTGGATAGCTTACCTCGGTGCCTCGGCTCACCTAAAGAATTCACAGTAGCGATGGTGAGCCGTTGTACGAGCTTCTTCCTGCCCGGCGTCTCAACGGACATCTCCAAGACCGACATTCTCTTTGACTGAGTGCTCAGACTAGGAACATCATTGGTCGATAACCCAAACAGGAAATCCGGAAGCTGCTTTGATGGTCTCACGTAAACCTGATCGCGCACTGATGTTGGAGATTCGAAGAGCGTGGGATGTTGGTGGAGGATGTTCAGCGAAACAGGTTATAAGACGACATAATGAAAGCGAGTATGTGACACTTATCGAATCTGAATCATCCAGAACTTTCACCAAACATCATTCCGAGAAACAGTAAACACTTCGAATTTCCATCATGATTACCTCCGGAGATGAACACAAGACTGCCTGTTCACAAGGCATGGCTGCCTACGCTGCTCCTTCGCTTTTCCAGCCTCACAAAGCCCGTCAAGCTATCCGAGACGCCCACGCAAAGAAGATTCCGCCACTGCTTTGTTACTACGCAGGGTTGAGCTCTATCCCCATTACCCGGTACTTGGCCCCAATGGGCTTCGATGCCGTATGGATTGATTGGGAGCATACCCCATGCAACACGGAAACCATGACGACGGCAAGTACTCATAGGGTCGCCCTGTAAACCTTAGAGAATGTTCTGACGCCACTAAGATGGTTCACGAGGCCTCTTTCATGAGCCAAGGCCGCACCATTCCATTCGTTCGGTATGTCTCTCGCACATCCTCTTGGACAATAATGACATGACTGCGCAGGCTTCCTGGTCACGATCACGCTGCTATTGGATATGTTCTCGATGCCGGCGCCAGCATCGTCATCCCCCAAGTCGAGACAGTTGAGCAAGCAAAACATGCTATCGCCGCAGCCAAGTTCGGCACAGCGCAAAACGGCACACGATCCCTTCCGCCTTTTCGCCTTGTGCCCGGTCTCACCGACACACCGTACGACCACCGCGACCTCCACAAGTGTCTCAATGATCAGGCCGCAATCATGGTTCAGATCGAGTCAGCTCAAGCCGTCCAAAACCTCGATGAGATTTTGACGGCGTGCGGTTCAGATATCGATATTGTCTGGTTTGGCACTCTTGATGCCCGAGTCAGCATGAACCTCGAGGCCAAGATGGGTGGCATAGGGGCATCTGAGCCTGAATGGGTCAAGATTTCGAAGCTGTTCTTTGATACTATTGACAAGCACGATAAACCATACGCTGGCTTTGCGTTCGGTGGGCCTCCGTACGGGAGTCCAGAGGTCTTGAAGAAGGCTGCGGAGAGGATGAGTCTGATCATGGTCTCGGCTGACGTGGTTCACTTGGGTGCCATGGTGCAGGACTTGCGACAGGCGAGGGAACTGATTGGAAGGACGAGATAGTTCCATCTTATGAAAGAGGCTCGAGCAGGGGTCGCAGAGAGTTGCAGGGTTTGCCGACATGAGAGGACATACTTGGAATGAAGAGAATCAGTTTTGAATAATTGAATATGGTGGTATTAATGCATGCGCTAGTCCTTCTGCTTTCTTATGCCTCATTTTCGTCATTTGCTGAGCTCAGCTCCTTCAAACCAATATCTACTGTCTAGCAGTTCGCAACGACATCTTGACCAGCCTTGACAGACTTATCAAGTCCCGCTTGCGCATCAGCGATGGCTTGGTCGCTCCTACAATCATTGTTAGCCCTTGCGGTTCTCAACTTGCGTATAAGGTAAGAATACGTACGCATCACCCCCAGAAAGAGCAGTACCGGCCGCAGCCAATCCAGCTGCTACCTCGTCACGGCTGGCCGCGGGCGGCGCATCGCCGCTGACAATGGACTTTGCAATCTGCGCGATACCACCTCGTGCTTGTTGGAGACCAGCGTTGGCAGCGTCCTGGACTGTTGTGTCGGTGATTTGGGAAACGGCGTCTTCGGTGTTGCCAAGGGCGCCTAGGATCTGGAGTCTTGCGACGTTGCACGAAAGGCTGCCGAGGTTTCCAAGCAGTTGGCGTCTTTCGATGCTTCCTGGAGCCGCCATCCGGTTAGAAAAAGATGGAATGGCTTTGGTTATTTGAGCCAAAATACTTACTTGCGCTAGCGAGAGTGGCACCGGTGGCCATCAGGAAAGTGACGAGAACTTGTTGGGCGTACATTTTGTGTGGATTTGGATGAACCAAATAGGTATCTTGAGAGAGAAAATGTGAAATAACAGAGCACAAAGACTTGAGATAAGCTTAAATAAAGATGACACCAGGTCTAAAGAAGAAAAGTTGCTGAATCGGATGGCAGTTTCGTTGTTGATGAGTTGAAACTTAGTGTCATGAACTGACAGCGACGCGACAGGTGCCATCTTATAGTTGAGCTGACAGAAGCGCTGCATCTGCCATCGTGTGGCCTGAGATGATGCGATGACCGCCTTGGAAGGCCTGAAAAGATGGCTGAGCACCTGTGTTACCTGGGCATGACCGGTTTCGAAGATCGAACGAAGTTTCAAAACATGGGAATGAAGCGACGCTGCGAGCTCCTCGGATGAACCCCTGTTCTCCTTGGCCAGGGTCTCTGGTGTTTTTGGTGGGGATGACAGGGAGAATGAACTCCAAAATCCCACGGTTGGAAACCGTCGCCATTGCAATTCGTCGGAGGGAGTATTTGAATCTCCTTGAAGATCAAACTGCGCGGTGGGGGGATATGCAGCCAAAAGAAAATTGCGATTGGCTGCTCAGCCGCTCATCAGGGGATATGATCTCCGGATCCGACACTCTTCCATGGGCAGCGAAACTGAATTTCACATCATAAATCCAGATGTTAAGGCCCACGAAGTCGCTTCGGTATCCCACGTCTTGTAATAGCATTCGCTTCTTAGCGCGTTTTACCTAGTCTTAAACAGCACCTCTTAAGCTTAACACTGATCTTTGGGGCGTTGAAGAGTCTTCCCCATTTTAAGATTGGGCTCTTGTGGACACTCATCATTTGACTTAGACTTCCGTAGCGCTGCTTGAGGCACTTTAGTCGACAAATTTTCAATGAGTCTTAGTCGCACGTCAAAGAGCACATTCGTGTTGAAAAATGACTCCGATAGTCTTTTGCAATGAGGAACAGGCATCTCTCATATCCTCCAAATACTTCGCTGCTATTGATGAAATGATGCTCATAAGATGTTCCCAGTGCTGGACTGAAGATCTAGCTTAGCTGCAGGGAGCCGGACCAATCATGTCTCTCTACCAAGATAAGAAATCATTATTTTTTCGAATGACTTGAGCTCAGCTGACGATCGGCGCCTCAACCTTGCCATCCTGCCTACATCATTCCGACGCTCACCTCCGCCAAGTAGCCAGCTTGAGATGTGGCTTATTGACACCGATAGCCTCAAACTCGTCGAGGTGCAGGGCGACCCCCAGGAGGAGTACGCGATATTGTCTCACACCTGGGGCAGCGACGAAGTCACGTTCCAGAGCTTCCAGGCGCTCGGCTTGGCCTCGGACACGGCACCCGGTCCGGGGTCGGGCTCCGCGGATGCGGCAGACCAGGTCCGCACCACCAATGGCTTCCGCAAGATACGAGATGCAGCCAACCTGGCCAAGAGTCGTCGCCATCGCTACCTCTGGGCCGATACTTGTTGCATCGACAAGACTAGCAGCGCTGAGTTGTCGGAGTCCATCAACTCCATGTACCGTTGGTATGAGAAGGCAGCCATCTGTTACGCGTTCCTCTCCGACGTGGAGCCTGTCTCTGTGCAGAGCCCATTTGCCAAAGATTCGAGTTTCCAGAGCAGTCGATGGTTTACTAGGGGATGGACGTTACAAGAACTCATTGCCCCGAAGACCGTTGAGTTCTACGCCAGAGACTGGTCTTACATCAATACGAAGCAGTCAAGAAATGTATTTTGCCAACTGCTTGCCAGGATTACTGGCATTGACGAGCAGGTGCTCTCTGGTACATCATTCCTCAGCGACATCAGTGTCGCGAATAAGATGCGATGGGCGGGGCATCGACAGACGACGCGACCGGAAGACAAAGCATACTGCCTGATAGGATTGTTCAAGGTGAACATGCCCTTGCTCTACGGCGAAGGTGACCGCGCTTTCACGCGCCTGCAAGAAGAGATTCTTAAAGAGAGCGATGACCAGTCCTTGTTTCTCTGGGGAATGACAAGGGACGTTCAACCCTCGGATGACCTTTTCGGCTTACTTGCGAGTTCCCCAAGCGCGTTCTCAGTGGTGGACTTTGACCATGTGCGACCACTGCCTCCATCGGAATCTCAAGATAGTGCGCCAACCAGTGTCACTAATCAGGGGCTAAGAACAAACATTCTTCTCATCCCACGACAACCGGACGGAGATGAGTACTACGCTCTTTTGGACTGCATAGTCTCCAAACCTGAATCTGCCACCGAAGAGTTGAGTCCTTGCATCATTCTACAACGGCTCTGGAGTGACCAATTCGCAAGAATTGCCTCTGAAGAGGGCTCTGTCATTCTGTTCCCTTTGGACCATTTCGATGACGCTGAGGGGACGTATGAGAATATCTACGTCAAGGAGAACCCATTCTACGCTCTCCCTGAACTCAGTGTGAAGACAAAGCTTCGGTCCAGCTCAAATGATGCTGTTTCACACCTGACCTTTACCATTCACGAAGCATATCCGCCGGAGCGATGGGACACCACTCTATCCGTAATACGAACTAAAGAGCCGCACTCGAACCGCGCGATGGTCGTTTTGCGCTTTATGTCGCTTGAGCAGAGCCAGCGATCAGTTGTAGATGTTGCCATTGGGCTTCGTCGAGTCAGGAGACGGTGGGAAGTGTGCTACGAGAAGCATCCTTACACCGGCAATAGTCTTGAGTCTGTCTACCTAGAGTTTCCCGAGATCGCCACTACTTCGGATGGTTCTGCGTCGTACCAAAATTCTAAGGGCTTGGGATTTATCACCATCGATGCCAAAGAGTCTCAAAGGAGAGGCCGACGATTCATCCAGCTGGAGGTCTCTGGTACCTCTGAACTCCTCTTTGCTCCAACCGACGAGGGTGCTCTATCAAGTGCGCCCAGGCGAACTCCAGAGCCGCCAGAGCCTGTGGTACTGTTTGACGAGGTCGGCGCAGTCACACATTGCTGTTGCTATCAAGACAGATTCACCCTCATGCTGTCGCCGACACTTCCCATACCCAGTGGAGTGAGGACAAAGACGGCAGTGAATATCGCCATCCGATTCGGGAATGAGCTTCACGCTGTCAAGATTGAGCAAAGCAAGCCGTACGCTGATTTGATTCGGGCCGTTCGGGCGCGAAGTGATAGGGATGTCCAGTCCCTTGCAAGGCAACGAAGAGGTCTTCTTGAGCTGCGGACAGAAGAGTTTGACGACTTCAGAGCCATCCACTGGGCAGCGACTCTTGGTTCACTGTCCATGCTCAAGACGTTGTTGAAGCTAGGTGCTAATACCATGAGTCAAACACGAAGTGGGTTTATGGCCGTTCATCTTGCAGTACTCAACGGGCATTTCAACCTCGCCGCATATCTTCTGGAAGAAGAGAGGGAGTCAAATCTCAAAAAAAGACCCGACATTCTGCAAGGTATTACAACCGAGGTCTTGCAAGCGGATGACGAGGTTGAGTTTTACTCTGGAACCGACCCCGATATTTTACACAGGTTCACGACAAAGAGACTCGAGACCATTCTCCATCTCTTCTCCGCCTATGCGCCTGCCGGGCTTGCGAACCATAGAATACGGAAGATTATTGATCTGATCAAAGAGGACTTCCTCGGCTCGCACTCCTTCCCACACATCAACGATCTGGGCGAGCTTCCACTGCATCGAGCAGCAGCCACGGGCAACATGCAGGCAGTAGACGCATTGACTAAAATGATGGGGACTACCAAACACATCGACGCCAGAGACAATGCCGGGCGATCGGTTCTCTTCCACTCCGCCTGCGGTGGTAGCAAGGAAGTCATCCGCGGCCTAGCCGACTTGGGTGCTTCGATCGATGTCGGCGATGACTACGGTCGCAGCCCGTTACATGCCGCCGTCATGGCGGATCAACCATCGGCCGCCAACGCGCTTCTCAAGTTGGGGGCGAAAGCGGACAACGTCACCCATGCGCTCGGGTTGACCCCCTTGCATTTCGCATGTCTTTATGGGTCTATCGGCTGCACTTACGAGCTCTTGAAGAGCGACGGGTCTGGACCGGCGGAGGTTAATCGATGGTCGAGCGGCGAATATGCCTTTTTTCAACCGATTCATCTAGCTGTTGCTAACGACCATGTTGAGATTGTGACTAGGCTTGTGATGCTGGGGTGCGACTTAGAAGGCCGCTGCAACGGGTATCTGAAGCTTGAGAAAACTGATGGACCCGATGGCCGGATAGGCAGACTAATAAGATTGGAATTGCCATTGACGGCTCTTGATCTGGCCATTGTTCTAGGTAAGAAGGATATGTTGCCAGAACTACAGCAGACCAACGCAGCTCGACTATATGAATAGAAACCTCGGAGTTTTCAGGGTTGGAGGAAGGACTAGCTGAGCCGCGAGATCTTCTCGGACTTCGCACAGGAGCCTAGAAGCTTAATTTCGAACGTCCCTGACCGCACAGAGCCGTTCACAGAACAATTCACCACTGGGTAAACTTTTATCCCAAAGTCCTCGCAACAATCCGTCCACGTATGAGCAAGGTTTTCTGATAGTAGCAATAAGGGAGCAAAAGTGCCCGGCGCAGCCGCTCACAGCCTCATTCGAAAAATCTCAATCCGTTTCCTCATTGGCTGTCAAGATCATGACCAAGCGATTTGACATGGCCGTGGTGCTCTTCAGATGGTGCGTGACATCACGCTTGCTGAAGAAGAGACCCTTCAACCAACGACACAGCGAGGTTACTGCGAAGACTCCGTTTCGCCCAGCCTTTTCTCCACATAGTCCGCTTCGAGCTGCCCTGCCACCGCCGTCATGCTCGCTTTCCAAGAAGCTCGCTTACCACTGCTGTTGCTACTTGGAGGAGACAAGTCCGGCTTGGCGGGAGGAATTTGAGTTCGCCAAAACATGCGGTATGAGGTATTTTACTAAAGAAAAACAGAAATTTTACACGATCTGCTTTGTCAGTTGCCCAATGCAATGGAGCCTCTCGTGTTGCACCTCCGCTGCCCAGTATGCTTATATTGCAAGATCCACCAAATTGCAACCATCTTTCCCAGATTCAGTTAGCTCTACCCAGTTTTGCGGAGTGCCATCCCTCCAGTACCGAAATTTGATAGTTGGACAAGTTTAGACGAGGATTATCAATCGCATCTTATCAATCTCATCGCTCGAATCATGTAAGTAATTAATAACTCTGTCCTGCTGCCCGACGTCGTATGGCTTTCGATTCTTCAGACTCTTGGTTGAGTGTCCTGTCCTTGTCTCCTTGAACATCATCCCTCTCTTTCCATCCACCATGAAGTTCATCACCTTGAGCTCGGCGCTTCTTGCGCTGAGCGACACGGCAGCAGCCCGCCTGAGCCTCCGGAGCAACACCACAACTACCCGCAACACCACCTACGACTACATCGTCGCAGGCGGTGGCACCGCGGGTATCGTGGCCGCCGAGCGCCTCGCGAACTCGGGTCGCAGCGTTCTCCTCATCGAGCGTGGCGGCACCTCCTTCTACATGACCGGCAACAACAAGACGATGCCGTGGAACAACACCGTCACCATGTACGATGTCCCCGGTATGGCCGACTTCACTGGTGCCTCCCCGGACCTGCAGTACTGCAGAGATCTCGCTATTGCTGCGGGATGTCTCCTCGGTGGCTCCACCATGCTCAACGCGCTCATGTACATCAAGCCTCGCTCGGCTGACTTCGCGACTTGGCCCGAGGAGTGGCACTGGGAGAATGGTGTTTCGGAGGCTGCGGAGGAGTTCTACAAGCGTCTTCCCGGATCTATTCTGGCGTCTGAGGATGGCAAGCGTTACGATGACGGCGCCTTTGAGGTGATGTCCAAGTTCTTGGACGCTCATGGCTGGAGCGAGCAAGATGCTCTGAACGACCCTGAGTCTAAGGAGCTCATGTACTCGCACCCTGCGTGGTCGGTAAGTGATACCATTTAAACATATCCCTACTTCTCAACGAAACTAACACCTTTCTCCTAGATTGCTCACGGTCTGCGCGATAGCCCCGTCCGCGCGATCCTCCCCGACGCCGAAGCCCTCCCCAACTTCACCCTGGAGCTCCACTCCATGGTCCTCCGCGCCATCCGCGACGGCAGTCTCGTCACCGGCGTCGAGGTCGAGCACGACGGTGGAGCCCGCGAGATCATTAAGCTCAGCAAGGGTGGATCTCTCGTTCTCGCCGCCGGTTCCCACTCCACCCCTCGTGTCCTCTTCAACTCCGGCATCGGCCCCGCCAAGCAGATCGAAATCGTCGCCTCCGGCACCACCAACATCCAGCTGCCGCCCAAGGAGCAGTGGATCGACCTCCCCGTCGGCGAGAACCTCAAGGACCACGGCATCGCGACCGTTACCTTCACCACCAAGGAGGAGCTTATTGCGCTCCCCAAGACTGCGTGGACTGACCCTGACCAGGAAACCGTTGACCTCTTCGCTCAAGGTAGTGGTCTCATGGCCCAAGCTGGTCAGCGTCTTAACTTCTGGACCAGCGTTAACACTACCGATGGCGCTACCCGCCACGTTCAGGGTACTGTCCGCGCAGACAGCAACAACACCATTGGCGTCAAGGTCTACCTGACCCACGGCACCACCTCCACTGGTACCGTCGAGATCACCCCCAGCGGAGCGACCAACATGACCAAGAACCCCCTCATGCACACCGAAGGCGACAAGGAGGCCCTTACTACCTTCGTCGACCAGTTGCTCCAGTGGGCTCGCGAACCCAACAGCATCCTTACCGTTCCCGAGAACGCCACCGCGGAGGCTCTCGTGGCTACCATTGGTGGTGGCAGCCATTACCTTGGCACCACGCAGATGGGTACCGCCAACGACGGCAAGAGCGTTGTTGACCCCGACACCAAGGTCTGGGGCACTGACAATCTCTTTGTTGTGGATGCTAGTATGCACCCCGAGGTCCCGACTGGCAACACACAGGCCCCCATTATGGTGGCTGCTGCTTATGCCGCCAAGAGAATCTTGGATCTCGGCCTCGGCCTCCGCTGCTAGATTTGCTCATCATCACTAGGGTGGCGATTGAGATTGAGTTAGGGATATGATACCCATCTGTATAAATAAACAACACATAGATAGCCAGTGTCTGTAAAGTTTCAATGTTAATCCAGTCTAATAAGCTCTTCCTCGCCGTGCTCATTTCCCTTGAGTGCATGGACAATACGTCATTGTCTGATCGTTGAGACGGTTTTTGCCCTCGTATATCAGATGCCAAAACTTTCATCGGTATAGCCATAAACAGATGGGAAATCATACTGAAGTCTCCGGCTACCACCTTGAAGAACCCAGGGCGTCCGGAGGACGGCAGGTACCGTCGCCGGCCTTAGTGGATCCTCCTACACTGAGCTCTTTATCCCCCTTTTCCCACCATTACCAATTAGTCTCCATCTTAGATGCCGACGTCTAGTGCTCAGGTTCTTTGGGTCGGGCACTTCCGTTTCAGACCTAAGCATGGACGTACTAGCCACTTTCTCAGAATTGCCGCTGTCGAAGATGTGTTGTTCACCGGGTTATAACGAGTGATTCAAAGTAAAGGGATGCATCTAGTCATCAACTCAACTAGGAACTCGAATTCAAGCGCCAGGCCGTCGTCGACTTAAGGTGTTATGGCAATATATCTGAGCTTGGACACAAGTCTCAAACCTGATAAACTTCCGCATTTTCAGTGAATTGTTTCAATCCTTGATTATGTTCGCTGGAGCCAGATAAATAATTTCGAAATACTTCTATGCAATTGAAACTTGCTGATTGGTTACTTCAATGATAATGATTAGTGTCGGTAACGTACGTCAGCAAAGCAGGCCTTTCGGCCGGTACAAAGCTGAATATCTGGTATATTGAACTGCATATGTATACGGAAGGAGGAAGTTAAGGTTATGGGCAGAGCCCACAATTCCTCCGTTAGGTGTAAGTATGTGTAAAGGGGCCGTTTGCAACAGCCCGAATACCTTCCGAAATCGTCAATATTCCAACAATTAGTGCAGCCGGCAGTCATGTCTATTGCTCGCTCCACACCCTGTGGCTCATTGGCTTTCTTACCTTCTGTGTGCCTTGGTGTGTGCAGTCTATTTCCGGAAGGAAAATAGGTCTAACTCATCGCAAACTGAATTCTTCAAGGATAACTTGGTATCGACGGTATACCATGCTCATAATGCCCCGGAGCCTACATCTTGTTGAGGGGCTGAGGCTTGGAACTGTGACATATCTAAGACTGTTGTAGCACGACTCTTCCTTCGTAAGACTGTCTCTGTTGATTCCACAATACGCAGCCTCGATCACAGTTTTCGGACTTATCTGCATACCTTAAGTAAGTAGAATCGGCTGTCTCAAGTTTCAGTTCTAGAGAAATCTCCCTTCAAACTTCCAGCTACATAAATAAAATGTGACCCTCTAACCCCCGATCGCTCAAGAACACAGCTTTTCTTTAGATTCCATAACAACACTGAAGCACAATGTCATGACGGTCAGCTATCGAACATTAGAGTCTAATGTCACAGGTAATAGATCAAGTTTACACGTAAGATGCATAGCTGTACGCGGTTATGAAGCGCAATCTGCCAAACAGATCAGTTCTTTCAACTTTGGAGACCAATCAGATTACACTGAGACTCAACACGGCAATTTAAAATGGGGTTAAACTGAGAGTGGTATGAAAACCGTTTTTTTACCGAAGAGCTATGGAAGTCTGACCTTAGCCGAGGCTCAGGCCATGCTGTATACAAGTCATACGGAACAGTTCCTTTCTGAATGAGCGTTGGTTCCTGATCCACCAAGAGCACTCAGACCTGTACCAGGTTCCTTCCGTTCTGAATCGAGTCCCTATTGTTCCCGTGATCCTACAGTACAAATGTCTTGTCGCAGCCGCTCGACACCAGAGTGGGTCGATCGACTGCCATCCCTGCATGACGGGTCGTAACAAACGTCTCGATACTCAACTCAGATTTAAACCCAAGCCCAGGAGTAGGCGTTCAGGTTTCCGAAACCACCGGCAAAGACACAAGCTGTGTTCTCGTTAGCTTGATTCTTTAGTATCATTTCATCTTGTTTCCTTACTCTTAAGGTAGTGGCCTCCAGCGAAGCTGAAGAGGTTGCTGCTGAAGAAAGGGGTGGATCCGCCAATTCCCTCATCGACATCACCAGGCTCTCCTAGGTAACGGATCTTGTCGACTTGGATAGGGTTTTTGTTCACATCGTAAACGATGGTTCCCACGTGGTGGTTTCCGCCACTCTTGACGGTGGTGGTAGTGCAGCCCTCCTTGTTTCCGTCCGGGCTAGTCTTCCACAAGACAAGGTCAACGACGGGAATGCACTTGGCGTAGCTCTTGCCGCTGCTGACGAGACGACGCTGGACACAGATTTCGTTGGCGCGGCAAGGGGTATCCGTAATCTTCTCGCGGTTGCTGCGAGGGTTGGCAACGCAGAAGCTGCGAATGATGTTGGACTTGAAGCAGACTGAGCGATCATAAGTCTGTCCAGCTGGGCAGCTGGTGTTAGGGAGCGTATCTCTGGCGACGAGATCGGTCAAGTTGGCGTTCTGCGGTTCCAACTCAGCCGGAGTAATGTCGACATAGGTGAGAGTGTTCTCGGGCGTGCCAGTCAGATCTCTGACTTCAGCCAGAGGTCCAGCTGCGCAGGCAGCGGCAAAGATGGTGGTCAAAAGAATGTACTTCATCTTGAGTTTAAAAGATCTGTTGGTAAGAGAGTGAGAAAGATGTGGATGTGATGAGATGCTCATGAACCTGAAGTATGCAATATTGAGGGTCTTTATATATCCTTCAAGCTAACTCGGTGTTATATCCGCTGCACTTGACCTTTGTAAGCTGGTAGCCGTCCAGTACGGAACAGAAAATACTGTTTCCGGTTCCGGATATCCGAACATCATCACCGGTGCTTTACTTTTCGTGGTGTAGTTAGTTGCCTCGACTTACTACTAACAAGAACAGCACTCTATCTAAGTTCTTGATATTTCTGTCTGCATAATGCTGTAAAAGTCCGACTATTTGGTTTTCCTCAGTAATTGGCTTTCATCAATTTGATCAATCTTTCTGGTGGCCTCCTACAGCGCCTGGTTGAAATACTGTTATAGTGGTTAAATTGGCTCTAACTGATTTGGAGTCATAGTTCAACTAGACTCCGGAATACGAGCAGGTCGAGCGACGTGACTAACAACACCACAAGACAGAAAGTCTCGATGATAATACCTCCAGGCTCCAGCAATTTTATCCTTTTTTTAATATTACACAGCTATGCGCTTAAAAGGATTAACTGCAATGGGCATAGCACCAACCCAAACAACCCGCACCCCTGCTCCCCCATCGCGACGCATGTTCGCGAAAAGGGGATAATCTTAGTGACCGTAATCAACCAGACTTTACAGAGAACAATGAATGCTGGTTAAAGTAGGAGCTGGACAATGTAGCAGACTTGCTCGTGGTGTTAATGTCAATAGCAAGGCCGGAGTGGCCGGGTTGGCCGGGGTGGCCGGTGCGTTGCGCAAGGTCGGAATCGTGGCCGGAATCAGCGGATGGACAGCGTTTAGACGGCGCTTTGAAAAACTCTCAACGGGACTTTCGAACCCACGAACGCACTCGACGTAGGCTTTGCAGTACGAGGCAATGAGTTTGCTCATTTCTGATCCAGGGCTCCCCCACGAGCGAGAGAATATCGTCACGCTCTTTAAGTTGCACGATATCCAGATTAGGACTTTGCTTCTCGGGCAGACTATGCAGGTAGACCTTCTTTGAATGAGTGCAAATCCACCAGCAAATTGTGAGTCTCTGCAATCATGCACGAGAGTTACAAGAGTTGCGGGTGCGTATGCAATTTTGCAATGAGGCTGCGTATTGATACCACGCCGCTATTTACACGAAAGCAGAGTTGTTTTCATCGCCTGGAAATAATTGATAATACGTCGGAGTAGACTGTGACGATCAACTATCCCATGCATACAACGCGGGGAAAGCTCTCCAATTGTGGGCGAGACTTGGTCTCGGAAAGGAAGGATTGGTCTGGATGAAGTCAATTATATTAAATGAGGCGCTGTCATTGATGATTAAGCTTTGAAGCTAAGTCTGACAGTGAAAGTCAACTCCAGTCCTCAGATTACCAAGCCGTTCATGGCCAAGCTTTGAGGCTCTACTCAAGCATTTTGGAACTTATGTAGAGTTTGTGCTGCGGTGACCTAACCACAAAAGGAGAGAGTTCACAAAGTCAATTTACCACATTTTCCCTTGGGCATACGGAGTATGTTGACCCTATCCCCAGGCACGTTGGTCATCATCCGGCGCGAGCCGCAGGGTCCCCTCGCTTACTCAATTAGTACATGTCTCGGCGAGAACGTTGAGATACCTTATTTAGAGTTCGCGCCGCGGAGATCTAATTCTCAGCGTGGGAAGCACACAAAGTCAATTCACCCACGTGTCTCTCACACGTACAATCGTTCCGAATTGCGGCACGCTGATCATCGTCCTGTGATAAAGCTGTGAGGATTATTCTGGCGTAAAGCAAGGATGAGGAGGTGCGCGCACTTATACGTGGCAAGCTTACGGAGTAACCCTCACTCAATCGCCATGGGAGTAAGACTATTAGGGAGCAGAGCAGCTTGAGGGGCTTCTGTCTCGGAAAAGTCTGGGTGTTGTATTCATGACTATGAATCATGCGAGCGAGGTGATTGAGTAGAAGTCCTATGCGGTGACTTTGAAGATAATTCACGAGAAAAGGGGGCGTAGCATCCTGAAAATGAGAAATCGACCTCTTCCTGTCGAGACCTATCGTCCTTGACGACGAAAGACAATCCGAAGATATACAAAACGTGCTGCTTTAGTACCTAGAGCTTAAAATTATCATGCCGTGGATCAAGTGACTCGATGTTGGGGAGGGTTCGATCGTTGACAGGTTCAGGACGTTGATGTGGGGATTGAGGTCGCTGCTATTGAATCAGATGAATCTAGTTCTCGAACCGGTGCTGCCATGATATCAATTCAGCGCTGTGAGAAGAATATTATGAGATGGAAGACGTGAGTGAGGCTGAGTCTGAGGTTGACGGGATTGGTATGTAGTAATGCCGGTTCAGCTTGGGTTGTTACAAAAGTGGATGTGTTGTCCGAATGCTGAACACCCTTTTTCTCCATTCACTCCATTCACTGCGGTTTTAGCCCACACCAAGGACACCTGCGGGTGCCTTGTCCTTATTTTTTTCATGGTGCGTCACGCACTTAAGCGTGTCCCTGACAGCCTATTGGCGCAGCCTTAAGCTTCACGTCAGCGAAGTAGGCCTCCGATAGGACCCCGTCCTCTATAAAATTACGCACACCAGGTCGCTTCCGCTCCACGTATCGATTTGAAGCGGAGACGAGACGAAGCGGCTGGAACCATCTTATGTGAACAAACATTGTACGAACTTATCCGTTGAATGATGTGGCACGCAAGTGCGTGCCTCGAGCTTGTCCTGCCTGTGAAAGTGATTTGGAACATAGCTCTACGAACAGTAATCCTCCAATTCTCATACATTGTCGGGGCAAGTTCTCCACAGGAAATGCTGGAGAAGCCGAAAGTACCCTGCGTGTTGAGATCACCTAGAAGCCTTCCCTGAGTCTCATACATTGACTGGTCATCCGGTGTATGCATGTGCAGGAGGTGAATCCTCCCATCTCCCAAGACCGCACGCTAATGCAGCCATGCTTCCTTACATTGTCAGATCAGTAGTCTTGTACTTGACTCTCTACACTGCGTTCTTAATTCACTTCAAAGGAGTGATTCCCTTGCCTTACGTAATACTGAAGGCCACAGAGGAATGTATGCTAACCACATGGCAACAAGTTTCATTCGCTCAAATCAGGAATGAAAGTACAAGAATAGAAACTGCTTCACGAAATGCACTAATTGGGTCTGTTCGAGAACTTTTGAGAAGTGTAATGGAGCCACTGAAACATATATCTGCGTCCCAGAGAGCCGTACGCGGCTCGTTCGTAGGTCTATGTACCGTAAACTGGCCTCGTTGCATCCTAAAACCTAGGACATGTTCAATTATCTTGCGCATCCAGCGTCGAGGTTTATCGTGAGTCTAACACGAGCCCCAAGTCGCCAGGCATCCATAGTCAAACGCGCCGTTTCCTTTGAGCGTGCGATCTTACTTGGAAGAAATGTCTGTTTGGAAAATGTTGGTCTGGATCGATGCTGGATCTCTAATTTAGACTTCGTTAGGGACATTCAGTGAGTTGCCGTACTGGAAGAAAGATTTTCTGTCTTTTCTTGCTTAGTTGTGGTTTCTGCACCTCAATTCAGGCCGAAAACTCTTCGTCTTTGTCAAGTTGGTAAATCATCGATTCGTGTCCCAAGACTTCGCGCCGGCCTCCAGATCCATGGACTGCATGAGTCCAGTTCCCACTACAGCCTTTAGTTCTTGCGGGAGAATCTGTTCGTATCAATCCCAGTACTGTCGATCGATAGGTTAAGAGTTGTCTTTAGGATATCAGCACCAATAATGGTTCGCGCCATGGCAAAAGCTTGAGACATAACTTGAGAATGTGGATTTTGATAGCTATTTTCCGATTTCTCTTGGGGCATGCAAGTTGGCGTTTATCCAAGATACATATAAAACCCTGTCATGTTCTTTAGATTACTTCAGGCTGTATTTTATTCACTCATCTTGTAAGTGAGACCGCATCGTGTTATCTCTCGTCTCTACCGGGCTGAGCCGTTACCTATGGGGAAGATATATAGACGAGAGGGCAAGACAAAAGAGGATCTAAGAGTATAATATCGCGATCTTTCAAGTTATTACGAAGGGCCGAGGACGAATATGATGTTTTGCTTCGCTGGAGAACGGGTGTGAGTAAGCATGATGCATCGTTACGGTGAAATGGCTGGGATTGGGCAACAACTCAGGACCACCCGGCACTACCGGCTTCATTGCATTTACTCAGCCCCCATGGCATCGGCACACCGCTGCACTTAGCTCACTGCGTTTTTTAACCCATCTCAATGGTATCAATCACTGCCTGGCTCTCGTATATGAGCTGATATGATAAGCTTGCCCAGCCTCAGACCACGCACCGGCGCAGCTTCGAGACTTCTATTGGCGAAGCAGACCTCCAATGGGATTTGGTTCCATGCGAACTAACTGCCTGCTGGATACGAGCCTCAACTAGCGTGCGATCTCGCCAATCTTGCCATTGCACTACAATTTTAGCCTCCCCGGACAGACTGACTGTCCACACTTATTGGCTTTGGGTTTGCTTGTCACATGATGCATCGGGTACATTGGGGAAAGAAACAAAAGAAACAGGAGCCGAACTTCAGAGATTGTCTCATATCTTGGTGCCAATCAAGGAAGTAGCTAGCTCGCACGTATTCGTCATCATCAACGGCCATTTACCACTATAAGCAGGCAAGCTAGAAACAACCGAGTTCCCCTACCTGGAAGGCTGAAGACAATGAAATGATTTGATGAAGACGAGGGGAAGTGATAGAGGCTAATTGACGACATGTTGGCCTGACTATTCGACGAGAAACGATGAAGCATGCGGGAAGCTGAAGTATTCAACAACATATCGAAGCCGCACGCTGCCATTGCTACGCTCCATGTACCCCAAAATTCTGGTCTATAATCAACCGTCGCCGAGAGTGCCAGTATTTGGAGCTTACGCCTATTCACAGCATTCTTGTGGATGTTCCAGAAGACGTTCTGCGTGCGTCCTTTGATCGATGGATTCCCTCCCTCACAAAGCCCCCAGCGCGGATGCAGACCCCCGTTGTGAATTAATGCATTTAAGATGATGAGATGTTGACGGGAATGTGGATGGGTTAAATGGGTCAGCACTGCATTCTTAATTCCCCCCAAGGACGCCGGCCAGTGTGCTTCACTTCCGCGTGTGGAAGGTAGCTTGAGTTTGGACGCCTTCCTTCACTGCATTTTTAACCCACCCCAAGGCTTTCAACCGGTATATTGCTCCCTCGCAAAAGAGTGGTGTGGCAAACCTATCCTATCACAACCATAGGATCTTGCCAAGCGCAGTTCAAGTGGAAAGTCTACCGTTTGCTGACCCTTCCATCGTGCGTCCTGGCTGCATTCCGAATCATACCGAAGGGGCGTCGGATAACTTGGTGTCAGCTCATCCTATCAGAATCAGATACACCGATGCAGCTGGCGTGTCATCAGCAAGCCTAGACAAAGTGCTTCCGTGTTGCGGCCCTGCGACAGCACTTTTAACCCCCCCCCCCCCACCCCCCGAGGGGGTCTCTCATGCACACTACGGCAACAGTAGCCACTTCGCAACAAACATTGCACATTGGACCCTCGGAGGATCTCGCTTATGCATATGAGACATCGGCAACAGATGCCCTTCAAAGCCTTGTTCAACACCGTCTACATAAAAAAACTGGGAATGCGGAAACCCAGTTTCGCCAAAACCAGTTTTCCGCTTCACAGCAATTTAATCCCCTCCGAAGGGCATCTCTCACACACACTGAGAGGAAAGCCTCAACTAAGTAAGATGTGTGCATGGCACGTGGTCACGTATAGAGCCCAATCGCCAATTTCGGAAATCTCGGTTGACTAGTTTGTATTTGATTGTATCTCTCTTCCAACTTGAGGCATGGCATGCCGATTCATAGAGCTAGGATAAATGGTCGTTCTATGTTCTAGTCTCGACTATACCGCTCCTCTGCTCCATGTTGAGAGAGAGCTGGCTTATAATGCCAATACCACCGACGTTAGTTGGCATTGATGTAACCCCACAGAACCCTCGCAGCTGATAGCCGTGGGGCGCATCTTTTCCCACCCATCATGAATCTGGTCGACTCGGGCATTTAGCTGGGCCTGTTGCCATGTGGCGGCTGTCGGCTAAGGCGAAGCGAAGCCTCAGATCATTTATCCTCCCACCCAAGTATGCTCGTGCCTGATTCCCTTTGGCGGCTAAATGTTTCCATGCTAGCGGCGTAGTGATGGACCATAGTTGAGGCCCATCCTGTATCTTCGTTTCGTTGCGTGGAGCTCTCGCGCCTCACATTCTCGTGTTCTTCATTCAATCGTTCTTTCGTGACCTTTCCTTAGGGTATGATGCGGGATAAGCCGTGGGTATCTTGTAGTAATTTGAGGCTGGATTCTTCGAACGCTGGTAGTGGCATTTGTATGCTTGGGACCCGGTGCCCGTCTGTCTAGTCTTTCGTTTTTGGATCTGGTGTCTTTTCGACTCGATTCATCGTTCTCGGTTGGTATAATAATGACCGTCGGTCACTCGGGATGGCACACTTGAAGGACAAGCGAGCGCAATGCGATAACAAGGTATATTCAAAACAGCCCCCGACTCCATAGAAGCAATATATGCAGGCATGATATCTTTCGCCCAAAAGGTATGTTCTTCGTCTCCACCGGCAGGAGGGATGGATAGATCTCGAATATAGACAACAGCAACAAAATGATAAGGGTATAGAATCGTCATCTGCGATTGCGCATATGCACACGTGTGCGACCTCAGTTCGTCTTCTGCTTCGGGGCGCCCTTGAACTTGCGCGTAATCGCGACGCCAGCGACGCCGGCGACCATGAGGGCCTCGACGCTGAGCAGACCGACCCAGATGATGTTGAGGATCTGCTCCTCGTAGCCGCTGCCAATGTACATTGTCATCTTGTCGTAGAGCATGGGGTAGGCGCCGGTGACGAAGAGGAAGACTTGGGTGACGTAGAAGGTGTACCAGTAAGGACTGCGAATGGGGACAGGTCAGCAACAAGAAGAGGTCACGAACGGTTAGTGTGGTGTGGTTCCATGGCGTTGGTCTTATAAAAAGGTTGAGAGGTCTGGGTGGGTGCTAAGGTAGGTAGATGGATGGGCTGGACCGCTTTGGTACTACCACCCCACCCTCAGCTGCCTTGGAAAAATGAAATGTGGACGGGCAAAACAAGTAAGGTATCCTTGGAGCTAGCGCGTTTGCGATCGTCCGTGGATTCGTGGAACCGTCCGTTCATGAAGTGGTGTTGGATCTTTGTCCCCAAAAATAAAGGGAAATGATTAAATTGCGGGGATTTTCTTCTTTGAAACCTTGTCGCATGGAAGAACCAGGTGGCGCTGATGGTGGGATTTTGGGGGGCCCTTGGGGCCCTTGGGAAGAAGCCTTGCAGATGCAGATTGGCGCTTGCCGCCTGCCGGGCTTCCTGCGCACGGAAGTTTGAAAGTCAAAGAGACAGGGAGAGGGAGATTTTGCAATGCGCATTGAAACGATTGGTGCAGAGGATAGACGGGGACCAAAAGAAAGCAAGCAAGGAGGGGAAATTTAGAGAGGGATGAATTGGGGGGCTTGATTGAGTTTGACTCTCACCATTAGTTCAGACGAGAGGGAGTTCAGATAGATGTCTAGTACTATGCCGCCTCGTTGACAAGACGGCAATGCAGGGAGTATCCGTAGAGGCAATACGATAGTAAGAAGAGAAGAAGAGAAAAAAAGCAAAACTCACCGACTCTGTTCCGTCAAGCGCGTCCAGCGAATGCGCAAATGATCCGGTTCCCCAGCCTGCGACGCCTGGACCGCGAGAATGATACCAGAGAGGCAGAAGGAGAACAGGAACATCATACGCTGGAACAGCGTGACGTGGGAGTTGAACTCGAGCAGGGTCTGGAGGAAGGCGAACATGATGGGTTGCAGGTTTTTCGATGCGTTGACGTAGCGGTGAGACCTGACGTGGTTTCTCTGCTGCAGAAATGCAGGGTAAAAGAGGCCGAAAAAAAAAGTAGAGAGGTGGGAAGTCTGGACTCTGGAGAGCGTAGGTGCAGTAGTGTGATGTTTGGAGGCGGATACTCGCGCAGCAGCGGTTGTTGCGGTGTGACTGACGAAGCGCGACGATTGACGAACGAAAGGGCAAAAGATGAGGTGTTGCTGCGACTCTGCGAGTGCCACTTCCAGGGCCACGAGGGCGCGAAAGAGGGCGAGATGGGGGGCTGGGAGCGATGATCAGGTGGCCGGGGGGAGGGGGGGGGGGTCCGGGGAGAGTCGAGACTCTCACGCGAGGAGGGGCAAAGCGTTGAAGCGACAGCGGTTGGTTTAGGGCCCTGGTTTCCGGTGCTGCGATAGTGTGACTCGAGCCTGATTATGTTTTGGTTGTGGGTGATTGCGATTAATGCGTGGTGCTGCGAGTAAAACGCTATTCAATATCCGTACGGAAGTTTGTAGGAGAATGTCTTGGTGCCACGAGGGGGGAAAGCAAGGGACGAGCGGGTGTTTGTCAAAGAGACGCGGCTTGATAATTAAACAAGGTTGCAGCGGATAATAAAGACAAGACGACACTGAACAAGTGGCCACATTTATTGCGGGAGAAGGAACCAAAGAGACGTGAGACGGAGAGGGAAGCCGGCGGTTTGTGTGCCCGTTCAATTGGAAGTGTTGGGGTTCCCGGGCGGCGGAGGGGCACGAGGGGTGCTGGTGATTGTACGTACCGGCTAGAGGTAAAAACAAATTTAAAGGTGGCCCCACAGCATGTCTTATCGCGCTCCACGTGTCCTTATCGTCAGCCCCAAATTGGATGGCGCCGCTGCCCCCGTCGGTTGGCGGGCCTAGCGAGCCGCCCACTGCCGCTGTGCCGGTGGTCCACCCCAATTTGGCTCTGGCGCTGTCTGTTTCCGGCCTCAATCACCGCAACGGTCTAGGCTCCATCCACTAATCCTCTGCTGCTCTTCTTTGAGAAACCAATGGAAGAAAATCGAGACTCATTACTTCGCTGCTCAAGATCATGGACCAAATCTGGCAACGACTGCAACGTCTAGGTCCCAGGTGAGTAGATGTGAGTAGATGAGAAGGCTGCATTTGCACAGTTTGAGGTACAAGATAGCTTGCAACCTTGACGCTATTGCCGCATGTCCTGGAACTCAACTACACAGCAGGTATTGGGGACGATTGTCGATGGTGGAGAGATCCACAGAAGAAGCATCAAGACAAACTCATTCCATTCATCACGCATCCCGAAGAAACTGATCCACCGGAACACCCTTCTCAAAGCTATCCCGATAAAACTCATCCAGCTTCAAGATCAATCCATCTTCAATCTCCATACAAACCATCGCTACAAAACACCACCCCGCCCCCGTCGCCGCCTTCCTAGGTAGTGACCCCAAAAATGTCCCGTTCATGAGAGACCTAAACACACAAGTCGTCCTCTCTTTTCCGTCATCGCCGTTCTTCTTGGCCCACCAAATGGGTGTAGACGGGTCCAACACCGCCGTAAAGTCGGGAACGGCGTTGCGCCAGACCCGGTGGTGGTTGTCCATCCGGGTCACGTGGAGCTGGGAGCCGTGGTCAATGTAGACGGCGTTCGGCTTAAAGAGCTGCGCGAAAGCGGCCGGGTCGTCGGTGGACCAGGCCGCGACCCATCTTTCGGGGAGGGTTTCTTCGGGTGTCATGTTTGGCGAGCGTGATGGATTAGATATTGAGATGAACAGCAGTTCCGGCCAGACTAGACGGGCCACAGTCCGTCTTATATCTCTTTGCGTCTTCCCTTCATTTCCGTTCAAGTTCAGAGTTGCACACGGACTCCGGTATTGACCGCTTGTCCTATTGCTTTTCCATGGTACCTACTGAAAAGCGATTTACTAGTAGGTAAGTGAGGTAAGGTAGGCAGGTACTTGAGGTACTACCACATGTCCGAGCCTTTCTTTTCCCAACCGTTAGAGCCGTGAAGAGCACGAAGGTTGACGCTATTTTACTGTGACGGTGTGACCCCATCTCAGCAGTCCGCTTACGACAGACAGGAAGATCTGCTGATTGGTAATCCGAAGGAAGATGCAGTCAGTAGCAGACCGCCCCGGACTCGGCGCTCTTTAGCAGCCGAGACGGACTTCTAGGCCGAGAGGTCCGTCGGGTCTTCATTGCCTCACACGGTAAGAAGAGCCCGTTGATTGTGCGCCTATTGGTTGCCTCGGCTTTCTTAGCTTTGCAGCGGTAATTGGAATGCGGCGCTCTCGGAAGCTGCTTTGCGGGGTAACCTCTGTACCTTCCGAAATCCAGTAATCGAGGTGCCGCTTTTCGGCTTCCGTTGGATCCACCCATCGGCTCGGAAGTGGGTCGCAGTCGGCCTCCATATTTTTAGGAACCTGGAAACCAAGGCAGTGAGCGTTGCAGTTCAACCAACAACCAACATGCAGCTTCCCACTCTTAACTTCCAACAACCAACAACCAACACAGCCCCCAATCACCAAAGTCCCAATCCACTCAATCATATCATGCAACAGTGAATCCGAAACGCATCCTTCCGACAAGGAGGCGGAGATTCATGATGATCAAGCCACATCAAGCTGGCCGCAGTTGGTCATGGATGCACCGGGGTCCGCTTCAGCAGGCTCACGCTCGTCATTCTGATTGACGACAAGCGGCTGACCACTCAATTAACCCAGCCATATCTGCATCTGTTCACACCTACTAGATGACTTTCTCAAACGCCTCGAGCAGTCAGTCGCCTTGTGCCCTATCCCCGAAGAGTCCATCCGTTTGATGGGGTGGTGGGTCTTCTTGTGCTCTTGCTGAGCCTCCCACCCGCATCGGCGCTTAACCCCCGCCTAGGTTGCATTATTACAACTTAAGTTGGAGGATTGAAGATCTCGAGGCGTTCTTCATTTTAGGCCAATGGGGCAACAGCTTGGTCCTGCAGTTCCGCGGCACTGAGCCGTATGGTCATACATACAAAATGGCGACAACCAGCCAACCCGCCCCTAAACGCAGCTGGTTTCCGCGATAGACGCTCACTCATCTCTTTTGGCTTCTGCAGGATTCATTGGCTGTGCGGAGAAAGAGGTCGGCGTTGAAATAGACGAGTGGTTATTAGAAGAATGGAGTATCGCGACGATATTCCGTGCGGGCGCCGGAAGGAAAGCCAGAAGCCATACAGCATCCGTCGGAAACCCATCTCACGGAACACCCTCAGCTACGAGCCTATTCACATCGAGACATCGAGTGGCACGACCATCAATAATGACATATGGAGGCCTCGCGAAGAGATAAACCTCATTGCAAACGCAGAGCCCGAATTTTCAAACACCTCTCGATCCATCGAGCCCTCCTCGAAATCACAGAACAGCACCTCCTACACACATGTCAATGCCAGTCATGGCTTGTTAAAGGCTACTGAGAATGTGAAAGTCGCCGGCATTGATGAGGAGAGCAATCACAAAGGATACGTGGCAGCTTCATGGCGCCCGACTTGGCTACATCCACTTGGGCTAGCACTCTTTGCCAGCCTCTTCCTCTTCCTCTCCGTGGCGCTGGCTGCCATGCTGTGGTACTCAAATACCAATAATGGACTTTTCGAAAGTCGTCAAAGTCTGTTGCACACTTATCTGTGGCGATTTGGGCCGACTGCTTGTAAGTAGTGCGCCATATCCTCGACTCTCAATCCCGGAAATGACACCCCGTTCGACTGTCTGACATTTTGCTGTCTAGTCCTCACGATTTTGACCATTTTCTGGGCCAGAGTCGAGCTGCAGGCTATGATGTATATGCCTTGGATTTCTCTACGTTCAGGTCCCTCGCTCGGAGAAAGTGATCTAGCACTCGACTACACCACGATGCTTTTACCTCTTGTTTTCTCCCGGTCATTTCGTCGGAGGCATTATCTTGTTTTCCTGGTGGCTTCCATTTCTGCCTTGCTAAAGGTTCAAATCATCCTTGCTCCTGGATTATACAGCCTCACGGGACTCCAAGTTACACGCCCTATCGGCATCCTTCTACAAGACACCTTTGACTCGGTGACACCAGAAACTACATACACGCCGGACGCGAGCGTCTATTACAGGGCAAGGGCACAATACGACTTCAACGTCGACTATCCCTACGGGGTCGCGGAAGGTTTTGCGTTTCAAACGTTTTACACCGGGAGTGATTTCAGTCGAGGAACTGTCGCCAACCCAGTAACGGCCACCGTAGGTGGGCTTTTCCTAGACACCCAGTGCGTCAAGTTGAACTCCTACGCAATTTTGGAACAGCACAACATCGCCAACTATCAGGGCAGGGGCTTATACATGAACTTTACCGTGAAGCTTCAATTCGATGGATGCGAAGAACCAGTCATCGTCCCGCATTTTGACGCCTGGCCCTCTCCGAGACCGAATGCCACATTTTGGGGCTTGCAGACGGACTCAAAGGTCGGCCGACCCTGTTCTGGATTGCCTTTACAAGCGCCGGCTTTCTTATACTACAATGGGGTATTCAAGCTACGGAGCGATAACTCGTCTGAGTATCTCCATCCACCGGCCGCTGTAATCTGCGAGCCGCAAGCTTGGTTGACAAAAGTTCAGGTCACCGACGATGGGGTGAAGCCGAAAGTGATGGCAGTCTATGATGAGCAACGACCTTTGTCCACGCCAAACATCATGACAATGTTTAACAATTCACTCCCGCCCAAGGACATTTGGCACGCGGATACAGTTTCAGGGTGGACTGGTCCGCTCAGTGTTGATCTTAGGTTCAGGGGCCACGCGACTACCGAGTTCCCAGAGGTTGTGACGACCGACATGTTGCAAGATTCATCTCAAAACATTACACGCCGGCTTGGGCCATTCGCAAGCCACTACCACCTTCGACAAAAGGAAAGCACCAGTGGAAGTGGTACATCGCTGCAGCGTATCGTTCGCCTTACCATAAACCCCAAGATTTGCCTAGCGATGATTGCGCTGTTCATTTTCAACGCCGGAATCACTGCGTTTCTACTTTGGCGTTATTATCACTACACCTCGGTCTGGCATCGCGACCCGGCAACGCTCCTCGGAAGTACAATGTTTCTCAGTAATCATCACGACATCACAAACCGGGCTGCAGAAATCAAAGGCCCATCGCCGGACTGGAACAGCGGCGCCTTTACGCCCTTGGTATTGAAAACGACATCACGTGTAGTATTCTGCATCTTCACCATGCTGCTGGCGAGTAGTCTTGTTGTCACCCTCCGACATTCCGAGACATCGAATGGACTTGCAACCATTGAAGAAGACGGCTATTTACACCTAATGTGGACTTCCTTCCCAGCTACCATAGCACTCGCAGTGTCCCTCTACATCAGCTCTTGCGATTGGTCATACCGTGATCTTGCGACTCTCTACCAGCTCTCTAGAGCCACATGTAACTCTTGCGACCTTGACCGCTCCCTATTGGATATGCTGGGACTACGCGCGCTGTACTACTCTTTCCGTTACCGTCTCTGGTCTGTCACCGTCTCTCAAAGCCTGGCCCTCGTATGCGGGGTACTCACTTCCCTTGTCTCGATCATCTTCACAGTCGAAGTCATACCCGGTTCGACACCAGCTCAATTCCAACAAAAGACTTGGTTTCAAATACGGGACAACGTTGGGTACGAGCTTGATTACACAGCGAAACAAGAAATGTTCAATGGTCTTTGGACCCGTCGGGAAGAAGGCTCTTTAACTTATCCGGAAAACACGTTCGACAACCTTTTGTTCCATGATTTCGAAAGCATCGACACCCTCGACCCATCCAAGAACCTTTCCGTCGCAATCAAAACACCAGCGACCAAGGTTGAGTCTCAGTGCACCCAACTCAGCGAGGATACGTACGACATCAGCCATTATAATACTACCGCGACAAACGGGAGAGTAGGCTATTACGCGGCCATAGTCGTCAGATTTTGTGATCCTGGAAACGACAAACCTACTAGGATCAAAAAAGACATCGACCTCGGTAAAACTGACCCGGCCGATCCGCTGGGAAGCATATACTTTTCTGGCATGATTCAGACGCAAGCGAACCCAGTCGTGGACGGCTGCATGCTCGAGAGCCAGTTGGTGCACTCAAACTTGACGACGGCTTTATACCCTACCTATGTTTGGGGAGCGTTTGACCCGGCTCAAAACAACTTTTCCTTTGTCGCCGTTTGGACCTGCAAATACTCTTGGGTCGAAGTTGATGCGGAAACCAATCTGGTCTTCTCCGATGGCCGTCTCGCCATTGACCCGGAGAACCCCCCACGACCAGATATGGCGTCCATGAGGCCCCTGGACCCCACGCTTGATCTAAACACTTGGTTTGCCATGTACCCAGAGGTCGATCTCGGTGGCACAGGAGATCAGTTCAAAGGGGTGGAGGGCCCCTTCCGACCACTGATTAAACCGTATGGGACGCTGGATTTGTCGGCGTTTGGAGACGAGGGACAGCAGGCGGACGTGATGCAAAACATATATCACAACTACGCCCTGAGCTCGGCGCAACTCGCCAACGTCGTAAACCGCAAACCCATCACCGCCGAAAGCGGACCTTCGCCGGCCCCGGTTGTGGAGGCGACCGTATATGACAATGGCCGCCGTCGGCTCGTACAGAACCCGACCATCACGTATGTCGTGGTAGGTATCCTGGGAGCAGTCATCCTGTTCAACATCTGGGCGCTGATATCGGCCTCGATCCGGCGCTGCGGCGGCGGGAATAGCTGGTTGCTGGACATGGATGCGAGGGGTCTCGCGCCGGACGGGTTCCGCAGCATCGCCGCGGCGGCAAGTTTGCTCCGGAACTCGAACGCGGCGGCGCATCTGCCGCCTGGCTCCGAAATGATGTCGTCGGATGAGGTACACGGGCATATGCATGGTTTGGGCTTCCGGCTGGGATGGTTCAGGAGGGAATGTGATCAGACGAGGCATTATACGGTTGGCGTGATGGGCGATCCGGCATTTAATTACATGGGTGTCAGAAGGAGCTCAAAGAGGGCTTCGGCAGGGTCTTTCAGGAAGGAAAGTGTGCTCGAATCATGACAAATGACAGTCTATCACGAACGATGGGTGTAGGAAGGAGGGAATACAGTTGTCAGAATCTTCATGTAAAAATGCTTGGGTAGATTCAAGACTCCTCCTCAAATATAGAATAAGGAATACTCGCAGACACCGCAAAATTCGGCATATCAACAATCTCCGCAATCTTCAAATCAGCCGCGATGCTGCACAGCATATACGCCTCCTCCCTCTCAAGCCCCCTCTCAGCAGTAAGATACGCAAGTAAACTCCTCAACGCTTTCCTACTCGCCTCCAACAAGTCAGAATCAATCCCCAGCACCGCATACACACCACCATCCTCCGCCTTATGGCCGCGAGCATGCACCGACCCCCGCGTATCATACTGCGGACTCGTAACATACGGCATTTCCTCCCGCACCGTGAACCGCAACGTAGCTTTCATGGGCGTCTCGATCGCCGTACCGCAGACCTCCCCATCCCCTTGGGCGGCATGCCCGTCCCCGCACGAGAAATTCGCCCCTGGGACGCGGATGGGGAGGTAGAGTTTCGTACCGGCCGTAATGTGTTTACAATCTATGTTCCCGCCCGTCTCCAGCGGCGGGATCGTCGGGAAGGGACCTGCTTCAGCCGGCGCTACCCCCGCTATGCCTAAAAACGGACGCAGCGGGATCTTGATGCCTGGTCTAAACACAATATGCGTCGCGTCGGCGTCCCAGTGGAAGTGTTTAATGACATGATTAGGGAATTCATCTGCTAATAGTCCGAAGCCTGGGAGGATTGCGGTCCAGCCCCAGCCCTTAGGCGGTTTGAGGGAGAGAAATTCGATTTCGAGGACGGAGCCCGGGGATGCGCCGGTGATGGCGACGGGGCCGTGGATTGGGTCAAAGGTTGCGAGATTTAGGGTCGCGAGGGAGGTTGGTGTTGTGGTTGGTGTTATTTGACCGCCAGAGGAGTCGTGGAGGTCAAAGGTTACGGGCTGATTTTGGGGGACGGTGAGGAGGGGAGGGGTTTTGCTGGACCAGTGGAGGGTTGGGTTTGCGGATGTGATGTGGAAGGAGGGGGCCATTTCTGAGAGATTTGGGATGGTGGAAGGGGTCGTGATCTGTAGACTCTGCGTCGGAGATGTTCAAGTGAGTTTCGATGGTTTCATAAGTCTTGTCTTGTAGTCGGAGAGACGAGGAACTTGGTCTTCCGGGGGAGCGAACGGAGGCTGATGACGGGTGGGGTTGCTTATCGGCGGTCGGATGCGGGGTTTCGGGGTTTGAGGGGTGTGTGACGTACCTCTATCCCGGCACGGAGCGGGTCTGATGTACGTATCTGCCGACCCTCCGGCAGATGCTCAGTGTTTGTCTTCCAAGGTTTCTGGCGAGGCTGAGGCTGACTAGGGGTCTCGAGCTTGGTGTTCATGACCTCTTGAATCCTGTTTTGGCATGAACAATAGAGTGGCAGTCATCAGGCACATGCTTTACCGAGAGAAGTGAATAGCTGTGTGCTCCTTGAATGGAACATTGCCCATGATCGTGACATCGTATTCCAGTCGCTTCGTTCTTAACTGATAAGTTGTCGGCACAACTTGACATAAATACACTCTATCTCCCCTTTTCATCCACCTTTTGCATTACCCAAGGCCCGTCCCTAGATGCCCCAAGGCCGCTCAAATCACAAAATCTCAACCGGCCCAAAAACGTTCCAAGAATCCTGACTCCCAACCATGCCCTCAACACTCAATCCCTTCGCCCGCTCCGCAAGCAACCCGCCGCCCAGAATCCCAGCAACCTGCCTCGACAAAGTCGACTTGCGCCCCAAATACCACAACGCCTTGACACAGTCCTCACACCGATCCAGCGCCTCCGCCACAACCTCATCCCCAACACCCAACCCACCACCACCACCCGCCGCCTCCTCAAGCAACAAAGTCCCCGCCATCGCAAACGACCGAATCAACACCATAGTCCACGGCTCCGTAAGCAAAGCCCCCTCCTTCACAGCCGGATGAAAATCCAACAACACACCCAAGCCGCCCACATCATGCTGCGGCGTAGCCGCCCTCGCGAGATCCGACACCTCGCGCACGCTCGCCCTCCTCAGATCGCCCACCAACCCACTCGCCACCCTCTCCGCGGCGCGCGAGGCACTCCCGAGCCCCTGCTCATCCACGAGCGCGATGCAATCCGCCATCATCATCGCCGCGAGAAGCCAGTGTCCCAGCAGACAAATGTACCAGCTCTGGATCTTGGAGGGGATCGCGTCGTGGTGCTCGATGCAGTCCCGAAATAGAGGACCGTACATCATGTTCCAGTGGCGGTAGACCGCCAGCCCGTCTTGGATTGCGTCCTCGATGGACTTTGGGGACGCGGAGCCACGGGACGAGAGGGCTTGGATGCGTGTAATTTTGCGGAAGAGCAGGACTTTGACGGGGGCTGCGTCGCGGAGTTCGCGCTCGAAGGTGTCGGTGGGGCAGGGCCAGCGTAGAGGTGCGAGTTTTTGGTTGCGTTTGATGATGAATTGGTCGTTCCAGCTGTCTGGAGGCGGCATCACTGCCGGGATGGTGTCGTCGTCTTCGTCTTTGCAGGGCGGTGAATCTTGCTTCTTTGTTGCTGTCTCGCGGCTGTCTTCGTCTGAGACGACAGGCGGTCTGTCGGAGATGGCGGAGGATAGGGTGTCGAACATGATGGCGAGCCAGAAGAGCATCTTCATCGTTGCCTTTTCTTCGCTGTGGGCATCTTCTCCAATACCACCAGCCCATCCCGATTCATTTCTCGTGTTCATGCCGCGTGCCTTTGCCCGTTTTCTCCTCTCAAAGTTCTCACACCTGCGCTTGAGGACGTGTAGGCGTCGAGCGCCGCGCTCTACGTAAAGCGAGTACCCCTCCTCATCCAGCGCCGTCTGCACCTTTTCCTTTGTGCCGGGCGTCTCCCAGTCGTTTCCGTCTCCGTTGCTGTAATCGTACCCCAACTGACTCTGGCCGACCATTCCTTCGTTGAACTCCCACCCGATCCCCTCCGCGCTCTCCTGATTCTTCTGCGTAAGACCAAAGAGGAGCTCCGCCATGGCCACCTTGAACGAGTCCACCCCAGCGCAATCATCCAGGCACCGCTGCGCCTGGTTCCAAAATGATATCTGCAGCGCCGTGTCGAATTCCTGCTCGGTTCCCGGCACGGATTCCCCAAAGCCGTTTGGTTTCTGGTACCGTGCTTGACTCCGTTGACTTCCTTGCGCCCATTGCGCTGTGAAGGCCATGATGGCGAGGTGTAGCGCTTTCGTGGCTTTCCGATCTTCGGATACGCTGAGCGGTTTTAGGCCCAGCGAGGCGAGGGATTTGTCTAGCTTGAAGACGCGGCGGTAGATCCTGTTGGGCAGGTTAAGGTGAATTTGCGTTGGATCGTGACCTCGCGCATCGCCGACGAGACTCGAACGCTCCAGCTGTGTGGGGGTAAGTATGTAAGGACAGTTCTGCTCCACCAGCCAGCACGAGAGCGCGCCCTCCATGACGTCGTGGTACAGCTTCATGAGGTTATCCGTCATGAGCGCCTGATTCGTCCGCGCAATCATCGCCTGCGTGGCCGAGTACTCTGAGATTCCGGCACCACCAGGTGGCGCATAGTTCATGGTGTGCGCTTGCTGCCACGCCCTCTTGCGGGCGTTCGGATTGATGCCCATGGTCGAGCAAGTCGAGTCCGGGCTGAGGCTGATTGTCGAGGCGCCGTGCATGGAGACGAGGTCGGCGTCATCGAAGCCTGGAAGCTCATCTGAGAGACAGCTGGGCGCCGAGAGGGATGAGGGGCCCGGGAAGAGGAGCGAAGCGGCGTCGTCGGCGGATGGGTCGAAGGTGAGGTGCTCGTCGGCGGGGGATAGCGTGAAGAGGTCTTGGGGGAATCCATAGTCGTTTGCTGCTGCTGTTGCTGCTGCTGCTCCGCCAAAGGCATGTGAGCTTGGCGTCTCGTGGGTGAGTGATGCGATATGATCCGGGATGAGTGACTGAAGCTCGGCGAGTTGGGCCTCACTCAGACCTGATGGACCTTGCGATGCTGGCGATACCGAAGCGTTGTTGCTATTGCTCTCGTTGATGTTGTTATTCTTCTTGCTGTGTGTTGACTTGACCCTCTTCCGACTCGGCGCGGCGGAAGCGGAAGCGGCGCCGGCAGCGGCAGCGGTCTTCTCGGCGGACTGCCTTCGGACGCGGAGCTGGGCCTGCTGTGACCGGGCCCAGTTGAATGTGCACGACTTGCGCGTCTTTGAACAGTTTGAGCACGGCCCCTTCATGCTCTGCCAATCTGTTGCTGAAGAGATTAGTCCCAAGGTGAAAGGGAAAAGTGTATTTGCTTCGATTCACTCTGTGCTACCTACCAACCTCCCATTGCAGGTCCGCATCCAGACACAGCTGGATATCCTTGAGGGCGCCCGCGTCGCAGGCCCTCTTGCCCTTGCGACATTGGTCGCAGCTGCTATTCTGCCGCCTCATCGCGTTCGCGTATCGTCGGTTATCGTGGTTTCTTCTCACACTACTCGGTGGGTATGTGTCAAGGTGAGGTGAGATGAGATTTCAATGTGGAGGTTGAGCCAGGTTGTGAGGCGGAGATTCGAGACAATCGAAGCTGAAAAGAAGGGGTGGGTGTGGTCTCCAGCTGTCTCCAGTTTCTTTTCCCCCAACAAAGAAAAATCCCCGCTAGTTCCAAAACTCGTGACCAGTCAGATCCCCCGGCCATCCGAAACGACGTCGTCACGGGGAGGTCCCTGTCGCCAAAACCCCGCGTTTTTTCCCCCTTCTCTCACCTCTCTTAGGCTTCTCTAGCGTGTCGCCTGCGTCAGCAAGGAGAAGAAAGCGGGGTGCATACGGCGAGTTTGCCAGTTGGTTCATGTTTCCCCCCCCCCGCAGATCCTCTTCTTCTGCGATGTCAGTCTCTGGTGTGTATGCCAGGTGCCAAGTCCGGTGTTGGCTGGGCTGGGGAAACCGGGGTTGGGATGGGATCCGGGGAAAAGAAAGGGAGGGTAAGGGGGGTTCACCATCCTCCGGAAGCGAGAGCTGTCAACCCCGGATTCCATTGCTTGCGGTGAACCTTACGAGCCACAGGTCAAAGGATCCAATGGTTTGGTTAGACGTTCTTGAAGCTTACCATGTCGCTGGCTGCATTCTTCAACCGTCAGGAGGGTTCTGATGGGAAAATCAGCCCACTTTGAGGTCGTCTTGCAGTTGCATCCTACCTAGGCACCTGTGTAAACCAATGGCGAGTGGGACAACCCTCATGCACTGAGTCTCTGGCAATGGAATTGGTTCAAGTCCTCTTTGACATATTACTAGCTTCATTCTTATGAAAGGAGGCCAATAGGAAAGCATCCATACATGGAAATCTGTTTCCGAAAATTCCGACTAGGAACAAGCCTCATCAGCAACCCCGCGGAAACACGGTGTTGTCCAGATCAGAGACTCGGTTCATGAGCATGGTCATAGACATCACGCACTCAGCCCCTTATACACAGCAGCCTCAACCTGCGCCCAAAGCCCCATGACCGAAGCGTCTCCAAACGGCAGAATCTGCGAGCACACGATCCCGGCCACCCCGTTCTCCCGGTCGCACCACCAAAACAGGTTCGGCAGCCCAGCCCACCAGGCCGTCCCGCTCGAGCGCCCCGTCGGCCCGCCCGTGATCATGAACGTCAGGCCCCAGCCCTGCGGCGGGTTGCCCGGGATCGGGTAGAGCTCCGAGATCCCGTTGGTCAGCTCCGGTTTCGCGGCCTGGACGCCCTGCCGGGCAAAGTCTGGGAACTTTGAGATTTGGTTGGAGAACATTTCGTCTACCGTCTCCTTCTTGAGGAGTTGGGCTTTCGTAATGGGGCAGGTTCCGTCGTTGAGGAAGACTGCCAGTATACCTGGGATCATTCAGTTTGTCATTCGATAGTTTGACATGATTTCGAGAGAGGCATAGTACGTACGGGTGTATTCTTGCGGCTTTGCAAAGATGCCGGCGCCGCCGCTGTTGAAGCAGGCGCGGATCTCTTCCTCCGACTGCACGATCAATGGGCGATGAAGAGGGTGGTCTCTGTGGACCAACTTGCCGTCGGGCCTCTTGTAATGCATGTACGCCAACTGCGCCTTCATCGAGGGCGTCGGAATCATGTTGGCGTTCTTGAGGCCCAGAGGCTGGCAGATGTTGGCCTGGATGTAGTCGTTCAGACTCATGTTCGTGGCCCGCTCCAGGGCAATGCCAGCCCAGTCAATACCGACCTGCGAGTCAAGTTAGAGGTCATGGTCTCAATAGTGTCACCTTCAAAAATTCACTTACGCCGTACTCCCAGCCCTCACCCGGCTGG